TCTCTCTCTCTCTCTCTCTCTCTCTCTCTCTCTCTCTCTCTCTCTCTCTCTGCACTGATACTTTCAGAATGTTATTAATGCTGGAAGTGTACAAACGTTCTTAGTTAACATACTTTACTTAATGATGGAATGTATGATAACAGAACTTATGATGTATTTTCTGTCACACAGACTGAAGGGTAGTGAGGCTGTCATAGCAGGCCTTAATGAGGTCAAGCAACTTGTCTCCGACTTTGAGAGCTCTCTGGCTGCCCACGAGAACATGACCTCAAACTTGTCTGAGCTGAAGTCTGTCAAGACAGAGCTAGTGGTAAGGATAGTTTATCCTTTAGCTGTTTTTGATCGTTTACTATTAGGACATTTTTTTTTTTTTTGGTGATATATAAAGTGGTTGAATAATTTTTGGCAATAAATTTCACTTTATTTTCTCTCTGTAAATGTCAGCGCATCTTTATGTCCTGTAAATCTAAACAAATTTCCTGCATTGTCTTGTCCCATCTCATCTTCACCATCATTTTGTCTGATCCATTTTTATTCTTTTCCTATATCTCACGTTTCTATTTTAATAGAACTCATCTTAGCATGTCTTTTGTATGTCATCTTACCTCATTTCACCTTAACTGAACATGGATGGTTGGTATGTGTTATTGTGTGGTCTACTTATTCTTTCCTATCGGACATCTGTCTTGCTTACCTCTCCTCATTTCTTTTGTGGTTTACTCTCTAGTAACATTTCAAATCTTTAGCACTTATCTGACCTTTTTATGTTGCAAGTGCCATTAAACATATCCCAAACTTAAACTTATCTTTTTTTTTATATGGGCATCTATATGACCTGTTTGTGTTGCAAGTGCTGTATAGTATACTCTTACTAAACTAAAACTTATCTTTGTTTACCTTACCTCATCTACCCAGGACCTACAAGATTCGCTGCAGCACCAGCAGCCCAAGCTGCAACACCTCAAGGAAGATGTGCAGGCCTTAAGACCCCTAGTGGAGAAGAGTCGGCCCGGCACCAACAGACACCACGACCTGGACGGTGTGGAGCAGGAGGTCAACGACCTTGCCACCCGCTGGGACCAGATCTGTATCCACGTTGTGGAAAGGTGAGTGGAGGCTCATGGTGCAACATTAGAGAGACTTTTATGCTTTGGATGTGTTGATGGAGTACACAATACATATATGCAGTCGAAATTGTCCAAGACGGCTGCCCATTGTCGAAGAGAAAAGTGGCTGTCTTAGACAAGTGGACATTTGGACAGTGTCACTGTGATATTTTTAAAATGTAAGAGAGAAAATAAAAAGCGATTGGTTGTACGGATGATTGTCCTGGACAGATGGCGATTAGAGCAGATTACAGTTGCAACTGTATTACTTTGTGGTGGTAGAGACTCATTATAACCCTCAGTGTCCATTTCCTCTCCAGGCTGCGTAGTGTCAGCTCCAGCCAAGACTTGCTCTCCCTCTACCACAATGGACTGGCCTCAGAGCAGCAGTGGTCCTCCCAGATGGAAAAGCGCATCTCCTCCCAACCCTCCCTCAACGGGGAGGTCAGCGACGCTAAGCGACAGCTGGAGCCCACCATGGTATTGTAGCCACATGTGATTGGCACAGATTTTTTAGTCTTTTGATTAGTTACAGTTGAAGTTCTGGTTAATAACCTTTCTTTGGATGACTTCCTCGACTCGTTATACTTCTTTCTGCTTCTTTTTTCCTCCCTTTTCTCCTCCTCCTCTTTCTCATCCTCCTTTACACTTAGTTAAAATGATTGGTTTGTTTGCCTGCCTTCTTCATTTGCCATGGTCATGAGTAAGGCTTGGTCTCTACAAAGCGCCTCCCTGTACTCTCAAGGTTTTTTCTGTCCATTATTTCTCTGGCCGGCCTCTCTAGCCCTTCCCTATTCCATGAAGAATGGTCTTTGCTAAGCAGCTGATCTAGTTATTTATCCATACTATCTCTGCTTTCTTTTCTTCACTGATACCAGAAGATCTTCATAGGGCCAGTAGCTGGATGGGTTCAGTAAGGACTTAGCTTGTGGTGTAAGAGATGTCCAAAATGTTACAGTAGCATCTCATTTCTAGTGCCTCTGTTTTGCTATGTTGTCTAGGGCACATTTTAAGGTTATTTAAGTGAAGAAAGCCCTGTATTGTTTTGGTCACCTTACTTACTAACAAGAGAAACTAGTATCTCTATATAGAATCGTTGGTGGGAGGTTTGTCATGTTTCAAAGGAATTCTCTTTGAAAGTTGTGTCTTCTAATCTCATCTGTTTTCATCTCTCCTCACTTCTCATATGAGAACAGGTTGGTGGTTGGTCAGTGCTCTGATGTGATTTGCTCCTTCTTTCCTGTAAAACATCTATCATCCTTATGTTACTTCCTTCTTTTCTTTATGTGTTACTTTGTAGTAACACCTCATATCTTGGATACTTATATAACCTATGTGTGTTGCATATGCCATAAAACCTTACTAAAATTAATGTGAGAACATTAGTAATCTTCCCATTTGGGATCTTCTTCAGGCGATCTACAACTCCCTGGGTGACCGCAGATATCAGATTGAGAGTGTCAACCGACACGGAGGCCAGTTTATCCGTGAAGCCAAGGTAAGTGACCACAAGTCTGCCTTCCTTTCCCTCTGTTTTACCTTTTCTTTTGCCATCGTTCATCACTTCTTCAATATTTGGACTATTTTGTTACTACATGTGTTCAGATTGGAGAATATTCTATCTCTACATTGATGGGGATAATAGTTTGATTTCTTGGGGGCAGGGGGAGGGGGGGGGAATTGAAATGACTGATACATGGGGAAGTGTTCTTTTTCTTTTCTTTCTTTCCCTTCTTTTATTTTGACCATGCAAGCAAACTCCTAGGTAATCATGACAATTGTTCAAATAAGTAATAATCATGTTTTTAATTCTTTTTTCCTCTCCTTTTTTTTATGGCACCTTTTGCCTGTGCTATGAAAGAGTGGGCACATTCTCACTCCACTGTTCCTCACTTTTTGGCACGAACAATTCTCTTCACTTTTCAGTCAACCAGATTTTTCACAATGATTTTATACCTCTTTAGCATGCAAAACTCTTTTCTTGATTCATATGATCTGATGGACTATTCATGTAATCGTGTGCTTTGTTTGTGAGGAACTCACACTTTGACAAACTCTGGATTGTGGGGTAGATGAACTAATACTAGTTTGACTTGACAAGGGATTGCATGTTTCTTTTTTAAAATTTCTTTTCCATTATTCATTGCTTTATGGTTGTCTACCCTGGACTTATGTCACTTTATGTATGTGGATTATGTATACCAGATTGCCAACTACTCTTTTACTCCAAGAGTTTTTACATTGTACAGTGTAAAAATTTAAATCATTTACAAACACTTGTTTCGTTACAATTGTTTACATTACAGTCCAAATGTTTTGATTTTCCAATGATAGTGAGCCCTACATTGAAAACGTTTATAAATATGTACAACTTAGCTCAAATGTGACTTGTATAGGGTATCTCTCCTCTCATAATATTTGCTTGTTCTGTGTGGAGCCAAGCACTGCTGTGATGGCATGTGGTAGGAGTAGGCTGTTGATTTTTCACTTGCTTTGTAGATTTATCACGTTCAGCGTGAAGTGCATTGGGTTTTTTTGTGTTTTTTTCATTTCTTTGCCCGCCCCCCAATTTTGGAAACTGCCATTCCTGTGTGTGACTTACGTGGATGTTTTTTAAATTTTTAATTTCATTTTGTAAATTATTTTTGTCTCAATAGATGGTGTCCTATCCATTTTGCTTCTGTTTGTTTTTCAGCCTGTTGAATATCTTGAGCGTTTTGCATTTGTTGTTTTTCATTTGAGATTCGTGCAGTTTTCCCTTTGCTCTTTGTTCGCTTTATACATTTTGTGTGTTTGCTTGTTGTTTACTCTGCGAAGCTGTTTATTATACCAATAAAGGTGTGAAAATGTAATCTACTTTGAAGAATAAGGCATTGGAGTGTTTCTCAATAAAACGGTGAAATATGTATGGCTCTTTGGCTTAAGTGACAATGATATGTTATATCATCATATGACTCACCCATAGCACACTATTCACTTTGTAACCACTAAGAAATAATGATTCTCATTTCTGTCACCATACATTAGACTCTCAACTCCATTTAATAATCCGAGATGGCTATCTTTATGCCATGTCCATAGCATGATATGAGATGAAGGGACTATTCGTAAGAGTTTTAAGAAAATTGTCTCATTTCGGGCGCAAACAGATGTTGCTGTCTCTTTATGCTTTGCTCTCGTATTATTCCTCTCAGCTGTTTTTGTTTCTTATTGTCTTGCTTTATTTTTAACTTTTCTTTCTCAGATCGTTGTGCTTTTGATCTGGGGTTTTTTTCCCTCCCCCTTGGCGCCACTCACATTTGCACGCCTTTTTTTTTTTCATTCTTGTTTATAAAGGTATTTTTCCATTTTTTAAGCACCGCTTCAGTCCCTTCCAATTTTTCCTTGTTTTGCCGATGAATGTGCTGACATTGAGACAAAGATAGTCTTGTTTCATGCCAAGTAAGTATCAGAAGTTGCTTTCTTTTTATTAGCATAATATTAATTGATAATTAGAAAAGAATAGCAAAGTTTTTTTAAATTATAACCCTATATAGAAAGAGCTGAACTTATGCTATAAGACTGAATATCAAGATTTTGATGTACTAATGCTTTTAATAACAACCAAGTAGCTTTAATATGCTGAAAACAAATATAAAATACTTGTTGTATGCTCTATTAGTAAAACTTCACCCTGAGATTGATTTAAGAAAGAAAAGAATAGAAAATAAATAGGTTTCTATTATGTGTTGAGTTTACTTACTGTTGTTTCCAACCCTGCATTCTGAGTGTGTAAATCGGAGTGAGATTGAGGAACAATCTGTATTCTCCTTCCTATAATGTGCGACCTTGACCCTGACATGCTGGAGCTTCTGAGGCTTGTGTTTCTCTGAATGCCTACTTGTGTCTCTTGATGATGCTGGTTGTCCTTGTCGTCTCCTCCATTCCCCTTGTTGCTTTGTCCAAACTTTGCTGGCGTGCATGGGTGATTTCCCTCCCCTTTGCTGTTTTTTTTCCCCTGCGGCATTTTGTTCCCTTTTCCCCCAGCGTTGTTTTTTTCCTACAGCATTTTGTCTAGTTTTTTTACCCCTCACTGCTGCATTTACAATATATATAAACTCAACATTTTTCCTGAGAATGAACGCATGATGCATGGTAGATGATTTTTCTAATGCGTTTAGTGAATCTATTGACTCAACCGTATTGAGTTTTGTACTTGTTCACCTTTATGTTCCTTGGATCCCTGTCTTTATTTTTATATTCCTCTTCTTTGAACTGGTAGAACAACAAATAACACAAAATTCAAGATGAGCTTAAAAGGATTTAGTTATTGTATTTTGATGGGTAGCATTTTCCAACTTATTGGGTTTTGCTAATTAGAATATATTATTTTTGGTGGGGTTCATTGTTGGTAAAGATCTGTGGAGCTCTTTAGCTTGAAAAAGAAATTGATGTAGATGTAATTTGATAGTCACAGAAGACCTGCCTCCTGACAAATTGGTCATATTCGTCTGCATGTGTTCTTCCTTGACAAGTGATGAAGAGTGCTAGCTTCGACACTCATAAGTGAAAGTCAGCTTGAAAATTTTGAGTGTCCTCTAATTTGTACATAATCATAATTCTCCCTTGAATATTTGATCCTAAGCCAATTAGTATTGATATGTCCTTCATTCTGTTTTTTTCTTTTTCTTTTCCTCATGAATCTTTCATTTTTGAAGTGTCACTCAAAAATGTCTCTGTGAAGTTCTTAAGGCTTAACTCTTATTGCGGCAATATCGATTTTTTGTAGGGAATTCCTATTAAATTAGATCCAACTGCACTTTTTACCATTATCCTTCTGTATAATATGATATAACTCCTCTATAACATTTGTGTTATAGTTTAATATCTCACAGTGTGCCGAATTTTCTTAGAAATTGTTTCCGTTTTCGTACTCACATAACAGCCTTTTGTCTTTCTTAAACAGATTTCTCAATTTAATTTTAAAGCATCTACAAAAATAAGAATAATATAAGGGAAGTTGTGTTCAGTTTTTCAGGTGGATGGTACAATTTCTCTTTTTGAAACTTGCAGGAGACACAGAAAACGTGATTTTTCCTAATGTTTTCAAATGCCTTTCTTTTGAGGTTGTTTTTTTTTTCAGTACACTTTGAGACAAAGGGAAACTTTTTCTCTCTTTTAGATAGGTTTCTTGGTCCAGGGAAAAAGTTTTTGCACAATTTTTTGTTTAGTCTTAACAATCATGTCGTGTGGGCGATGTCCTTTTCTCTTTCCAATTTTCATTTTCATTTTACTATCATTGTGGTAGCCGGTAATTGCAACCATTAGCTCCTTTTGCTTTTCAGTTTGTTGTGACGTTTCAGTTAGCTCTTGGTTCGTGCTTTTAGACCGTAGCACACATTTTATTTTTGTGCTTTCAATACCTGTGGGTTTTTGTATAGACTGATCCAACTGCCTTTACTTAAATCCCTTAAATATTGCTTTTCTGTCTGATATTGCTTCTTCAAGTTGTTTTTTTCTTCCATTCTTGTTTGGTTTGTTGGTTGTTGTTGTTTTTTTGGTTCAGTAGTCTTAGTGCTTTGTGTTAATTGCTTTTATTCAAATTTACGTGCTCTAACTTTGTTTACTTATATTGTGAGAGGAGACATTTGAGATTATCTATGGAAAAGGAAACAAAAGAAAAACAAACATGCTCCCTTGTAACACAAAAAGCCCAAATTCTGCACCTACATTGAAATTTTATTGCAGGGATTTTGCATCACCTTGTAATGCACACAAGTAAAATGCAACCCTAAAAAATGACTGTGTGTACTTGAGATGAAGCTACTCCTGCCTGACATTATGCTGTGATGTCCCTGCTAAACCCTCATCCCCTATAACAATTTGATATACTCACACTGACTGTATTCTGTTTATAAAATTCCTCCATCACGGTCATCAATCCCTTAATGCAGTTTAGTGAGGCATCTTTGTGTATATGCACAGCAGCTCGAATGACAGGAGAGTGAGAAGTTCTAGCTAGTTGAAGCTACAACACTGTACAATTAATTGATCCTGCCTCTTTAAGTGTTTCTTTGCCATAATATGCTTCTGGTAGATTCTATACATCATATGAGAACTCTCTGTGTTTCTGTTCCTTTGCATTCAAGTGAGGTCCTTTCAGGGTTGTTTTTTTGTGTCAAAGACAATCCTCTCAACCACTCTCCAATCAATTTCTCCATTTTTCTTAAGGGATTCTTATTTTCATTGTTTGGACTCCTTTCATGGAATGGAAAACTCACAGATGTTGATTAACAAAAAATGTTCATTGATAAATAATGAGAGAGTTGTCGTTTTCCCAGAAACCTTTAGAATTTAAGGAATAAAATTTTCCAGACTTGTCTTTTGAGGTATTGATTTGACATCAAAATATCTGTTTACCTCCACTCCCAAGTTCCTGAAGACCCAAGTTCTCGGTTGCACAGCACCACTTATTTCTATTCACCTGTTCACCTACATCTTTTAGTCCTTTTTGTGTCCAGCAGGTTCTGACTGCAAGGCCCCATGTCTCTACTCTGACTCTTCTCTGGTACAGTTGTTGGGTTTTTTTCTTTCTCTTCGGTCTCATCAAGTCAGTTGTGGTTTGTCTAAATCTACGCACTTTTACTGTGTAAAAGTAGTAGCTGCAGGCAATACAGTGTTTCCCCCTAAATTAGGGAGATGTCGTAATGTGTATCAATGCTTTTACTTTCTATTTTGTTAAACACTTTTTACTTTGGCTTATTATCCACTTTCACTCACTTGGGATGTTTGTGGTGTGCTCTGATTGCACAGATTTCAGATAAACGTCTCCGCCAGTTTAAAGAGAGCGTCGGGCTGGACACAGCGGCTGAGGGAAAGCGGTTCAAGCGCCATGATGGCTCTGACTCTGTCCGAGATGAGCTTGATCAACTGAACAAAGTCTACATGGAGATGGTGGATTGGGCTGGCACTCGGCTCCGGCAGATAACCGCAATACTCGAGGCTAGCGGTCAGCTACAGGTATCAGAAAAAACACCAAAAATTGGAGACTTAATTGATCCCCTGGAGAATTTTGATTTCGCCATGACACGACATATATGAATATTTATGTGTGTGTCACGGTGCAAGTATAGTGCAGACCACATGTAAGCGCATGTAAGGTAGCTCAGTTGAGAACTAGACTTTAAAAGAAGTGTTTCTGAACTTTTTTTGTTGAGAGAGTTCACATTTTTTTACCATCATATCCACCCTGTTGAAGGTGTTACATGATTCCAAGCCATTTTTTAAAAAATAACTAATATTACACTAACTGTAAAATTCAAAATAAACGAGCCAGGCTTGTGTATTTCTTGTGTATGTATATCTTTAGCCGGCAATGAGAACAAATTTTGAAGAAGTAATGCTTGTTTCTGTTAGCAGAAACAGAGAAACAATAGGTATTTTTATGTAGTGTGCCTTTCTTCTTCTACCTAGTATAAAATGAAGATTTTTTTTTACATTTTGGGGATGGTTGAGGGCACCACTAGTATGTCCTAATTCTTTACTTTCCTTCTGTTGTTTCTGTCTGTCAGTCTTACTTTTACTCAAACAATGACATGTTGCCTATTGTGTATTTGTGGGTACTCTGTTTTGCGCTGTTCACAGACTGTGGTGTAGTGTTTAGGCTTCTCAGGAGAATTTGAGTTCACTTTATGTGTTACATACACATCTCTGTCTTTCTGATGGGAAATTGCACTCATTTCAGTCCAGGTTGACCCTGACAGGAAAGGTCAAAGGAATTCCTAGGTGATAAAACTTGTGTGGGTTTTTTTTGGTCGGGGGGGGACATTTACAAAAAACATCTTGTTCAAAGCTATGGTGTGGGAGACCTAAAACGAAAGCTTTTTTCTAAACAGTAATTGTTTGGAGATGTCCAAAAGATCTTTTCTCTTTCTACTGCAGATCAGTGGTAATTTGAAGGTCCCTCATGTTATGTAGCCAGCATAATGTTGAAAAGAGCTTAAAATGTTGATAAACATGCTGACTAATTCCTGTGTCAGATTAGAAAAGCGGCTTGTGGTGAGTTGGCTTTTCAATGTGATATTTTGTTTCACTTCCTTTCCAATGTAACTGTTGTTCTTAAAAATTATTGAAAATGCCTCAGGTATAGAACTCGTCAAACTTGAGATGCAGAATAAATACCAAAAGATTGTAGTTTGACCTCCCTTGAATCAAATACATTTGTGAAATCGGGAAAGGTATTGGTTTAGCACCCCTTTCAACGCAATAAGGATATTTAAGTGGCAGTCAAATATATTTAGCTACTTTAGATATTTTTTTAGTTCAAGAGAAAAGTACGAAAAAAAGAATTGATATCATTATTTGAAACTGCTTTACAAAAAGTTATAATTGCTTTCTTTCTTTTTCTTTTTTAAGTTCCAGATTGTAATCGATGAAGAGATTCCCCTGTTGCGGACATTCCGAGCTGAGATAGCCAAAAGGTCCTCCATGCTGGTCGATGAAGACATGCAAGAGTACTTTACCCAGCAGTTTGAGGACTCAAACCCTCCTCAGAACTCGGGGATGACCCAGTCTTACACCAGCTCACTGGTCATCAAGCCTGAGTCCACCATGACAGCTGAGTTGGGAGAGGTAAAGAAAGTGATAAAAGTTGTTCCCAAAAGTAAAACAGAAGAGCTTAAAGTGCAGACACAACAATCCAACAGGACGAGCTTGACAGAGCTGTCGATGAATCTGAAAGCAATGGAAGGGTCAACATCGTCTGTGCTCCCCACTCCAACCGTGACAACCTCATCTATGGTGAGCGGTGCCAGGCAGCAGCAAAAGAAGCCACAGCAGCAGACAATTGTCACTGTAAATAAAGAAGAAGTGGCCCCCAGAGGCCAGATCCTGCATGTGACAGCTATTCTCAACCCTCAGACATCACAGAGGGTCACGCTCATGGAGGCTCTGCAGACTGGACTCATAGACCCCAAAACAAAAACTTTTGTGGATCCAAACTCTCGCCAACGATTGTCTCTCGTTCAGGCGGCAAAGAAAGGCTACTTAGATGAAGTGGTCCTCAAACAGATGACATCTCCATGTGGATTGGTTGATCCTCGTTCCGGGGAGGAACTGTCGCTTCTGGATGCCATACACAAGAAGTTGTACCTCCCACTCTCAAACACCATTACAGACAGCAGCACAGGAGAACAAGTTTCAATCACAGAAGCTGTAGCTCGCGGTGTCATCTCTGAGTCATGCTCTCGCCTTCTGGTGGGAGAGAAAGTTGATTTGACATCCATCATGCATACTCAAGCCATTTTTGCCCATTCAGAGCCCCTGAAAATGGATGCTGGGCTTAGTCTTGGCAAAGTGATTGAGAAAGGCCTGTACAGTGAAATCACGGGGAAAGTCAATGACCCACTCTCTGGTACAGACCTAAGCATCATGGAGGCAGTGGAGAAGGGCTACCTCAACCCCAACTTTCAGGAAATTGAAGACCCGACCTCCGGAGACTTTATCAGCCTCACAGATGCTGTGTCTGCGGGTGTGATAGATCCATTCAAAGGAACTTTTAACCATGCTGCAACTAATCAGAAACTTTCATTGTCAACTGCCATGAAGCAGGGGATGGTCAAAACAGCACTGTCCCTGGCTGATCTGGTCACAGATGGCAGTCTGACTGAAGATGGCAATATGTTTGACAGGTCCACAGGCCGTGTCATGCCACTAGCAGAAGCCATTGCTACTGGGGTCATTAGCAAAGACAAAAAATGCATCCTGGATCCCAGAACGGAAGACGTCATGTCAATATCGGATGCTATAAGAAAAGGTATAATGACACCCACTGGAGTTTTCATCAATCCAGAAGACAACAAGACATACTCTCTTCTTGACGCTGTGAAGCTTGGAGTGATCAAATTGGTGCATGAGGATGTGGAGTTTTCCAGAACTGGTGTTAAGGACCCAAGGACAAATGAAGTAGTGACACTCTCTGAAGCTTTTAAAAGAGGTATTGTCACCGCCCAGGGTACCTATGTGGATGGCAGAACCGGAAGACAGATGAGCCTTCAACAAGCTGCCAACTCTGGGCTCATGGACAGAAACCTGGTAAAGGATCTCAACAAGCCAACCAGTCTGAAAGATGCTCAGGGCAAAAATGTGTCTCTAGCAGAAGCCCTGTTCAAGGGAATTTTGGATCCTGAAAGTGGGATGGTTGAAAATGCCAGAACCAGAGAGAAATTAACTATGCAGGAAGCTATGTCAGCTGGGGTCATCACTTCCCATGACGCCACCAACATTCTTAGCCTAGTGAGCCCCATGATGACATCTTCCACTGTTCTCACGCAGGTCGAGTCTTCGTCTGGATCATCTGAGGCTATCTCAATATCACAAGCCATGTCTCAAGGCTACCTGAATGAAGAGACTGGCTATTTCAGAGATCCCAAGACTGGCCGTCTGATGCTTGTGGAAGAAGCAGTGAAGCAAGGTCTTCTCCGCCTCTCGTCAGAGTGGCCTGAAGGACCATCTTTGTCTACAAGCTTTGACGAAATTGATTCAAGGTCTCTGACCATCAGCATGTCTCAGAATTTCATGACTGACAGCTCCGGCAAGAAGACGAAGACCATCCCCATCGAGCCGGGCTCTAAGAAACACGAGTCCAGCCAAATTACAAAGAGCGGGTCTCAGTACTCCTTCACCACGACCACTGTGGCGAAACCACTCCTCATGAAGTCAGTAATTTCTGAGACCAAAGAGATCAATTTGAAGTCTGTGACAGACCCAAGAACAGGTCGTGACCTTGATGTGGAAGATGCCATTAAGCGCAAATTGCTTGATCTAGAGCGTGGGCAGTATACCAACCCACTGACAGGAGAACAGATGAGCCTCAATGTTGCCATTGAGAGAGGTTTCATCAAGGCAGAAGAGATGGCTAGTCATGAGGACTCCAGTGCAGAGGCTGTGAAAGAGACAAAAGCTTTCTGCATTGTGGGGGTCATTCATCCCAAGACGAAGGAACGCCTCACTGTAGGCAAAGCTATGAAAGAAGGGATCCTAGATCAAGAAAAAGGAATCTACCATGGCATTGATGCCTTTGGCAGACCAAACCCTATGAAGATCAGCGAAGCCATCAAGAAAGGCTTTGTCATTGTCGAGGACATCAATAGCCCTGGTGAGGATGGGGACTCCATGCTCAGGGAGACAAAGTCTTTCATCCTGAAAACTATTCTCCACCCTGTCACCAAGAAGCACATGAACATTGCAGATGCTATCTCTGCTGGTGTCCTTGATGAATCAGAGGGAACATACATCAACGTCAGAACAGGAGAAAGGATTCCAATTCATGAAGCTATTGAGAAGGGCCTTATTCTTGCACAGCTCACGTCCGTCAACACTGATGTTGATGAGGATAAGAATAAACTCACGACGACCAAGCTTACATCTCTGTCTGTGACTGCAGTTGTAGACCCTAAGACAGGACAACTGATCTCGGTGTCAAAGGCTGTAGAGGAAGGCATTCTGGATCAGAGTCGTGGAATCTACATGAACCCTCTGACCGGGGAGTCGATGACTCTGAGTGATGCCATTGACAAGAGACTGGTTCTTGCTGAGTCACCAGAGGCTCAGTCAGATGATCCCCTTGAGAAGGCAGAGATATCCAGTATTCACATCACAGATGAGCAGGAGTCCTTTGAGGCTACCCTTATGGAAGACATTCACTCTGAAACAGTGACAATGAGCATCAACAGTGTCATTGATCCCAACACGAAGGAAATGCTGACCTATGATAAAGCTTTGGACAAGGGTATTTTGGACCTGAAGAAAGGTCTGTATAAGAATCCTGCTACCCGAGAGACAATGACGATTGGCGCGGCTATGGAGAAAGGCCTCATCAATGGTGAGGTCACATCGAAGACGAGGGAGGATGACATCATGAGAAGTTCGGTCTCTGCTGCCACTCCTGCTGTGCCTGTGAAAGACATCACTTCTGTCATGGACCCCAGAACTCGAAAGGAAATCTCCCTTGACAAAGCCATCAAAGACGGTATTATAAATCTGGAAAAGGGAACATTTTACAACCCTAAAACAAAAATCGAGATTGAATTGAGTAAGGCCAAAGAGTTTGGCTACTTGCTCGAGTCCAAACATTCTAGTGCTATGCAACTTGAGCAGTCCATGGAGGAGGAAAATCTGGCAGAAGCAAAATTGTCTACCCCACGTTTACCTAAGGAAAACCAGAAGCCATGGTCAAAGGTGGACATGGAGCTGGAGAAGACCATAGCTCATGATGACTCGATGGAAGATGGAACGCTTGCCACAGAAGTACTGCACTACTCCACAGAAGTAGAGGGAGAAACAGCTGACGCAACAAAGATCCAACAACAAAGTCCAACAAGATCTACCCTGAAGAGCAGCCCCATGACTGTGACCACTCCTACAAGCAAGACAGAACAGCCTGCCAGTGACACTTCAACTTCAGGTTTGCTCGAAAAGACAGAGATGGGCCTGTCTTTTAGAGATGCTCAGAAAATGGGACTTGTCAATGAAGACACTGGAAAAATCAGAGACCCCAAGTCTGGAGAGTACTTTACCCTGCAAGAAGCCATGCACAGAGGTATAATTGACATCAACCTGACTGCTCTAGAGGACCCCAGCTCAGGGAAAACTCTCTCCCTCAGAGAATGCATCGTCAAGGATGTTATCAACTCAGCAACCTGCAAGATTGATGATGGCATGGCAAGTGCACTGGGCTTTGGAGAAAACTCTCTTCCTCAACAGTCAACCAACGTGGTGTCAATGAACCTGATTGATGCTGTCTCAGCTGGTTTGTTCAACTCCATTACAGGAAAATTTTTAGAACCAAAGACTGGTCAAAAATACTCACTTCAGGCTGCTCTTAACCAGGGCATCATTGAAGGCAATATGGTCACAGTGACAGACACGACCACTGGAGAGAGAGTACCCTTGTGCCAGGCCATCAGGAAGGGGCTCATCAATGGAACTACAGCCGATGTCTACGACTCAGCCAGCAGGACGACCATTCCACTGCTCCAAGCAATAGAGAAAGGGCTGGTACAGAACAAATATGATGTTGCTTCTGGCTCCATTATTGACAGCAAAAGTGGAGAACAAATTCCTTTGGTGAGAGCAATCGCCGAGGGTGATATCAAATCTGAAGCCATTGCTGTACAAGACACCACAACAGGTCAAGTGCACTCTATGGACGTAGCACGCATGCGAGGCCTGGTCGATAGGTCTGGACAAGTAGTTGACAAACAGACTGGACAGAAGATGTCACCTCAAGAGGCTTTGAAGTTTGGCCTCATGGCCATAGCTGGAGCACCCATTGTTGCTGGAAAGATGATTGTGGATGCCGTGAAGGATCGGAGCCCCACCAAGACAACTTCATCATTCTCCAAGCAGATGGAAGCTTCGTCTACACCAAGACCTCCCGCTCCAGCTCCAAAACCAAAGGTGACCCAGTTTTCTGAGAGCAGCAGGATCATCACCGAGAAGAGATCTAGCCAGATGTCTCAGCACAGAAGCGAGGACCCTCCATCTTCTCCTGTCATTGGAAAGGTGGGACAGCCTGTCACCATCACAGTTGACCCCGCTTCACCTATTATGTCCTCAGGAGCTAGAGTTGGTGAGCCAGTCACTATCACTTTTGACCAGTCTGGTCAGAGGTTTATGCAAGACAGACCAGACCCATCAAACACCAAATATATGTCTTCTGTTACTTCTACTGTAATGAATGGAAGCTTTTCAGATAGTGCCTCAGTCTCCCCTGGTGGCCAGCGGACTATAGAGTTAGAACCTGCCACCCCATACTCAGTGGTTAGCCCAGCTCCTAGGTCTGCAGTCTCCACAACTGTGATGGAAGAAAGCAGACGAGAATACAGCAGCACAATTTCCTCATCTCAAGACCACATGCAGAGCAGGGTTTTCAAACAAGCGAGCATGAAGAATCTTGAGATCAACTGGGAAACTGGCACTGTGCTTGACAAAACTACAGGACAAGCAATGTCAGTGACAGAGGCGGTTCAGAAAGGCCTGGTGGACTCTGACTTGGTGGAGGATTTAGCCATAAAAACATCAGGCCAGTTCCAAAGCACCCCAGAAATCAATATAAACTGGGAGGAAGGCACCATTTCTGACCAAACCACTGGCCAGGAGTTTACCATCGAGAGAGCCCTTTCAAAGGGACTCATAGACATGCCTACTGCTTCTGCTCTGGCATCGGTTACCGAAAATACCATGGAAATGTCCAGAACTCAGTCTCATGTGGCAAAGAGCTCTGTAGAAGCATACACTCTAAATGCAGCAGTCAGGGATGGACAGTACAACCCTGCAACAGGACAAATAATTGATCCAACATCTGGTCTCCGAATGTCTGTGAAGGAAGCCCTGAATAGAGATGTCATTGATGGTGACTCCTCTACTGTCATTGATCCTCAAACAGGACGCGAAATCTCTCTGCATGACGCAATCGACAACCGCATCTTTGATCCTCTCAAGGGAGAACTTATCCAAAAAGCTTCCCGGGAAAGAATATCTCTTCAAGATGCTGAAATTCAAGGCTTAATTCCAGAAACCAATGAAGACTCTTCCCCTCAAGGCTTAGTTCGATCTGAACGAGTCTCATCAAAACCTCTGACATTGAGGGAAGCCATGGCTCGAGGGTATATAGATGAAGACAGTGATACTTTTACAGATCCTATCACTAGGGAAGTGTTCTCACTATCAAAAGCAATTGAGTATGGCTTGATTTCAACCACTGATACACCACCACCTGTCGCTCCGAAGCCCAAAAGTCCTGTGAGGCAAGTGGTCAAGGAGACTGTGACAAAATTCCAGGAGGAACGAGAGACTGTACAGAGGCGTCCTGGAGAAAACAGACATGCTGCTGATGATTCCAACAGACTGTCCTTTGCTGAAGCGCTAGACAAAGGTTTTGTTGATTTGAAGAGTCAGCAATATACAGACCCAAGCACAGGAGACAGAGTGGGTCTTCTGGATGCCATCAGAGATCAGATCATTGATACAAACACTCCTTCGGAGCCACAGATGGGTCAAGGCATGAGCCTAACAAAAGCTGTTGAAGACGGTCTTTTTGACGACAGGACAGGTGTTTTCCATGACCCTCAGACTGGAGAGAAGGTCACATTCCAAGAAGCAGTGGACGCTAGCAAATTGGATCCCAAGTTCACTGTCTATGAAGTGAAAACTGGAGAAATATTTTCCCTTGAAGAAGGTCTGGAAGAGGGTAAGATCGATCCTCAAACTGGCCGATTCTACAATGAAGAGACTGGTCAGAGCATGACTCTGAAGGAAGCAGCTAAGATGGGAGCTTTAGCCATCATTGGGGCTCCATTTGCAGCAGCCATGGCAGCAAAGGAATCATTCTCAGCGCGTATGGATGACAGCAAGGTAACTAACAAACAAGTAGATGAAACGTCTCAACCAGACCTCTCTTTTCAGGCGACGACGGTCCGGCAGCTGTCTCCTGATGTGCTAGAGATCACACAGCTGCAGCAGAGTATCCCTGCCACTGAGACGACAGAAGAAATGAGGCTCTTGGAGGCCATCTCAAGTGGCTATCTCAACCCCAACACTGGTGTCTTTAAGGATCCGAACACAGGCCGCGAGATGCAAGTCAGTGATGCAATAATGGGTGGGCTGATCAAAAAGGACTCTGCGTCTGTGAAAGACCCACACACTGGACGGAAGATGAGCCTGGAGGAAGGCTTGAGACACGGTGTCTTAGATGACAATGGTCATGTGGTGGACCCACGTACAGGAAATGCGAAGAATCTGGATGCCTGCATCAAGGACGGAACTGTTGAAGAAGTCTCATTGTCTGCGACTCAAGATGGTGTCAATGTTTTTACAAAGTCCACTCAAAAAATTAAGGTGAGCACAGTGTATGATCCTGTGTCAAGAGAAAATGTTCCTCTGAAAGAGGCCATTGGCAGGAGTATTGTCCACCTTGAAGATGGCACTTATGAGGACCCAGTCAGTGGGCAGTGTTTGACCATCTCAGAAGCCACACAGGAAGGACTCATTAGCGGCGTCATCTTGGACAAGGTAACCACAAAGGAGGAAATTACTAAAGCAGGTTCCATCGCTGAAGTCGCTTTTGCTGAGAAGAAAACTCTGCAAATTGATTCAGTTCGTGACATGGACAGTGGAAGAAATCTCTCTCTTTCAGAAGCTGTCCGCCGAGGTATTGTGGATGAAGAAGGACGCTTTTTCAAAGACACTCGAAGTGGAAATATAATGCCCCTGAAAGATGCCATCAATCATGGTCTTGTGTCTGCCAAGTCAGTGGAATCTGAGATGGAGTCAGGTGAAAGGTACGAGAAGTCTCATAGATCAACAGTAACTGAGTCTTCCTCCTTCAAGATCCAATCCGTCATCGACCCTGCTACCAACACAGAATTGTCTATCTCGAGGGCAGTGGAAAAGGGCGTTCTGGATGTGTCCAGTGGAACACTCACCAACCAGCGGACAGGTGAAACCCTGCTCATGGGAGATGCACTCAAGCAGGGACTGCTCAAAGTGACGGAGACGAGCGCCAGAGCTGTGGAACAGCCACACCTTGTCTCAGGAGCTACGGCAAAACAGGTATTCGATGCACAGAAGGATGAGTTTATCTCCTGGAGTGAAGCTGTACGCAGAGGAATCATTGATCCAGCCACTGGCACTTACCATGTCTCAGATACTGAAAGTATATCCATAGCGCAAGGGGAACAAGAAGGCCTGATCGTGAAGCAGAGCATGTCCAAGAAGCAGTCATCTGGTGATAAAGCCTGTGACATCCTGTCAGTGTATGACCCCGTCAAGGATGAGTTTGTGAATGTTACTCAGGCAGTCACTTCTGGGCTTCTGGATCTGAAAGCTGGCATCTACAATGACCCCACTACCTTAGACCCAGTGCCTGTGCAGCGTGCTTATCAGCAGGGCTTGATTAAAGGCATGTTGAAGGACAGGGAGTACTCTGATGTTGAAAAAGTTGGCGAGTACAGCATCAAGTCAGCTGAGGATTCTAAAAACTCAAAAACCCTAACAGGAAGAGAAGCTGTGCAGCACGGTATCATTGACAAGTCTAGAATGGAATTTATAGACTCCCAGACTGGAGAAGCAATGAGCATTTCTGATGCTGTGCAGAAAGGTATGGTCACTCTGGAATCAGACCTTCCACAGCCAGTTATCACATCCATGAAGGAGAAGTCTATGACCATCACAGCTGTGGTTGATCCAGCCTCAGGTAATGAGATCACAATGGCAGAGGCCATCGGTAAAGGCATATTCGATCCTGACCAAGGTGTTGTCGTCAACCAGAGAACAGGGGAACAAATTCCCCTGGACAATGCTATTGAGCAAGGCCTGATTAGTGCAGATGTCGAGGAGGGTCAGCAGGAGCATGAGGTGGCCATCATAAATGGGGTCCTCATCACAGACATCAAAGATCCACGCACAGACAAGTCTATCACCATTTCAGAGGCGATCAAGCGAGGAATACTGGACGAGAACAAGGCAATGTACAACTCGGTCACCAGCAGCATGCCCCTCCGAGATGCTTTGAAGCGCGGCTACCTTGAAGGCAAAGATACTTCGGACACATCTGGATTGTCGGAGCAGAAGAAACAAGATGCCAAGCAGGTCAGTGTGACGAGTGTGCAGGACCCGGTCTCTGGACGCCAAGTTGGACTGGAAGAAGCTGTAGAGATGGGACTGGTAGATGAGCACTGCACAGTCTTCCACGACCCCTTGACCGGTGAGCAGATGATGATGGAAGAAGCCATGAAAGAAGGTCTGGTTATTGGTTCAGTCCAGACGATATCCAAGTCGCAAACAACAGTGACTTCAAAGAAACCCAGTGGCACATACAACATAACTGGTGTCATCGACACAGAGTCTGGCCAAGAACTTGGCTTAGAAGATGCTATCAACAAAGGCATACTTGATCCATCTGGACACTACGTTGACACACTGACCGGGGATGTCGTGCCTCTTGCTGAGGCCATGAAACTCGGTCTGGTTATCTCCGAGAAGATCCAGAAATCATCTCGTCAAAACATTACTGCAAATCAGCGAGATGATGTGAACCGCGTGACCTTCAGGGACGCAATGAGGAGTGGACTTATTGACCCAGGGACCGGTTCTTTTTTAGATAAAGCCTCCCAGAAGATGTATTCTGTAGATGAAGCTGTAAGGACTGGACTTATTGTCGCATCTGATGGGAGGCCTTTCGAGTACAGAGGTATAAGTGATTCAGGAATTACTTACAGCTTCAAAAATGCCTTGCAGACAGGCATCATAGATTCTGACACTTGCCTCTTTTACGACAGTCTCACTGGAGACACTATCTCTATTGAAGCAGCTCTCAGAGCGGGCTACCTGTCCCCCATTGCTGGAGCCTATGGAGGAAAAGCGGTTGGGGAGTCGGTTGTTATGCTCAAAGATGGGGTTGCCCCCACGGCTGCTACCAACCTGGAAGAGATCCTAGACTCCAAGACGGGGGAGAAGCTCTCACTGAGAGAAGCAGAAAAGCGTGGCTTGGTTTCTGTTGTGAAGACAGATTCAAAGCTGACGCTTGATGAAGCTCTGTCAGGCGGTCTTGTTGACCGGGATTCTGGACTGTTTCACGATCCTATCTCTGGTCACAGCATGCCACTTGACGACGCTCTTTTATGTGACTTTGTGGCCTATGAGGCCAACAGTCAGCAAAATACGCCCTTGACAAATGGTGGTGCTGTGAACGGAGTACACTCAAGAGAAAGACCCACCTCGATTCCCTTGGCTGAAGCCGTTAGCCAAGGTTATATTGACACTGCTGCAGCAACGTTCAAAGATCCACACTCCCAGGAGAAGATTTCTGTGTCACAGGCTTTGCAGAAGGGTTTGATAAAGCCAACTTTGACCGTGGGAGAAAGAAACGAGGAGTACGGCAATGAAAACAATCAAGGAATGTCTGATACTGTGGGTATCTCTCAACAATCTGGGAAGATGTCCAACTGGAGAGCCTCCCTTGCCGAGAAGCAAAATTCGTACGAAGATGAGTACACATCTGGAATTTCTCGCTCAGAGAGACTCAGCAGAGGGCAGTCACTCACAGGAATTTCCGAGAGACTGAGTCGAGGACAGTCCCCAACTGGAAAAGATATGACAGAGGATGACATCGACTGCATCAGCATCAGTTCGTCCGTATCTGGGAAAAACTTTGATGATGACAGAGGTTTCTCTCAAGCAGAAGAAATCCAGAGAGACTTCAATGGAATGTCCCAAGTGAAAACCAGCTCCCAAAGAACTCTTGATCACTTCAACTCCATTGACCGGTCATCCACGTCCACTCCTGTCAGCGCATACGTGAGTTCCCCTCCCTTTTCTGTTTTTCTTTGTTTGTTTGTTTGTGTGTTTCATAAATGTTTTCTGGGATGTTTTCATTTCATGCCTTTTGTATTGCTGCTTTTCATGATGGATATCTTCCTGTAGCTTTCTCTATTTGTTGTTGAGGATTTGCTTCTTTTAGGTTGCCAGTCTTCCCATTGGCGGACTTCCTCCCTTGATGTTCAAGCTTTGTGATCGAGATGTCTACTATACGTTGGAGCAGCGACAACAGATTTTGTTTAGTAATGCTGAATTTCTTTAGTATGATTTTAATTTTGATGATTCCTCCCTTGTCTTGGTTCCTTTATAAATGTGTTTGTACATGATGTTAATGATTATGCCTTGTATGACCATGCAATTTTTGTAGATATTTTTACGCAATGCTCAGTGTGTCTTTATGATATTTTGATGGTCTTTATATTATGTTCATATATTGTACTATTTATGTATCATACTGAAGATGTCATGCCTCATGAATCATCGGGTCAATCTATCTTTCTGGGATCGGCCTTTCTAGGCTCCTTTACAACTGTACCCTTTCCTTTTTTGGTTTTATTTTTTATTCCCCTGGAATTCTAAATGAAGCACAACACTTTAAGGTGTGGGGGTTTTTTTCTTTTCTTGATGAAGAAGCAAATTTCATTCCTTTGTCGCATGTGACTCTCGGAGTCAAACCATTATAGATACTGATTGATGTTAGGAGTTTTATTCCTATCTTTTTCATAAACAATTCTTCAGTACATTTTGGGATTTTGTCCTAAAATAACTATTTTGGATATACATAGGAATAATGTTAAACTAATTGAGCTATTTACTTTTTAGGAAGACATGATCGCATGTGTAAGTGTCTGGTCTGAAAAAATATGGTTTCAATAGATAGAGACAGAATATTCACGCCACCGAGCTTGTCTTAAGGTACAATGGGTTTTTTTAACATCCTTTTGCTTGTTCATAAGGTCTATTTGAAAGCATGCAGTTTAAGAAACAGTTGGGACAAACTACATACCTTTTGTGCTGTCTCCTTGTCTCTCTTCAGGGCGCAGAGTCTTTGTCAAGCCCTCAAATTGTTCCTGGTAAAAAGATAGGTAGTGGGGTAAGGGTAGAAGGCACACAGCCCACAGGTGTAGATGTGTCGCAGAAGTCAAAAGAGGTCAATAGGTCTTGTATTGGAGAGAGACCAGGCAAATCCGAGATTGGTACTGATGTTTCAATTGGTCAAACTGATCAAAATGCTGGGCTGCCAGAGGATAGTAGAATTCCATTCGCAAGAACGAGTATTGAAGAAACGGTCAGCACAACAATTAGTACTGATAAGGGCACAGATGCTGAGACTAAGCAACCAGGATTGAAAATGGACAGTACCCAGAGGAAGTTGGTGGCAAAGCCTGGTGACTGTGGCGGGCAAACTGCTGGAATTGCTGCTAGTGTGGACTCGACAAAACTTTCCCAAAAGGGAGAAGGCTCTAATAGTGCTCGAGACGCTGGAGAGAACAGCGATAATGGAAATGTGAATGATGCAGGCAAACAGAAGAGTATGAAAGCTTTCGAGCAAGAGATTGAGTCCAGAGGGTCTTTCGAAAAGTCGCCTACACCAAGACATGTTGAAAAGGCATCGACAGAGCACAGTGCTGGAGAAATTCCCAAAGCTACCCAGAAAGGACTTGCTGTACATCAAAGTTCCAACGAGGTGCATGCACTGGCCCATGATGGTCCCAAGGAGACTGTTTCAAACGAACCCATTGGTGTGGTAAACAAAGGTGCTGAACGACACAGTCCACAGGCAGTTGTTAGGTCATCAGGAAAAGAAGTGTTCAAGGGTGAGAGTCAGGCAAGTGATCCTTGCAAGCCAACTGTTCCCCCCAAACCAGTTCATATACAAAGCAAACTTGCCAGACAGGAAGGTTCAGCAAAGACAGATGTTGCTTCAGATCAAAGTGGCAAAGAAGCCAATGCTCGGGCTTCCGCGTCCGTAGCCAAAACGGATGGAGGAGAGACTGTTTCACACAAAAATGTCGGCGGTTCAAGTCCAGGAGTCAAACAGGAACCTGGGAAGAGAAAAGCTGATAAAACACAAACATTGGAGGATGCATCGAGTAAAGATGTGAGTGAGGAGAATACCATGAAGGACATTGGTAGTGCAGAAAGTGTGGATGCCTATGAAAGAGTTGCTCAAGCAGTGAGGAGCATTGGGAAAGGAACAAAAGCAGAGGCAGAGGCAGTAGCACAAAAGTCTACTGGTTCTTCCAGCCCTGGAGTTAAACAGGTTACTGAGAGGAAAACTGTCGGAGATGCACAGAAAATTGATGAGACGTCAAAGGGAGGTGTCTGTCAAAGGAACACAGAAAGGAACATCACAGAAGCAACAGATGAAGATGTAGAAGATACTATTTCACAGAGGACTGCTGGGGCTTCCGGTGACAAACTTAACGAGGTGCCTGGACAGAAGCTGACAGATTCAACACAGAGAACAGAGGGTGTGTTGAGGAAAGAAACGAGTCAAGCGGATGCTGAGAAGGATATTGCTTCCTCTCAAAGTGGTGCACAGCTCAGACTTTCTCAAAGAGTTTGTGTGTCAAACGACAAAACAGAACAGAACGATGCACAGAAACCTGTAAATGTTTTAAGTAATGATGGCAAGAAGTCTGTTGCGCAAAAAATGCCCAGCATTCCATCTAACGATTCCAAACACACAACGTCTCGACCAATAAGTCAGAATTCCTCTGAAGGTGTTGACGAGGGTGTTTCCCAGGATGTTTCAGGTAAATCTGTGGAACACACCCAAGAGTCTGCATTACTGAAAGTTTCAGATGATTCCGGTAAGAAAGCAAAAGAGGATGTTACACAGAATGTTTCAATTGAGAAGAAGAAAGACATTGTTACACAGAAAGTTTCTGAGAATTCCAGCAAGAAGACGAAAGAGAATGTAACACAAAACGTTTCCAATGTTTCCAGTGAGAAGAAGAAAGACAATGTTACCCAAAAAGTTTCTGAGGATTCCAGTAAAAAGACGAAAGAGAATGTAACACAAAATGTTTCCAATGTTTCCAGTGAAAAGAAGAAAGACATTGTTACACAGAATGTTTCTGAGGATTCCAGTAAGAAGACCCAAGAGACTGTTACGCAGAACATGTCCAGTGTGTCCAGTGTGTCCAGTGAGAAGAAGAAAGAACATGTTACACAAAACGTTCCCATTGTTCCCAGTGAGAAGAAGAAAGAGAAGGTTGCACAGAAAGTTTCTGAGGGTTCCAGTAAGACTACGGAAGAGAATGTTGCACAGGCAATTTCGCATGAATCCAATGAAGTTGTCAATCAAACTGTTACATATTCCGATGGGTCCTGTGAAGCCACCATGCGAACCACCTCGCAGACACGATCTGACATATCAGGTGATATCCCAGGGGAACCTGTTTCACAACACATGACTGGTAAAGATGATAAACAGGACTCTTCGTACACAATTTCTGATCAGCCAAGTGAAAACACAAGACAGATGGCTGCACAAAAAGGTACTCATGAGTCCAACGAAGATCTCAACGTGATTAGCCAGCAGAATGTTTCCAAAATGTTAGGGCCAGATGGTAAACCATTCACTGCACAGAAAGTGTCGACAGCGTCTGATAAGGGTGATAGGTCTGGCGTCGGACAAACAACGCCTGTTGTGCTCTCCAAAGAAACGCCATCTGCTGTCCTGGAGGAAGAAGCTGTAGGTTCAGAGCAGGTTCCTGGAGCAAATGTTGCAAATCTGTCACAGGAGCGTTTCAAACATGAGATGAATTCCAGCTCAGGTAACAAGGGAGATAAAGCGATTGCACCAATTGTACCAAATAATTTTGCTGATTCTGCTGAATGTGCAGAGCAGACACAAAAGCAAAGTACATCTGGCTCCAAGAATAGGGCGGAAGAAACTGTTGATAAACAGACTCCTGCAAAAGTCATGAGAAATGAAGAGAAGTGTAGAGTTTCTCAGGATGACAGTGCTAAGCCTGATCATGGACCAGGAAAGATGTTTTCCCTAAAAATTGACGGTGGGTCAGATAATGGTGCTGGAGTGTTTTCTCAGGGACTCAGTGATGACGCAGAGAATGATGGTACGCAAAGTGTCTCTCAGACAGTTACTGAAAATGTCAAGGGTAGAAAAGATGTTGTAAAAGCAGTTGTTGATAACGCTATCAGCGAGTTGCAGAGTTGTGATGGTAAAACCTTTGTTGAAAATGTAAGCAGTGACCCAGGGCGTGATCATGTACAAACGCTTCCTGACAGAACTGCTGGTGTCTTTACAAGAGACAATGAACTGAGACTCGATGAAGTTGTTTTTCATGGCACCACCTCTGATCCAGTTGTACATGTTGTGGATGGCAGAGTAAATGATTTTAGTGGAGGATCTGGAAGTGTTGATTCTGTCTCTGGACTTCGAGACGACACGGTTGCAGATGTCCGTACAGATGATGACAAAATTAGAGACCATATTCAGTCTTTAGAAAATGCAGAACAAGCTGAAGCTCTGCCTAACACAACGGCAATAAGCACCGATGCGGAAGCGAGAGACAAGTTCTCTTCTCCAATGGGAAATGATCTCAATAAAGACCGTTCCTCATGGGACTCTACTCAAGACACAGAACTTCCAGAAGCAGCGCAAAGTCGGGAGAAAGATGTCGGAATGACTACCCGCATCAGACCGGCTTCTGCTTATTCTGACGCCGAGTCTCTGATAAGCCTTGATTATGAAAACCTCATATTTGCGTACACCAGTAATATGTTAAAAAAGTTCTGGATTCCCGAGGTGGAGAAGCTTCAGCACCCTAGAAAAGGAACGATGTTGGGTTTCCAGGAAGCTTTGGGCAGTTCTGTACTCCCCCGTAATATCTCAGTGCGTCAGTTCCACGAGGAAGAACCTGTGAATATCACAGACGCCTTGGCCTCTGGTCAGATTGACGGCCGAAGTGGCCGTGTGGTGGACATGATGTCTGGCGGGATCCTCCGCCTTGGGGAAGCTATGGATCAGGGTATTGTCCTGGTGCAGTCTGTTGGGGATCGGATGTTGGAAGAGCACGCGTTAGGCTGCCTGAGGCGAGAACTTGGGGAAGGGCTGTTAGATCTGGTGGTGACAGGTGGTACCAGTGCCTCCATCAGAATCAGGGATAAGAAGACAGGCCTGGTTATGACGGTCGCTGAAGCCATCACTGACGGTCTTTTCTGTCCGGAGAAGGCACAAGTGAAAGACACTGTCAGTAACAGATGGCTATCATGGGAGGAATCGAAGCATTCGGGACTAGTGATCGATGCTATGCCTTTACCTCTGCACCGCACTGTCTTGTCTGCCAAGTTCCACCCAGCCACAGAGACATTCCTAGACCCAACTCGTGGAGGTACTCCGGGCTTGAGCTTGTCAGAGATGGTCGAAAGAGGTTTGATAGATGTCACGTCGCGGGAAGTTTTCGATGTGAAGAATGACAAGTGGCTCACTCTCGAGGATGCCATGTTTCAAGAGCTGGTGGATCCACATGGTAACAAGTACCTCCACAATGTGTTTGAGCAGCCCATGACCTTTTTAGATGCCGTGCAGGCTGGTCTGATTGACTGTCACGCTGAGGTTGAAGCAGACATCTCGTTCACAAGCTTTGATGGACATGAGACTGATGAAGACAGTATGTCCATCTCTGATGTTGGAAAGTTCCCTATGACTGTCTACGATGCATTAGAGGAAGAAATGATAGACCCAGATACCAGCGAACTTCTTGCTGATGGGGAACGACTGTCCTTTGAGGTTGCTTTCAAACGAAGTTTGATCACTTCTGACAGGACATACGTTCTAGAAAAGAGCAGTGGCTTAATGTATGACTTCAAAGAATCCATGGAGATTGGGATGGTGGACATTGTTGAGGGGACAGTGATTGACCCAACTTCTGGAGTGAAGTATCCCCTCCTGAAAAGCAAGCAAATGGGCATGGTTCGCAACACTCCCACACCATTCATGGAACTTCAGACTGCAGCAGAAATCGGGCTTCTGGACTTAGATGAGAAGCGTATTTTACATCCACAGACCCGTGCAGCTATGACTATAACACAAGCCATGGCAGAAGGCATCATTGACCCGGCATCTCGATTGACTGAACATGAAGGAAGAGGCATCAGCCTGCAGGATGCTATCACGGATGGGTTTCTCAATATCGACACTCTTGACCTCCTTCTCCCAGGCGGGAAACTTCAGTCCATGTCTGACTGTCTGGGCATTCCCAGGTCCCTGAACCCAAACCGCAGGAGTTCAATCATTGGCAGAAGATGCAGTTTGACTTTAGACGAAGCCATAAACAGCGGTATGTACGATCCCGTTTCAAACTCTATGATGTCGAGAGAGGGCTTCATGTCCCTTCCGAAGGCGTTAAACGCAGGTCTTATCCACAACGATTCCTTGGTGAGGGATCCATTTAGTGGAGATATCGTTTCACTGAAAGAAGCTCTGGACAAACGATTACTGGACCCCGAGTCAGGCAAAATGATTGATTCTTCTGGCATTCCCATTGCTCTCAATTTTGCCCTGGAAAAAGGCCTGATTCTCAAATCGAAAGCTCCCCTGCATTTGTCTTTGTCCGAGGCACTTGATGAAGGTCTGTTCAACGTCTCGTCCAATCAGTTCGTCAATCCAGATAACAATGAAGAAATTGATTTCATCACAGCTCTCGACATGGGTATCGTAGATGTTGATCTGATCCGTGTGAGGAACACACGCACCGGGGAAATTGTCTCACTGGAGGCGGCAGTTGATCAGGGCATAGTGAATGTGGACGAAGGGACCTGCGTCAACCTAGTGGATGGGGAAAAGTTTAACATTGTGGACGGCATGGACAAAGGCATTATCATAGATAGGACCAGCCAGCCTGCTGTATCTCTGCTGGAAGCCATCGATGAGAGTCTTCTTGACATTTCGTCCTGTACCTTCAAGGATCCCGTGGGTGATTTCTGCATGAATTTGAAGGATTCTTTGGAATCGAATTTCATTGACCGTATGTCAATTTCTGTGAGAGATATCAAGTCTAGGACTCTGCTGACTATTGATGGTGCTATCAGCAGAGGGCTGGTTGACTCTTTAACGGGCTCATATAAAACAAATGAAAATGAAGAGGGTATTTCCTTCCAGGAAGCTTTTGATAACTGTCTCATCTTTTCGGATGCTTTCGTCCCTGACAAGAGTCTGCTGGAAGCTGTAAAGCAGGGTCTGTATAACTGGAAATCTGGGAAGTTTATCGACCCTGCCACCGGCCGAGTTCACACACTCCGAGACATGGTCAACGAAGGCTTCATTGATCCGGACACTATGCTGATATTTGACAGCAGCGAGAGCAAGCTGATTTCTTATGATGAGGCTGTGGAAAAGAAGATACTAGATACCAAAGTAGGCATGGTCCTAGACACAGAGACAAATGAACTGTTGAATCTCCGTGAGGCTATGGACAGAGGTCTCCTGCAGGAAAACATCAAGAACATCGCATTGTCCATGCAGCAGGCAGTACACGCTGGCCTTTTACAGAAGAACTGTGGAAGGATCATGGACCCGCTGTCCCGGAAGTCACTGTCAGTGGAGAAAGCCATACAGATCGGTTTAGTGGACGTGACACAGCTGCTTGTAGCTGTCAATGACAATGGAAAGTATCTCTTTCTCGATGATGCCATCCATGAGGGTATCGTGTTCGTGGATGATGACAAGCTGGTGTACTCCCGTACCACAGTGTCCCATGACTTTGTCTCTGCTTTTATGCAAAACATCCTCATTGAGATTCCGAAAGGGGGTTTCCTTCTCGGGGATGTGCTGTCCTCAGGGTTGTATGACGAAGAACATCAGCGCTTTGTTGACCCCTTCACCGGTCGCAAGTTGACGTTGATTGAAGCAGTTCAGAGTGGGGTTATCAATGAGGACAAGCCTCAGGTGGCTGTTCCTGACTTGGGCATCTTTTCCCTGAGACAAGCCATTGATAAAGGACTGATAGATCCCCACACAGGCAACTACATGGCTGCCAGCACGCCATTCTCACTCACAGAAGCTGTGGGCACGAGACGTTTGCTCATCGCCCAGCACACGCAGACAGAGGAAGAGTTTCGGAGAAGTATGTCATCCCTTGGTAGTTGTGAGTTCCTCCCTTCTCCCGTGTCCTCCAGGTCCTCAGTGGTTGCCCTGTCCAAAGACACAGAGAGTTCAATGGACACAGACTCCGTGGATTCCAGCCGCAGAGCTGTGGACAGCAAAGCTGAATCGCGGTCTCTGAGTGAGATGTCTAGTGATGACGAGGACAGCACACTGAGCTGTTCCAGCCATGTAGAGAACGTTCCACTTCAACCACATACACATTCCATCTCCATGCCACAGGATATATCAATGGACGACCGTCTTTCTCAAGACGGGAAAACATTCTCATCTCAACGTAATTCTAGGTCCTTCAATGTTGATATGAATGTCCCATTTGATGATAATCTTGATAACAGAAAATCATCCCCTGGCCGAGAAAATGGCTCCACTGATTCCGAGGGAAACATTATTATCTCCAAAGAACACAAGGCTGGCCGAGTGGAGTTCAACTTTCACCATTCTGTGGATGACTTTGTGGACGAGGCTACAGACATGTCCAGTGGTAGTCCACAGGCTTTTAGAAAACTTCCTGAAAGCCTGGATGTTAGCTTTACTGAGAGTGAGGCATCCTTACCCTCCCTACCGATGACATTAGAGGGGGAGGGAGAGGAGGAGATCCCCTCTGTCGCCACCAGAGCCTTCCACGAGAGAAGTCAGAGTTCATGCAGCGACAGCATTCACAAAGACCAGGGTGACCAGGTTGAAGGTCCCATGAGAACGGAGCGAAGTCACAGCACAAACGATCTAGAGTCTCATTTCGGAAGCTACGCCGCCTCAAGGAGGGAAGAGTTACTCCGAGATCTTCAGTCCAGGTGGAGCCCTCCTGCCGATGAACTCTCCGCGTCTCTCGACTCACTCCTGCAAGATGCCATTAGAAAACAGCTCATAGAAGAGAAACCCATGTCTTTGTTCAACACTATTGACAAAGGAGTTTACGATGACATTAGTTCCTTTTTCTGTGACCCGGAGACTGGGCATATTTTAACTTTGAGAGAAGCTATTGGAGCAGGCCTTCTTGATGAAAGTGTTCGAGAAGTGATAAGCTCCAACACAGAGCAGCCACTGACATTAAAAGGTGCAATCGAAGAAGGTATAATTGATGCTGAAAAGGGAAAATTTTTAGACAAACGTACTGGTACTGTACTGACATTGAAGCAAGCGAGGGATGTTGGTCTGATATTCAAGGAGAAATACAGCCCAAGAAATACTGTAGAGATTCTTGTTGAAGATGTCTCCGAGGGATTGGGCAAAAGAAAACTTGAGGATGCCTTCAGTAGTGGCATTTTACATCGCTCCAACTCTCAGGTCATTGATCCGGACTCTGTTCAGGGCATAACGCTCAGAAGGGCGGCAAGCATGGGCCTCATAGACCTTAAGAGTGGTGATTTCAAGAACCCACAGACTGGAGAAACAATGTCTATCGCAGCTGCTGTTGAGAAGGGCTACATTCTGAGTCCCCAAGGTCTGTCTCTGTACAGCGCTGTTGACCAAGGCTTGTACTTTGAAATGACCGGTAAGTTTATCCATCCAGCCACTGGAGCTATCAGATGTCTAGAGGACCTTATAACTGATAACGTCATTGCTGTTCAACACCCTGAGATACGGGACTTGAGCCAAGAGACCATCATCTCCCTCGGTGAGGCCATAAAGAAAGACATAGTGGATTCTCAGGAAGGAATGTACGTACACCCCAGCTCACACGAGAACATCAACTTTAAAGAAGCAATATCTGCTGGGCTCATCATTAGTACAAGTACTCGAGAAGGTCTTCATGATCCACAACGATCTTTGTCACCTAGCTCTGGACAGAACCGAATGAGGCAGAAATCACCTTCACCTCATCGGAATGGAAAAGGCTCAAAATTATCAGTAAACAATGGTTCCCAGATGTCATCGCCTACAATTATGAAAGATGATGAAAAAGCTAGTAGCATGCGTTCTTCTTCAACATCCCCAATGAGAGATGGAGTCAGCAGTGTATTGAGACCAACAACTAAAGTTATTCAAAGTTCTCTCACTGTTCCTGATGCTTTGCCTGGGGAGTTGCCCACTAAGTCAGGGCTAAGTCAAGTAGAAAGAAATCGCAGTACATCTTTGTTGACAGACCAGAAGGTGGACACAAACACTGAGGGCGTGCCTAGCTCTTCTCAGAGGACGCCATGCCAACGTGTCAGTGGTGATGAACATAAGGGCGCAAGCAGTGAGGCCAAAAGAGATGGATCTGAGCTGGCCACGCCTGGCCAAAAGAGTAAACCTTCCTCTTCCAAAGAACCAAAGAGTTCGACGCCTCGGACCAAAGCAAATGACCCCATGCCTGGTACTGAAATTAAAGACCAGGAGCTCAACAAGACTGTATCTGGTAACAAGACTGCAGCCGGTAGTCCTGCTGCACCTACAGACATTCCATTCAGTCCGTCAACTCTGGTGGACGGTCATGACTCAACCTTTGATGATTCGTCTGCGTCATTGAACCAGACAGCTATTTTCGTTGCAAGAGGTAAAGACCAAACTGGTCAGTTAAAAATGCCCGATGGTGATTCATCAGTTGCAGGAAAATCTCCAGAGAAGAAAGAAAGTGTGTCCAGGAGCACATTGCCAAGAGTTGATGGTAATGGGAATGTTCCGCAAATAGATGATATTCCTGAAACAACAAATCTGCCGGCGAAGAAGGATCCTTCCAAGAGTGATACATTATCTACACAGGGTTCTGGTAATGTGCAAAGTACTGATGTTGCATCAAGCACAAAGACAGATGAAGTTGATTCTGCAACAAGGGAAACCAGGGATGGCAAATCAAAGCCTTCTTCTGAGCACGACGACAAAGTGCCAGGGTCCCCAAGCACACATTCTAAAGAACCAAAGATTTCTGGGGATATGTCTTTAACACACCAACTGTCTTTTGACAGCAAACAAGGAAAAGAAGATAAGGCTGGGTTGTATGACAAAAGTGACACAGCTATCCAGAAAATTCAGAGGCGCTCAAAGGCTGGGGATATTTTGCTCATCGAGGAGGATGAATCTAAAGAAGATGCTAGTTCTCTTGGCGGAGATCACCAGAATATTGTAGGTAAAGGGCTGGCAATAAGAGCTGGGTTTGTCCCAGAGGAAAACTTGTCACATACTGGCGATGTGAGGGACACTGAAAGAAGATCCCATCCAAACATAGCTGCCCACTCAGCAGATTTGACTGGTTCACAAGAAAGTCCTGTACCGAAAACCACAGATCAGATACTGAATGGCCATGCTAACATTGGATCTGACAGCGGTGACAAGGACCAGGAAAGCTGGGAACAAGCTCAGCAGCTGAAAATGTTGGCAGATGGGTTGGGTGAAAATGCACAAGCAAAGCTTGCTGGAAAGGGAATGGACATGAGTAAATGTGTGGCAGTCAGAGAGTCTGGCAGTGAAGACAAAGTGACATCTCCCTTGTCAGGAAAGGACCGTGCTGATGACAGAACACGCTCGGGCTCCGAAAGTCCTTCCTCGGGTACTGACACAAAGAGGAAGGTGGACATTCCTACCGGTGACGTGCAGCTACAACATGAAAGAACTGCTGATCAGAGAGAACAAGTCAGTGGTCAGAAAAAGGAAGCTCTTCATTCCACAGGAAGTTTAGACAATGCCAGGGAAGATCCTGACAGGAAAAGTATACCAGTGTCACAAGTTAGTGAAGATACAGACACAGGTGTTCATATCTCCCTGGAAGTGGACACATCCAGTTCAGGCAAAGTAATGACTTCTCTTAAGAGAGACTCTGTTCCTTACCTTGATGAGCCAGATATTGTTCCAGGTGGTAGCGATAGTGCTCCAGGGGCACTGGCAGTGAAAGAGAAGGACAAACGAGGTCATCTTATCCCTGAACAACAAGGGTCATCTGTAGATCCTGTTTCACTGACAAAGGTGAACAGCTCTGCTGATAGCAGTTTATCTGATGTTAATGCAGTGTCTTCTGTGGCTGCTGGTATTGACGAATCTGAAGATTTCCCAAGACCTGTAACAGTTGGACTCAGCAAGCCACGAAACATATCAGCTGTTTCGAACACAGTGTCAGAAAGACATCAAGATGGACATGAAATACCTGAAGATAAACAGGTTGAAAAATTGTCTAGTGATAGTTCTCATGCCTCACATATTCAACCATTCAGTGCTGCAACTACGAGCGGGCAGTCAGCACCGTATGAATTGTCAGATGGTGAAGATAAGTCAGAAGAGAAAGACTTTGAAGATAGAACTGATGAACAGAAAGAAATTCAAAAGCAGGGGCAACATGCCACCACTCAAGATTCTGTTTCGAGATCAGAAAAACCAGAAGACGAGTTGGATACCAAAGATAGAGTCGATATGGATGAGCAAAGAACAGGGGAGGGTGAACCATCATCAACTGGTGCCGTTCCTTCAGCTCGTAAGAAAACTGTGAGGTTTGACAGTGAGTTGGATAAATATCATGAAGATAAGCTTTTGTCTGCCCTGGAGACTGGGCATTCAGCAGTAACAGTAGCTTCTGACCATCTGACTGAGCCTTCTATCCCTAGCACAATAGGAGAAAAGATGGTCCCTGGTCAGAATGCTAAGACTAAAGATATGATGGATTTGAATCAAGACCCAAGGAAGCAACCTGAAGATTCTAAGGAATGTAAGGGAATTGTCAAAGTGGAAGGTACAAAAAGAACTTTGTTGGTGAAAGATGGAGAGGCTAACGTGGAAGACAGCTCTCGCACTTCTGCGCGTAATGAAAACAGTCCAAAGGAAAGAGGGCTCTCAACTGAAACGGACTTGGGTCGTGATGAGACAGTGCAACCAGACTCTAAAAAGGTCAGTGGAGCATCGACTGAGAACTTACTTCCCACAGGAGGAAAGAGTACTCAATACCTTTCTAAAAGCATTTCTGCTACTATGGAACTTGGTGAGGAGAGTGGTGTCTCTCAAACGAGACAGAATGAACAGGATGATAATGAAAATTTCAAAACAACACAAAAGTTATTGTCTGGTGCAGGTAATCCAGTAGCAAAACAAAGGGCAAAACAGAGCTTTGAAAATGAAGAACCTTTGGCTGGTCGTTCTGAAGCTGTCTCTGTGGGCCAAAAGGTCAGAGTGCACACTCTCCCAGGCGAACCCATTTCTGGTACTTTGGATGAAAGTGACGTTTTCTCTCCGGCTAGACGTGGACAAAAGTTGACACCACAAAATGAAGAGAGCTGTCAGGAGAACCTTAGTGGAAAAGGTCTGGAGGAGGTACGTGATGCTCTTCCAGGAGAAAAATCTGTACCAGACGGATCATCTGAAAATGTGTCCATATTGAAACAAAGGACACCGGAGCCTCCCAGCAATGAAACATCGATGACAAGTTCAGTTTCATCAGATGGAAAGACCGAAAGCCGTCAATTATCACCAACCAAAGACACACCTCTTGACACTTCGTCAAAATCCTCAAAGTCAGGGCTAAGAGTTAGATTCAAAGATGTATCCCCTGAGGTAGAAAGTGTCCTTACCCCCGATTCCGAACCCGGTGGTTTAGATCCTGCTGCTAACTTAATGGGTGGTAGTGACTCCAGAGGGCTGGAGGAGGGCACAGGAAAAGAAGCAGGGGCAATGAGTCCATCAGAAGCTCTTAGACCAGGGCTTAGTCTGATAGAGCATCTGCAGCGGGGCGGGGCAGGGCGTGGCGTGGAGCTTCTGTCTCCAGGCTCCCCATCCTCCCCCTTGGACGACCGAGAAGCTGGAAGTCCAGAGCTGGAGGCACTGCGGCTCACAGACAAACTGTTCAAGCTCAACCTCAAGGCCGGTGTGGCCGCGCGGGATAGACGCAAGGTACGCCACTGCCTCATGACTCATGATGAGCCTATTGTGCGTTTGCCTTGTGTGTGAACATCGTCATGACGGTCCTGCCACACTTTTGTTTTGGCTGTTGCTATGAGACCATAGATTGCATGACATGTGCCCTTTGACCTGCACTGTTTGGGTGTGCTGCGATGTGACCCCCTATGTCATGTGCTGACTAGATAGCCATGCTTGCATTCCGTCGGTCTGGACGTCTTGTTTCCGCTTGATGTGGATTCCATTTTTTGCATCGTGAAGCAAGGATTTTTTATTTGCATGAGAAGATTGATCGATTGAAAATGGAGCAAAAAAAAACTACCCCAACTTCACGGACTGGGTAGGCAACAAGGCGTAGTTTGTAGCTCGTGTTATGATGATTTGCTCTGTAGATGTTGTGTGCTAACAGGTGTGTGCTCTTTGTGACAAAAAGAGATGCCAATGTACTGGTGCTCTATATAATCTTGCAAGCGCCCTGTTTAGTCAATATTTTGCTTGAATATTGTGTGAGTTACTTATCCTCATTCCTCCTCACACTATAATAACCTGTGTCCTGCTAACCACCCATGAAGCCCTTTAATTAAATCCCCCCCCCCCCCCCCGCTGCGTGGGTGGTGTTTGGAGGTCAGCATTTGGCTGAAAGTAGTTTTGCCTTAAGCTTCGATACTCATCATCTAATTGTTTGCGGATAAATGCAAAGTTCACTTGCAACGGGGAAGCCATGGGAATGAAGCCATTTTCTGTTCTTTTTGTAAGACAGTAAAGTGCATTGATACTGGATGTGGGTAAAGCGTTACTGTATCCTATTTAAAGCATTGCACACTTATTGAGTTAATTCATCCAGGGTCGGGTCAGGTCAAGACATTGGGCAAACCTGGTTTAATTAAGCAAAGGAAAATCGGCTTGAATAGACTTTGGCCTCTGCAGATGTGGTCCCCAAGCAGTCACTCTGCAATAATTATAACGAATCAGTGAACATTGTTTTTTTAGAACCAAGTTCATATTTGAACCTAACATTTCTTAGGTGACGTTTTTCATAATTCATGTGCAAGTAGAGCTCTGGGGTTATACTACTGAGTTGAAAATAGATTTCTTCAAATTTTTTCAGAGATGATTTGATTTTTTCCACCTTCATTTTCACTTCTACCTAAAAAGATGGCCAAGCTTGACTTGGGTTGATTGAGTCGCATTGTACCAGACAAGGTTCAGCTCAGGGAAAATAGTGTTATGGTATTGTTATTTTAGTGGTAGAGGCGGACAATAGAAAATCTCCTTACCCCCTTCAGTTTGCTTTTCTCACTGTGCAAATCAAAGGTGCCTAGCATTGTCAAACCACATACAGTTGTTTAATACAGTCGTATGTGGAGGAATAACCTTCATTTTTTTCTTTTCCCTTTTCATCAGTAAGTTAAAATGATTGCTATGGGTTTGTTAAGTCCCCTATTTTGGTTGTGGCAGTGCACGAGAGTTCCAAGGATTTTTGTGTGATTTGCATTTTTTTTTGTCACCTGTAAGTCTTTGTTTTTTAAAGCACTTTACTTTTTTATGTCTGAATTTGGATTTTTGAAGTATCTGAGTTGCAGTTAGTTTGACCATTTGTGAATTTGCGTGCACGACTGTGGTCAGTTTTTTTCCCAATCCTGCCTGTGATCATTTTGATTGTGAATTGCTTTTTGTTATGAGTTTTTTTAAATTCTAAATGTGTATGAAGTATGAATTGTAATTGTTCATAATTTGCAAGCTTTTTGTGCTGCTTTTGTCCATATAGTTTTTAATTTGTGATTGTTGATGCACATTTTTTTCATTTGCATTTCAAATGTCTTTGTTTACTTTTTTTTCTCGTTTTGCTTGCTCAAGAGTGTGTTTTTCCACCCTGATTTGCGCCACTTGTTAAGTGAACTACCTTCATCACATTATTTTTGCTAGCATGGTTCTTTTCTTTTCTCCCTGCTCCCCCAACAGCTTTTGTTCGTCTGCCTTCTAAACGTTGTCTGTCTGTGTGTTGTAGTGCATGCGTATCACTCATACAGCATTATTCCATTCCTGTCATCGTTTCTCCTCATTTTCATTTTTTGATAAAGAGGCAAGTCATCTGTGTGTTTTGTGAGTGACTCATTTAGACTTCTTGTCATCAGCATCATGAATTATTTTTTTGGGTACATTTCTCTCTCCATTTTACTCTTAATCATTTCCTCATAATATTATCTGCCTTATTACAGTGTATTGTTTGTAAAGCTAATATATGTATTTAAAGAACTTTATGATGGCACTTATAGCTTGTCACTTTCTTTCAACTTCTCTGTTTATCAACCTGCTTTTTTGTGACTATATAGTGAGCCTGTACCCTTTTCTCAGTGAACATAATGAACAGGAACTTTGCTAAATGTTTAATTCATTGTCTTTTTTCGATGATCACAAAGTTGCTGTGATATTTATTATGTGCTCTAAATGTTTAATTTGTTGTATAGATAATGTGTACCTTTCAGTTTGACTGGATTCTACATCTCCTTTCAGTACTGTTAATGTGTTTCTTTGACTGCCTTGTAAACGCATGAGACTAACACATTGCGCTGGTTTTGTCCCCGCTGGGGTCACAGGGTCGCATGGCAGACTCATATGACAAGCTGTTGCAAGATCTCTCTGCCGAGCAGCACAGACTTCATGAGTTTGAGCAAGTCCTCAAGGAAGACACACAAATGGGAGACGAGGCTTACAAGGTGCAGAGTCAGCTACAAGCCCACAAGGTGAGGATATTGATCTTATAATTATTATGATTTCCTGTATTCCCACGCGTTGAGTCATGCCAGCAGACAGTTAAAGCGTGTCCCTGGTATATGTTTTATTTCTTTGTTAACCCTGTGTTCTTTTTGTTTGTCTCTTGTTTTTCCCAGCTCCAAAACACTGTTCTCCTTTTGGTATCTTCTCTTCCGAACTTCGACTTGAACCCTTTTCTGATTGGATGAACCATAGCTCAAAAATTCAATATTGAAATGAGTATTAGTTTATATGCTTTTGCAAACAGCATATTCTGTTTTATTCAATGGTTTTCTTTTTGATGAAGGCTATATTTTAATAGAGAAGATGGGTAGATGACACTACTTTAAAAAAAGATGTTTAATTGATATAATCTCTTTGATCAATCTTCCGGATTTATTATTCTGCGAATACTTTAAGTTGGTAGTCTTCTGTCTCTTCTCAATGCGGTCTGTGGTGGAATAGTGAAGCTCTTTGCCCTTGTGTGCAAAAGATGTGAGTTCAATTACTGTATGGGGAAGTCTATTTTTGTCTTCATAATTTATTTACTGGAATACTATATACCATTCAGCTAGAGGTGGCCTTGGCATGCAAAGTCGAAGTAGCGAGCCAAGTTCACTGCCTTCAAAATGACCTTTTTGTGTCTCGTGTCTCAGCAAGTAGGTGGAGGCTGCCACTGGTCAGATAGCACCATTTGTCTTGTAGGGCATTATCTGATACCAGAACAAAACAGAAATTCAGTCAGTCAAATATTTAATCTCAAAGTTAGTCATGGCTTCAAAGACGAATAAAAAAAAAAGGAAATCAGTCAGTTCGTCAGTCAAATTTTAAATCTAAGTATAAATTAATCATGGCCACAACAAAACCATTGACAAAAAATGTCTAGCAGGCAATTAATCCATCTGGCAATCAATCACCAGGCTGTCCAAGAAGAGATAAGCGACCACCAGCAGCCCATCCTGTCCCTGATCTACCAGGCGGAGCAGCTGACAGAACACTTCCAGGAGGAGCTCACGCCAGAACAGGTCACACAGCTGGCTGGGGACGCAGCCACTCTCAAGAAGTTACTGGAGAAGGTGAGCAAGAACAGCTTCTTTTACAACCTTATTACTATGATTAGTTTGTCTGTTTCTCACAATATCGTCTTTTAAATCCAATGTACAGGTGTTTGAAGGGCATAATTTTTAGGTCTTACTTCTTTTCTTTCCCGCTGTTATTTCTGTCTATCTTTCTTGCTTCTTCCCTACACCATATGACCGTTATTGTGTCGATGTGCTTCTCTTTTCTCAAACTCAAACATGCAATGTCCCAAATCAGAAGCCTGACAAAATTAAAGACAATTCCGTACATAATGACTGAAAAATGAAGCAGCTCTGATCAGTAACCTTTGAAAACAGCATTTGAGTGCCTAAGGGTCCCCAGTTGCCAAGTGGTCAGTGATATCAATGATATCAATGTTTAAGTGGATGGTCACTGGGGTGTGTCCCTGAGCAAGACGCAATGGCCCTTGCTAAAAAAAAAAATCCAGTTGCACTGTGATGACCAGCAATGATATGTTGATTGTCTGTATTGCTGTGATATTGTGTATTTGTATTGTTGATGAAATAATTCAAATATTGTACATATGTGAGGCAGTATGGTGAAATCTGGCGCTTGTCAAAATAATCAAAGTAAAGAAACTGGCATTTTTCCGTAAGTTTGTGAATTTTTATCCAATTTTTGTTTTTTCGCTCAACACCTTTCATGCACAGTAAAGAACAAATTTATCTGTAGATTTTACTGAAAAACATTGATTAAAGGTACATAAAAATGAAAATTTTCAGTTTCCATGGACTCTCAGGCTAAGGGAATTCTAATCATTAATTTTACCTCTGAAACCAGGTGACCCCCCACCTCCTTCATTCGCAAATATCTCGACTTGTATTCAAGATAAATGGATATTTTTTTCCTCCAAAGCAAGACAAATGAACAAGCTTTTATGATGGTGCCAATAATTCTATATGCCCCAAAATTAACGAGAGCCTGATTCCGCCGCGTCGTGATACATATATATATTTATGTATGTATGCCATTATAAACCAAATTTTTCCTTGAGAATGTATAAAATTGTATTTTATTTTATTTATCTTATTTTATTTTAAAAGATAGAGATAGCATGCTGTAACTGATAAAAGGGTCTTTTAATCAAAGTCGGTTGCACTGTAAACAAGTAAGTTGTAGGACTCTTTTGGGAATTTCCCATTTTATGCTGTGGGAGGAGGAAGAATAAAAATAAAAGAGAAAGACAGCTTTAATTTATTTTATTTTTTTAAAGTGTATCATACTTGTAAAAAGTAAAGTAACTGCAATAAAAATGATTTTTGTTTCATGCTGTTCCATCAGGTGGTGAGGACATCAGAGCGCCGAATGAAACACCTGAAGTTGGCTGCTGAGGAACTGAGCAAACTGGAGACAGAAATGGGCAAGTTCAGCACATGGAAGTCTGCAGCTGGCAATGAGCTTTCACGGCTAGAGGACTGCCTCCAGAGGTTTGACACCAGATAGTTTGTGTGATCTTTCCTGTGTCCATTTTTTTCATGGAATATTCTACCCTCTTTTATTCTACCCTCTTCATTTTGTATATTAACGTTTGTATTCCATTTTGTTGTCATGGTACTAATATTACTTTTGGGACAATATCAAGAGAAACTCCAGTAATCTGGTTTGGTCTGCTTGGATATCAGAGCATACAGCAGTTGTGAAAAGCTCATAGGTTTTGGCTCAGTTGGTATCATCATGTCGATCTATGCTGTAGATGGCCCTTGCTGGAATCCCCAACTAGGCATTCTTGATCTTAGGTAGTTTTGAGAATTTCTAAAGCTCTTCACCTTATGGAAATGGATGTTATACTCATGCATTTGAAGGTCCTCCCTCTTGAAGACCCTTACAGTGTTAAAAAGGGTGTTAACCCCATACAATTAACGCTATTTTGACGACGAATGTTAAAAATACCTTGAAAACTCATATTAGTGGAGCTAACATGAGTACATTTTTCACAATAATCTTTAACTCATTGAAATAGTCTTACTAAGGCATGGAAATTTTCTACATGAGTTCTATCTATTCAAAAGAGAACTATACAATCTCTGTGGGTTGTTGCAATTCTACTCTGACTCTGAAATTTGTTTATTATAAGAATTACGTCATTTTTATGTTTAGTTTTTAAAATCATGACAAATGTTCAAGTTCATATCAAAATATTTAGTTCCTGCACATGCAGCTATGCACTTCAAGATGTCTATCCCCTCGTTAACTCACCTTTGTTCTTTATTCAAGGTTTGAGGACTTGAGACCTCTTCAGGACAAGCAGAAGGAGCTGATGAGTGACATCATGTCCCACCAGGCTGACATCCGCTTCATGTCCATGGCAGCACAGAAGTACATGGAAGAAGCCAAGGTTAGGCTCATAAATGCTTTTGCCCTTTACATCAGTAGCTTTTTGCCGTGACTTCAATTCTCTGTGAGATATCTTTGCAAATAAAAAACCGATATTCCTTTCTGTGGGACTAAAGTGTTTTAGATGTATGAATTGTGAACATTCTAGAAGGACAAGTATTTGACGTCCTAACCAGTTGGTGATTCTCTGATTAGGTCTGCCTCACCAGTTCCTTATCGGTGTATCTTTTGTTCTTTTCTGTGCCTGGTCGAAATGGAGCCATTATCACAGTAACTCAATGTAAACTAATCAGTTCAAAACAGCTAACAAAACAATTGGCAAAAAGCAGAGAAGAAAGTTTATATTAGGGGGATCGTTGAGACAGACAGATTGTTAGAGGTAAGAAAAGCATTCTGTGAGTTCACTTCAAAGTCCTCATGTGCACTCATTTTATGAGTAAAACATCACAAATATACACCCCTTAAATCACAAACACTAGCATTTACACACAATGCATTGATCTTCCTTACAACCATGCACATACAGACAATGGTCACATCATACAAAGATTGGGTAGAATAACTAAATCTACAGACTGGTACAAAGCCCAAGAGTATAGCGCATAGAATAATAGAGTGTTGTCGAAATGTTTTTTCATAGCTTCACAAACTGGAGATCGACTCATACCGCGCAGACCGCCAGCGTCCAGCCCGTAGCAGTCTTATCAGCATGGATTGTGTGGCAGCTGACAGTGTGAAAGACCGGCTCAAAGAGGTGTCGGAGGACTACTCAGAGCTGAAGCAGAGGTGAGAAAAGCCCGTCGGTAAATTAATACGGTCAGACAATTTCATCCACTTTGTCTTTTGACTTATTTCAAGAAATGACTCTGTGCAGCTGTGAGCACCATAAAACTTATACCAAACTGAAACGGAAAGAAGTGCAGCGCATTTTGAAATTGTCTTTTGAATGTACTTTCTGCTTCCTACCAAAATATAGCCATTTCCTAACCCATTATCATGAAAATATATATCCAAATTCTGTTCATTTTCACTAGGAAAATTTTTCTAACATTCTTTTCTGATGTTGATCTCTGAGTGATTGCCTCACTGATATGTTGGTAATGTCTTTGTCTTCTTCTTCCTGGACAAGTGTTGCCCTATTATAGCCCAATTAAAATTTTCTGGAGGTGAAAGTTCTAATTTGAACATTTGTTGCAGGTGCTCGTCTCTGGGTGATCGTCTTTCTGACGTGAGTACCAAACAGCGCAATTTCAACGACTCTGCCTTCAAGATGCTGTCCTGGCTGGCAGATGCCGAGGATGCTCTGGCCTCTGTCAAACAAGACAGCGGCACTCCTGACCCAGAGGCCCTGCACGGCCAACTTGATCGGGTCAAGTCTCTGAGCAGCGACGTTCTGGTTCAGGAAACACAACTGGAAGACATGCGGAGGAAGGGCCAGGACCTGACCAACAGCCTGAGTGGCATGGCAGCAGATAGGGCACAGGTACAGTGGCTTATTCTGGTGGCTTGCCATCTTGCCAGAAATGTTATCATGTCAAGATCCGAACTGTGTCGATGGTGGTGTCAAACATTTGTTATAACTTACAACCAATGGATGTACCAGAAATGCTCAGTGGCCTAATATTTCACACAGTTTATCTTTTCACTTTGGATTCTGAAAATAGAGGTAAACGAGGAATATTGATATTTGGAGTGCAAATTACATTGTTTAATTTGTCAAGTGGGGAAAAGATGTAAGATAAGTAAACACGTATTAAAACAAATATACATACACAACCTGATCTCGGGATATATCAGAACAGAAGGTGTCAGCAAAATTATGACTCTCTATTTAAGAAACAGACAGATGTTGACGATTTTTCAAATTCTATTTTCCTTTAATTGTGTCTGTAAGGTGGAGAAACTTGAAGAAGACATGCGTGAGATAGAGGCTCGCTACACAAATGTCTCTGAGTCAGTGAGCAGTCAAGCCAAGCTTCTCCAGGCGACCATCACACAGTCCCAGGACATTCAGGGGGCGTTGTCTGGCCTGCAGTCCTGGCTGGACACAGCAACAACCGCGATGGTCACCCAGCAGCCCATCAGCTTGGAGAGACCGGTCATCATGGAGCAAGAACAGCAATTCAAGATGATGGCTGCTGACATTCACAGGTGAAATCAGAAAACATTTGCTTAACTTCCTCCTGACCGAAGGCTATTTGTCTGCCAACTTTTGTCAATACAAACACCTTTCTAATGAATGTTCTATCTTAAAGTTTGCACCTCGAGCTTCACCAACGTCTCATTTCCAGAAATTAACAAATAGCATCAGACGCCAAGGAAATAGCTGTGTAGTGATAATGGGAACATAGCTTCTGACATCATTTATAATGTAGTGGAGGGATCAGTGCTGCACTAAGCAGAAGCAGGGAAAGTGATATTGGATCATACTGGATGATGGGGAAGTCAGACCACGGAAATTTTGGCTTTAACAGAACAAAGCCTGTCGTTACTGCCCTGTTCTGTATGTTTTATACTTTATGAAGTAAACTAACATAGTTACATAATTTTCATTTTGTAATCATGGTGATATGGCTCCTTTTTTTGTGCATGTGAGTGCTTGTGGTAATGGATTTCTTTCCCCTTCCTCTTCTGTACTCCAGCCATGGCGACAGCATTGAGTCTGTACGTACAGCCACCAGAGACCTCATCAAGTCAGGGGATCTTCACATGGCCAGAGCTTTGGAACAACAGCTTGCCGACATTGAGGACAGCTTCAGCAAAATTCAGGATTCCTGCCAGGAACGAGACAGCGCTTTTCAGGAAGTGGGCGGGAAACTGACCGAGTTCCACGAGAAGATGGACACTTGCCAGAACTGGTTCCAGTCAAAGATGGAAGACCTACACTCTCGAGATATGAACAGTATGAGCAACGACGAGGCTTCTGAGACACTAACCATCATGTCTCAAGATCTGAAAAACAAAGAAAGAGACATTGCAGTTCTGCAGGATATCGCTAAAGAACTTAAAGAAGACCCTCGCACAGGCAGTCTTTCTTCCATCACGGCAGCCATTACAGAATTGCGGAAAAATGCGGAGGAGTTTGAGTCAGCCCTCAGTGAGAAGCAGGCTGAGGTAGAGCAGAGAGAGCAACAGGGTAACGAGTTTGAGTCTGCCAAAACCATGATGCAGCTCTGGCTTGCTCAGATGGAAGCCAGGCTGGATGAGTTCGAGCCTGTGGCCATTGAAGTTGACTTTGTGGAGAAACAGATTGCAGAGCTGCAGGTCAGTGTTGACTCCTGTCTCCTGTCATTGCAAACTCCTATCTCCTTATATCTGTGTAAATTCCTGTCTCCTTATATCTGTGTAGACTTTTGTCTCCTTTATGATAATAATAGATAGCATTTGTATGGCGCAAATCTTTGCTCAACAGCAAGCTCTATGAGCTTCACAATCTATACTGTTATCCCAGCAGGCCTGAAAGCATTCTGAAACAACCTCAACTTCCTGGGAAGCATACAGTGCAAACGGCCATTTATAGGTGCTAAAACACAGACATACTGACAAGATCTTTCGCTGTCTATGGCCGGGTACCCATTCCCACTTGGGTGAAGTGAGGAAAATTCGTGTATAATGCTTCCCAAGGACACTACGTTGGGCTCGCGGCTTGAACCACTGAACCCGCAACTTCACGATTATTAGTCCTGTAGCCTAACCACTAGGTCACTGACGCCTTATGTCACTGCAAACTCCTGTCTCCTTATGTCACTGCAAACTCGTGTATGTTTTGATCTGATGGCAACAGACAGATGAGACATATAAATTAGGCCAAGGATATGTTTAAACCATGGGACCAAATTGTTATTCTCGGCACACAGAGCGCCCATATGACCTTATGCAGTTGCGAGCGCCATAAAACCCTCGACTATAATAAAAAATAATAGCAAAGTTTGATATTCAGCTTTTAACCCTTTACTGTTCACAATTGATGTCGAAAATTCTGGAAATCTTACTAAATGGTACTTTATTTTAATGTGTGTCTTACAGAATTTGCTCGTTTTTGTTGTGAAATAGACATCTTGAACAAGTGAGAAACTTGAAAAAAAAAGCTGACATATTTTACAGCCATGAGCTTTATCGAGGCAGTACATGTCTTGCTCCTTGCATGGTCAATTATTGTGGTAAGGTCAAAATGTGTTGCTTTTGGAATGGTTACAAAATTTTGCCTCATCTTTCCAATCAAATATCCATCATTCTTGTCTCTCCTCCTTTTCTTTGTGTGTTACTATCTTGCAACACATCTAATCTTCGATACTTATATGACTTATTTTTGTTGCAAGTGCCATAAAACTGAAACAAAATGTCGCCTCATCTTCCATTTCCAGCCCATGTTGGGAGAGTATGAGGAGCATGGCCCAAAAGTGGACGAGGTTAATGACCTTGGCAATGCCCTTGATGCTCTGACCAGCTCTGGTGACCGGCCGCTCAGCCCAATCCGTCGTCTTGGACGTAAGTGAATATTTCGTGTGTTTGAGACAGAAATATCGCAGAAACACGTGTTGTTCATGACCCGTAGTATTTTGTTCTGTGGTCTATTATAGGGTTGAGGTGTTTTATTACAGCTGGTCCTCTTCTTGCAGTTTTTGCTAGTGGGTTGGTTTTGTTCTGTTTGTTTAGTTTCTATTTTTCTTTATTGAATACCCCAACTGTTTCATCCTCTACGTCAAGTTCTGTGCCAGCAGTATGGTCTGGCAACATACAGAAGAGGGAAAGGGCTCCCCAAGCTTCATTGAAATAATTCTTCCTTATACACCATGTGTAGTATGTTGTGTGTGTATGTGTGAGGGGGGGGGGGGTGTGTCGTTCATGTAGCAGTACTTTATTTTGACCCGTAGATCTTTGGCTTTTTCTTTTTTATATGTTCGAAAGTGAATGCGATGAGGATTTACGTTTTTTCTACAAGGGATGTAGCACAATATACAGAACATAATCCACTAGTCCTTGACAGCTTGTGCTGTTTTGAGAGTATCCCAATGTATTTGTTTGTGTGTTTACATATTCTTTCTCGTGGACTATCTTCAGTATCCTCCACTCAAACTGACTCTGCACATTCCCATATTTATCTCATGACTTAACAGATTTGAGTGACTCACTCTTTGACTGTCAAGAGTTGAGCCAATGTGTATCTAATTTATATTCTTTACATTTCTTTTATCCTTTGTATTGCTGTTTACTGCTGGCTGCCTGTCTATCTTAGTCACTGCCGCTCTGTCTCTGTCTTTCTGTCTGTCTGTCTGTCTGTCTGTCTGTCTGTCTGTCTCTCTCTCTCTCTCTCTCTCTCTCTCTCTCTCTCTCTCTCTGTCTCTCTCTCCTCTCTCTCTCTCAAACACACACACACACACACACACAAACATACATACACTCACATACTCACATTTGCTTTTTTTTTACATTATAGTTTCACGAGATGCTTCCAAAGAAAAAGTTGCACAATCTTGGAGTTTTGCACTCGCTTTTGTAGAGATACGCATAATAGTTTTCTTTAATAGAGAAATCTAATTCGAACTAATTTTGCTTTGGGGACACAGGATGAATATGTCTGAAAAAAATATTTGTGTATAATATGCATCTCAGCGCTCTGAGATTTGTTCTATCAAGTTATCAGCCCTTTGAGTGGTAAATCCATTTGATCTGTTCAGAATATTGTGATATTAAGTCTTTGAGGTTCTTGAGAGGTTGGTCATGTTTTGAGGGACCAAGTGAATCTTTGCTTGTTTCCAGTACGTCTGATTGTTGCTCTTACATTTCTCTTCCCCTCCTCCCAAACTGTTGCACACTGTGCTGCCCACCTCCTTCCCCCGTCCTTCCCCCTTCGAATCTTTATTCACTCTTCTGCCCCAAATGTACCTCCTACTCTGTCATCGCACGAAATATACGTAACGTGATCCCCTCCATACACCACATACAATTTAACCATTCGAAAACTGAAAATGAAATTGTGTATCGTACTTCCGTGCACTTTGACACACTCGGTTGTGTACTCTCTGATATGCAACATATACAAAAACACACATGCTTGTACATTCAAACACACATTAACACACACACACACACGTACACACACACATACATATACAAACACACACACATACACATGCACATACATATATACACATACACACGCGCACGCACGAACGAACATATACCCACTACCTCCAGGCACCCGTCGCATTCCGGGCCTGGTGTCCCCCCGGCTCCGTACCCCGTCCCCTACGTTCCCCCTGTCCCCCACGGCCCTGAAAACCTCCATGTCCAGCGAGTCCAGTGGCGTGAGCAGCAGGAAAAGCTCGTCAGACAACATTTTGCTGGACGGTAAGAACCCCGGGCTTGGCTCAGCTTGCGGCCCTGGCCTCTGACCTCTGACCTCACTGTGGTTTGCTCAAATCCATGTATTGTATTTATGCTGCAAGATTGGTCACTTCGCCATTTCGGCAAACTATAAAAAAGCAACAACAAAAGTCCTCCACAGTGCCGGTAGCAACAACTATTTATTCAATAGGCCAAGGGTATTATTCTTTTTAAGGAATGACGTATTTTGTACTCAAAGAGTAGGACCAAATGGTTGTACTAAAAGAACATCTAATTGAGAAATGAAACAAGGCGTTCTCCGCAGTGCCATTGGCGACGTTTATATTTTTGTGCGTGATGATAATGATAATAAAAGCAATAATAATAATAATAATAATCTTAATAATGATGATGAAGATAATTTTTATAGCGCTTGCTTCTTTGTGAATGCAGCTCTAGATGCTTTACAAAAATACAAGGGCAAATTCGGTGTTGATCAATACTGTACATACTGTGGAAAAATCTGTGTAGAATTAGAGGATGCTTTTATAGGGAGTGAACCATCTTGTAGCGTACAAGCTCTGCTGTGGTATGATGTATGCTACGCCCTTCTTCTATTCCTGGGACCTCCTGTATCAACTCACAAAGGCTTGAAACCTTCCCCCCCCCCTCCTCCTTTGAATCCACCCAACCTACTCACCCTACTAGCAATTGTGTTCCTCTCATCCACTTTCCACACTAGCTATTGTGTTACTCTCACCCACTTCCAGGGGTGTAATTTTTTGGCAGATTTCCAAAAGTATGAAATAAATGCATGCCAACTTGACAGTTGAAGTCATTTTTGTCACAGTTTTACAAAATTGATGATTGTAATTTGGGTATCAGATTACAGGCATGTCTTTTTTGGCCTTTCAAGCTGGCAAGAAAAATTTGACCGAATTTTCTACCGGTTTGGGTTCCAAAGTTGTAGTACATTGGAGAAAAGGGAGTGGGGGTGTCTAAAAAGAAGAATGTGGAGAAAATCTAGGCTAATGTTTGGAAAGAGAAAGCAACTGAACTCCCTAGTGACCAGTGGCCTATATACATGTTTGCCATTCTTGGGCCTGTTGATGTGTCAGAACTGATGAGAGATTTTTATAGTTTAAAATCTCTTCAGTTTTTATCCTATTTCTAAAAACAGCTGAATCCCCCCCCCCCCCCCCCCTCACCCCGTCATCTCGAACACCCCTGGCATACTGATGTGGTTTCTGCTAACTCTGACAAAGCTTTTAGTGCTACCATTTCCATTAAATGTGCTGTACTCGTTTCCAAAAGATTAAAATACCTCTCAATTTTTTAATATAATGAAAAGAATCAAGTCTTGCTCATATTGTTAAAGTCATAGAGAAGCTTTTGTTTTATTTTTTCTTCTTTTTTCTTTCGTCTTTCCCTCTTTTGCTTTTCTTGTTAGTTTTAGGTACTCTTCCCTTATAATTAAGGACTATCCTGCATAATTTAGACAATTTCACTGGTGTAAATGTTTAGTTTGTTATGTCTCTAGGGTCAACATTTTTGTGTTGCTGAGTGTCCTTTTGATCCTAGAAACCTTTGCCCAGTTAGATGTTACTTCTCTACTAATATGGTGGGTGTTAAAAATTCAGGTGTCGTCCTGCTTTCACCGAATTTGATACTTGTTTGAAGGGATAACAGTAAGACTTTAAATTTCTCAACAGCTGACATGTTGTCACAAAATACGAATCGCTAAATCTGCTTTTCTTTTTCCTTGTGTAATCAATGTACAGGTTGCTTCCCATTCTTATTGTGTATAAATCTTACGTCTCTTCAGTTTGCGCTTTGCATAGTCATGTATATAGGCCTACTATAGAAAGCATTTTTGTAAACTCTATTTATCCAGGGTTGTACATATTCATATCTCTCCTTTGGATTTGTCTTGTCTTGGGTAGTTTTTTTCTATTTTTTTCAACTAAGCTGCTGTCCAAAGAATCTTTTAGAACAAAAGACAATAGTTCTTACATCATTTCAGAGACTGAAGTAATGAAATTGGGGGAATTGATAAATTTTGTAGAAGCCAGAGGGAAGCTCTAAATCACTAAGATCCATACGCCAAACCCCCATCCCTCCCCTGATGGAGTACTTTTTGATAATTTGGTGTTTTGTGTGAAATACTTTAGTACGGGGGGGGGTTTACTGCACATATTGTATTTGTGTTTTTATGTTATGTGATTATTGGTTGGGGTTTTTTGTGTTGTTTGTGTGTGTGTGGAGGGGGTGGAGGACTGAAAACAAATTACGTTCTATCTCCCTTCCTATGATGGTCTTTTTAATTTGCTGAAAACTTTGTTACCCAGCTGGAAGCTAAAGACGGTTGATTTTAATTCTAAGACAGCAAATAAAGTAATGAAACTTTCGAGTACAATCGATACCTCTTTGTTCTGTCAAGAAGGCTACCTGACCCAAAAGTAGAATAAAACTGGGGGGTTTTTTTTATATCAGTACATTTGTTTTGTTATGCGCTTTTTTTCTAGGACATGCAGCGATGTATGGGCCTGTCTTGCCATCATAGATGACTTGAATGAATTTACTACTTTGTTTCTGACCGCTTTTATTATTTTTGTTCAGCTGTGCTCATCTGCTTCTAGAATTCTAGGCATAATATCCTGTTTCTACATCTTCTGTATCATTCACCGGTCAGTCTCGCAACTGGTTCTTGGATACAAGCATAACTCTGTATATTTCTCGCAGTTGTTGTACTGAATGGAATTTTGCGTTTTGTTTGTTTCATTCACTGTATTTAACCATTCTTAATCTGTTTCATTTCACATTTATCCTCATATTTTTTACCTCGGGTTGCTGATAACCTCGAGATTTTGTTTCAGAGAATATAGTTTTTTAGACTGGTGTATGTTTCCACTTCGGTGGAATTTACCAAATTCTGTATAAATTTGTATATATGAGAATAGTTTATGTCCCACTTTTTGAAGGATCAGCGTTTCTTTTTGCTCGCTCTTCAGAAAGTTTGAAGTATCCTGCCTCGTCCACAGAGTAAACCTAATGTGATTAGATACAATATGGCTTGTTGTTAAAAAAATGTTACCAAATATCTCCATCTTTTAACTGGGATGTTGTATCCTTTTGAGCCCAGGGTAGAAGCTGCCCACTGTCTGAATGGTCTGAGTTGTTTCTATGGGGTTAAGAGAAAATTTGCTGCCCATTATTTTGTGGATGATATGTCTCTTGATAAAAGGTTGAAAACCCAAAACGTTTTGAGTAAAATTTTAGGTAATAGATTGAACTGTTTCTGTTTGCATCCAAGGAATATTTTAGGATCCTATTGGGATTTTTACAATTTTACTGCAAGGCTGGACTGTTCTAGAGAAGAGTTGATGTATTGTGCTCTGCTTAGCATTGAATTCTGTTATAATATTTGATAACGGTGTTTCTTCTTTCTTATGTGACATTTTTACAGTGCATGTTATACCACACTAGTACATTCTGATTTGATATAATGTTGTCTTTCATCTTCATAGCTGAAGAATTTCAAATAACTTGCACAAAAAAGTGGGATGGTGGGGGGGTTGGTGTAGAATTAAATTTTAACCAGATTATTTGTGTTGAAAATCCAATCATGTATTATCTTAAAGAATTTTGTGTATTTCCATTGGAAATTTTTTCTGTTAAAAAAGTATTAAACACATTTACAAACTATTCTCTTGCCAAAAATATTGAAAATTTTGTGCTTTGATGGAGCAGAACCAGTGTTGGATTGAGGGGAGAAATACATTGTATGTTGTTTTGTAACAAATGCAGTAGACATCAATCTGGAAAGAACTGAGAAGTAGAAGTAATGGGGGGGGGGGGAGGTTAATGAAGGAAAACATTTTACAAATTGTTTTCCACTTTTAGCATACTTTCACTTTGCCTTTTTAGGTTGGCTAATTAGCATGCTTTTTTTTCTCCTTTGCTTTAAGGAAGAAAGAGCAAGCAGTGCGTCATGTATATGTTGCTGCTTAGTGACTGTTTTCAGAGGTTGACTCATTGCCTTTTGACAGGAGACATGGGTGTTTCATTTCTTCCTTGAGTTTCCTCTCTCCTTGACAGGGGTAAGAAATAAGGTCATTGAGTCGTTTGATAATAACTTGATTATGTTTGTATGAGTCTTTAACTTTGGTTGTTTTTTTCCCCCTCTTCTTCCCCTGTGCTGCCCTCTTATCCAACCACCTCCTGACCCCTCCAACATGAACACACATACTCTCACTCACAAATGCATGCATACCCATACACTCTCTCACACACACACACACACACACACACACTCACACACACACACACACACATACACACTCACATACACACTCTCACATTACACTCACACGCACACGCACACACACACACACACACACTCGCATTATCCACACATACTCTCACATACACACTCTTTCACAAACTGGGCCTGTGCAGACCTATCAGAGACCCAGCAACAGCTCCTGGACATCAACCAGCGCTACGAGATCCTGGGAGAGCGGCTGGCGGAGAGACAACAAGAGCTCCAGGCCGTCCTGGCCTCCATACGCAGCTTCAGTCAGGACATGCAGGAGGTTATCTCGTGGCTAGAGGTCAAGGACAGACAAATGACGGATGCTGGCTCCTCAGGAATCCCGGCCAGTGAGAAGTCTGCCAAGAAAATGCTGAAGAAGCATGAGGTGGGATTTCTGTTTCTGTACTGTGTTCCCAAGGAGAGGGGGTTTATGTTACTGGTGAGGAGGATTGTGCTGCTTTAAAGAAAAAGACACAAACTTCCCTCTCAAGTAAATTTGCAGTGCAGATCTTTTTCCCTTTGCTCGGGTTCATTTATTTTTTTCCTTTTTTTTTTTTTTTTGTTCTACTGTTTGTATCGAAGACAAATCATAAGGTGTCAAGACTTTTTTCTCATTCCATGAAAGGAGAGAGAGAGAGAGAGAGAGAGAGAGAGAGAGAGAGAGAGAGAGAGGTTTTGGGGAGGGGGGGGGGGGGGGAGGGATTGAGTTGCTGAGTGACAGCTTGTTGTATGCTCTAACAATTTATTTCAAAGTTTCGATTTTTGTTTCCTTTTCTTACTGATTCAGAACAGTACTTACCGTAGCTAAAATAAAGACTATGGCTTTACTTAACTCATGTGTCATTAACATAGCAAGTGCCACAGAAGAAATTGGTTAGGAAAAAAGTTTGGCTTCATGGCCTCCGTACAAATGTCAAGTAAAAGAATCGATGACATTGGGTTTTTTTTGTGCCTTTCAGGAGTTCCACCGCGAGCTGCTCAGCAAAGAGGGTCTGGTGGAGGACATCAGGAAGAAGGCCCAGGAGGTGATCAAATCCCGGCCGGGCGTGGCAGGACTTGACAGTCTACAGTCTCAGCTTGGTGACCTCGGTACATTGACCTTTTCTTGCTCTAATGAGGGAATGGGAGAGAGATGGTTGGGAGTGGGCTGGGAGCTCAGAGAATGACAAAACAACAGGGTGTGCAGATTTCTTGGTATACAGAGAACATGCGCTAATGGCCACCTGTCCCAGACAATGGCCTGTACAAGGAACCACTTCCCATTGCCCCATAGCGTTTTTAAAAAATATATTATAATGACACTGTCCATGACATCCACCTATCTAAGTTAACCACTTTTTTCCTTGACAGTTTATGGCTGTGTTGAACAATTTTACTGTAGTTTCATTAGAGCTGGGGATGTGGGCTCGGGTTTTGTGTATGTGTTGGGGGAGAGGTGATTATGACATTTTTCTGTGACTTGTCATTTAGTTGTGACAAGACAAATAGATGTTGATGACAAATGCATGTTCTGATTTTAAAATAAATACAAGCACTAAAATGTATATATATTTACAATCTGCCCTAGGAAAATATAATCTTTGTACTTTCATTGAAAAAAAATGGTTTTTTGACACTTTCACACACTTGAGCAATGTTGTCCTGAACCATATCTCCCAATTGTTTGACATCACAGATGACAAATGGCATGGCCTCCGGGCAGTGTCTGAGGAGCGACGTAAGGGCCTGGAGGACGCGGTCAGCGACTTGCGGGACTTCCGCGAGCACGAGGACCAGCTGAGTCGCTGGTTCGGCCAAAAAGAGAAGTTGATGGATGTACTAGGTCCCGTGGCGATGGAGCCCTCACTGCTCAAGTCACAGATGGAGCAAGTCAAGGTGAGTTCTTTTCCTTGAGGTCTACACCCTCAGCCATATATTATTATACACACCCCTCCCCACATAATCACTGTGAACCTTTCATGCCCTCTTTGACACATTTGTACTTGGTTTGACCAAGCCTTTCCAGAACGAATTTGGTTTCACATCCCAGACAAAAGACTGAGACACTTTATTAAATACTTTTTACCCCCACTGGAGTCACACTCACATATCTGCATGCAATAATTAAGTTCTTAATGATTGTGTCACAGATGCTGAAACGAAAATGTTAAGTTTCAGTTGAGTGTTGTTGGAGCTATGATGGAAAACAATTTTGCGACTTTTCTGTATAGTTTTCATTTGTCTTGCAAGCTCCTTTTTAAAATTGTGGGTACTGCTTTGTTTTCAGGTGTTGAAGGAAGAATTCAAGACCCAAGAAGCAACGTTTGACCAATTCATAAACTGTGGTCAAAATATCATGGACTGGTGCGACCCCCACTCTCCGGAGGGCTCTGGCATCAGCAAACGCATGGACAACGTCAGCAAAACCTGGAACAAGCTGCAAGGTAATGCAAGAACAAACTAATGATATAATTTTAAGTTTCGTCTGTTCTGATAAAGAGAAATATGATTACTTTGTTTCAGCACTGTCACTGTGGGGCCTGATGATGACTTAGATGGTATCATGCAAGACTATGAAGTGAATGATCCTGGCTCAAATCTTCAAGGGGTTGTTCATGAACACAGTTTGTTTCGAAAGTTACCAATCAATTTGATTCAGTCCTTTCAAAGATATACCATTATCTACAGTTATGGTGTAATACTCTCGTGAATACAACTGCATTTTGTGTTTAAAAAAAGGGGGGGGAGGGAGGGAAAGTGTGGATCGTGTGCAAGCCAAAATGAAAAAAAATTCCCTACAAAAAAAATCAATCAGTTCCACTGTTTGTTGATGACTCAACATGTGTTGGTGTATTCATCTCATCAGGGCGGCTGAAAGAGAGAGAAAAGAACATCGACTCAGTCCAGGGGGTCAGCGGAGAGTTCTCCAAGGTCACGCGAGACCTGGCCGATTGGCTGGGAGACTTCAGTGACCGAATGGACAGACTGCCCAAGGTCAGCTCACAACCGGATAAACAAACAGCTCAGAAGCAAGAGATGCAGGTCAGTGGTGGACTTTCGGGCAGTTGGAGTTTTTGTCCTTAAGATTCTACTAGACTTACCACTTTTTCTCCAAACCTTGGAACTTTACAGAATATGAACTGTTCTTTTTTTTTAGGGGGTGGGGGGCGGGAGAGAATAACATGGTTAGTTACCTGATTTTGTCAGATTTCTTTGAAAATAATGATAATAATATGTAACATTTATATAGCGCATTTCCAAAAAAGTAGCTCAATGTGCTTTATATTGGAATACCCATTTTCAAAAAACTTTCTTACTACTTCCTTTCTTCTCATGCAATATATATTTATGCACTCACACACACACACACACACACACACACACACACACACACACACACACACACGGACTATTTTCATTCAGACGTAGTCACAGAACAACCATAATGAAAAATTATGCTAAAAGCTTATGAAGGATAGGCCTGTAGGAACAGAAAATGCTTAAGATATTTTTTTACATGTACAAATGACCACTACTGATTTAGCCCTTTGTGTTTTTTCTTGATTATAATGACACTATCCAAGACAACCATTTTTTCTCCTCTCAATGGCCATCTTGGACAATTTCCACTGTATTCCCCCACTTCCAAATGATGAGGGTGCACTCATCATTGCATGAGCAGTAAGAATACAATGGGAACTCCTATGTAAGAGGCCTCAAAAATGTTTTTAATCTGTGTTTGTTTGGTCTGTAGGATCTTGAGCAAGAGATGCAAGAGCATCTTCCAGCCGTGGGCCGAGCCAAGGAACTGTGTAAACAGCTGTGTGACTCAGCCAAGGACCCTGCCACCAAGTCAGACTTACGATCAAAGATGGCTGCCTTGGACAAAGATCTCAACGACACACTGAAGAAATTGGGTGAATTATTTTTTCTTTAATTCTTGTCTTTTATGGTGAAAATATAGTCTGCAATCTCCCTGTTCCATTCAGTTGTTCTCTTTTTTGAGTCTGATATTATAATGGTTCTGTGCTAAGACACTTTGTTGCTATTGTCTCAGCTACATCAATGTCTTTTCTATTTGCTATTCTCATAATCTTCTTATTGTGGAAAGTAAATTGTCTCAAGATAGGACTACTAAGGTTATACTTAGTTATAAATTTGTGTATGTGGGTTTAGGCTTGTATACTATCGACAAATTACTATTAGAGGAAAGGTGCTATCTGATCCAAACTTTTAAAACTATTCGATTTGTGCACGTAAATTACAGGATAATAATATTCAATGGTAAATTTTCTTTCTGTTGCATACATATTTCCTTGGAGAAAATCATAAAGGAAGATCTACTGCAAATTCTTATAATATTCTTGTTCCGAAAATAATATGAAGTTTCAAGTTGTTTTACTGTCAAGAACAGTGTGTTAATTAATGTGTGATTTGGAATATTCTAGAATCCCGCGCAGAAGCCCTGGAAGCTGCCACACAGGCAGGCAAAGAGTTCAACGCCGATTGTCAGCAGATGTTGAACTGGATCCAGACCACGTCAGCCATTGTGATGGATGCCCCGGCACTGACCAGCGACGCAGACTTGATCCAGAGACAAGCTACGGAGAACAAGGTGAGCAGTGGACTTTCAGTGTAGAGAACAAGCCACACACACTTGGAGTTCTGCAGTTTAGTTTATAGTTTTGTCTGATAGTCAACCCGTTAGAACCAATGAGCTCTGTAAACTTGGTATGGTATGTACAGAGAAAAGATTATGTCATTTAGTGAGAGGAATTATTTCCTTCATTTGGCACCCCAGTCTTGATATAATTACTAACTCTCAAGGGATAGCAATAAAGATGATGATAAGTAAATCTCTGCATATGTTCTTTATGACTATATTCTTCACTCCTCTCTTTCTCTCTGATGAGGCAAGCATGATTAAAAAGCTTGTGACCGTAGTCTTCAAAACTTTTTTTCAATCCCACATAAAGTGTTTTCTGAACATTGCATAGTTTGAAGATTATTTGTCCTTCTTTGTCCTGTTTTTTTTTCTCTGTGTTCAATTCAATTTAAGAATCCCATATTTATTACTCGGGAAAGAAGTGAGCCTATATTCTGTGTCCTCCCTTATGAATGTCTTTTTGCTTGTTGAGTAGGGCTATATCTCCGTCTCAAACTCTTTTTCTTCAGAATTTAAAGCAAGATCTCAAGTCTCGAGAGCCTGACATCCATGTGCTCCTGGACAAAGGTCACAAGTTCCTTCAGGATGCTTCCCCCACGGAAGAGACACGCGCTCTAAGGGAAACGCTGGAGAGACTTGGGGCTGAGTGGGGAGAACTCAAGGAAACTGTGAGTGCCCAGGGGATTTTTTGTGTGTGTTATTTATTTGTTGAAGGGGTGGGGTGGGGAGTAAGCATAAGCATATACTAGCATATCTGTGTTCCTCAGTGGGGGTGAGTGAGCATATGTTTGCGTATCTTGGTTTGTCAGTATTACAAGATGTACTTCACAAATGTGAGAGAAGTGTGTGTTCATACCTTTGTAAATGTTGATGACATTTTTTAATTCAAATTTTTGTGTGATGAATGTTTCTACCCCTTAAACATCCACTATTTTGCAAGGAAGTAAATACCACTTTGTGTGAAAAAAATGCCCTGGAGAATATATTCACTTTATAGAAAGAGATCCTGCCATATTTAAGATTTTGCCTGTCATGTAAATGAAGACTTGATTGTCTGAAAAGAGTCAAAGACTTAGGACAGCCTCCAACTCTCCCACACTGTCCACAGGTGGAGGAGAGAGACACAAAGATCAGCTCAGCCGCAGCCAATGCCCAAGCATTCCAACAGAGCCTGGACAAGATGCTTTGGTGGTTGGGCAATGCTGAGGACAAAATGAAGCGACTCACACCAGACACATTCGATAAGGCCACTGTCTCAGGGAAAATGAAGGAGTTACAGGTAAGATTTTGTTGTTCAAGTTTTTTTTTTTTTATGTAGGTGTTTTTATGCCACCATCAACACAATTTAGATCATTTTGAAGGCGAGCTTCGACCCTGCCTGTCAGGGCCATCATGGGCTGAAAAGGATATAACATCCCAACTGAAAGACCAAGATACTCGAAAATTACTCTGGAATCAAACTCAGGTCTCCTGCATGTGACAGCAAAGTGCTTAATGACTACACCACAGAAGCCTATCATTATGCTGTGTGTGTAGTTGAAGTTAACAAGATGGTAAATCAATCACACATCTCAGTCAAAAGGATAATGATTAGGGTCTTTACAGTTTGAGCTAAGGGTCGGAGTTCCATGCAAATGCCTGTGTCTTTGTAGAGACATGGATTGGGTTGGCTCAAACAGGCAGGGCCAAAATCTAGACTGGGTCAGTGGGGGATAAGAATGTTTTATTGCATCTATGTATATTTAATTGACCCTGTAGAACAAAATATTTATATTCTCACGAAACAGGCTGGAGGATTTAAATAGTTTGCTGTCCCTCCAGCAGAGAAAGCAACGCCTCCTCGGATAGGATGCTGCGCACAATCTACATCCTATTTGGCATATAGGTGGCATCTTTTTGCTTTCCTGACAGTGCCTTCTGCCCCACTCTCTTTGACACCAGTCTGTCGAATTATGGCTGCTGCTAAACCACAAAAACGCCTTTGCTTGGATTCTGCCTTCAAAAGGACCTATTTATGTTTACTAGGGTGTTAAACTCTTGTGCAAAAAAGAAAAAAAATCAAATTGTTTACCCAACATGACCTTTGATCTACCCAGGCTCTTCAGAATGAGGTGTTGAGGAAGTCACATGATCATGACAATCTGAACCGTGAAGCAGACAACTTGCTGGAGGCTGTGGAAGACCCGCACGGAGAACTGCGTCACCAAGTGGAGGAGATCAATCGCAGATGGGACAACATCAGCTCAGGTCAGGCTTAGTGGGATGGGTTGTGTCTATAATGTCTATACCTATGTTTTAGGCTCTACAGGACTATTGTTATTCTTTCATGTTTATATTTTACTTTGTTCAAACGTTTTGGCTTGGCATTCTTTATAACTTTTGCCTGACAAGACACCATGAGGGCATTTTCAGCAGAATATAAAGATAAAAATTTGGGAACTTGCACTCACAGCTTGTACTAGTATGTGATAGAGTGCAATATAAATGCTATCTATTATTATTGTTATTTTGAAAGAGTTCGGTGGAAAATTATCTGCAAATTGTCAGTATGTTTACATACACTAAAGTAACCAACCGTGCCAGGTTTAAATTGCTCAAAATCAAATATTTTGCATGTGCTAAAATTAGGAACCAAAGTCTAATGATAAAAAATTCCCTACATAAGGGTACCAGCGGCTCAACAGACAATTTACTTCAGCTGAAAGCTGTCACATTATTAACCCTTGGTGCTTCCATTTTTATTTCATGGTACATTCACATTATAAATTCTGGATGTATTTATCTGCTGCTGATTTATTTTTTTCAATGAAAAAAGACAAAAATTTACCTTTATTTATTGTAAGTGAAGAGAGATTTGCTTTGATTTGGTCTGTATTTTTTAACCATATTATTATGCTATGAATTGTCTTACGTCTGATGGATATTGTTTTGAACATGAGCACTTGATTGTCTATTGCACAATCTGGCCTTTTCCTCATCTGAGGTTATCACATCTTGTTGGAATTCAAGAACTTTTGACTCAGTTCATCTGTTTGTTTTGCCTTGAATTAACGCTGGTTAGGTTTTCTACTTTTGTTACTCCAGGTCTGGGCGAAAAATCCCAAAGCTTGGAGGATCTTCAAGGCCGTTTAGCAGAAATTGAGGACAACATGTCGGACGCCAAACACAACTTGACGCGCTGGGAGGACAAACTGGCAGCTCATATGGACATGGGCACTGCGGCCAGGGACCCCAAGCATATTGACAAAATCAAAGTAAGAGACATGACATGATTTACTTATCTCGCTGCTTTTCAATGTTTTATGGTCGTTAGAAATCCCCGTAAACACCTGATCTGAGTTATTCTTCCACTGTGGTCTCAAAAGGAGGATGTAATTACCTGCTGGTTGGTGGTACTCCAGTAACCCTTATGCCTGTATCTTTCCAATAATGCCACAGTGTAGAGGGTTCAAATCTCTGCCACTGAGTTCAATTCCCATATGGGGAAGATATTTGATCCTATATCTCCATCTTTCTGCTGGGATATATTCCATGAACTTTTGAATGACATGCTACCTGTCGGTAATTGGCAGGTGTTCTGATATGGCTTGCTCCTCTCTTCCTATTAAACATCCATCATCGTTATCTCTTCTCCTTTTTTGTGTTTGTTACTCTGTAGTAATAAAACCTTTAACATTCGACACTAATATGATCTATTTGTGTCGCAAGTCCTGTAAAACTCTTAAAGAAAACTAAAACAAAAGTCTCCGACACTGAGTTCAGTTCCCATATAGGGAAAATATTTTATCCTATATTTCCGTATTTCTGCAAGTATATATCCCATAGGCTACCAAAATGATCTGCATTGTGTTGATACGAGAGTAACACATTAACGGTTATTTATTGTCTGTCTTTGTCTGACCCAGGCTTTACAAGACGATGTCTCAGGCCTCACCTCCCAGTTGGACTATCTCGACGCCCTGGTGGAAGGAGTTGACCTTAACGACAACGCCGACCCCACTGAACTTCAGAACCAGGCCAAGGTTGTCCGAGACCGACACAGCCAGCTGGAGAATGAGGTGGGAGAGCTGCTGACCAACATGGAGACTGGCTCCTCCATCGTGTCTCAGTTCCAGGTATGGGAATTTTGAAGTGATAGTTTATTGTCTGATACAACAAAAAGTTTGCTGAATAAGCTGCATCCCATTGCTTTAGGTGGTTGGTAGGCTATCTGGTGAATCTTGCTTCTTTTTTAATCTTCTGTATGATTATTTTTCCTAGCCCTTTCCTGCCATGGCACAAGCGGGGTGGATGTGGTAACAATTAAATTTCTTACCCCTGGGTTACTGTTAAAACCTGGATCTTTTCTTGCCAACTCATTTTACATCACACTGCTACAAGTTGGCAAAATATCAAGTGTGGCTATGTGGGTTCTACAACTATTATATGAAGTTATTGGAGTCATCTTTTCGTTTTTATTCTTTGTTTTGAATTTAAGTAAAGCGGCACCTACATATAGATAGCTGGCACCTCTATAAAATGATAAACTAATTAGTTCTTATGTTTCTTTTTAATGCCCTTTGCATGGACAAACGGGATATAATTGAATTACATTATTTTATATCGATGAAATGTACATGTTTCATTTCCTCCCCAGGACATGCTGAAAAATGTGTCAGGCCAAATGACAGAGCTGGACTCGGAGTTGTCCCAGATGACACCTGTGTCCAGGGATGAAGACGAACTCGATTCACAACTGATGGAGATCAAGGTGAGGGCTTGTAGGGGTAATCTGCTGTCTGTCTGTCATCTTGCAAGTTGATGGTGTTATGTATTCATTGCTGTATCTGTATATCTGTCTGTCCAAACATATGTCTTTCTGCCATTCTATCTATCTGTCTGTTTGGTTTTCTTTCCGGCTGTCTGGCAGTTTGTTTGTCTTTCTGGCCATCTTTCAGTCTGTCTATGTGATACTTTTTGCTTTTGTCTTTCGACATTTGATCTAGATTAAACTTTACCCAGATTTGCTTACTGCTCAATAGCACATTGAATGATTCAGTAAGTCACATTTTTTTTTTTTTCAAATATCTTCTTCACTTATGAAATTGGACCCTTTCACTCTACAGTTTCTGTGACAGCTTTTCCACACCCTTGCACCGCTGTCAAGTGGGAGAACATTGTCTCTGCGACGTTTTGTTCATGCTAAACCAGTTTTCTTTTTATCCTTTTTGTCTCCAGAACTTCAAGCAGCAGTTAACAGATAAATCAGAGCCTCTCTCAGACCTAAAGGAGCAGGCACAAGACCTCCAGCTTGCCGGCTTCGTCTCTCATCCTGAAGCTCTCAACTCACAGGTTAGTCACGTACATATTGTAGACACTCTTAAAATTCTTTATGTTTAATGGCCACTGCTCTTTGACTTTATGTGGTGTTTAAGCTGTTGGGCTTGCAACTGAAAAGTCATAGGTCCGAACCCCTTTAGGGGCTCAACGTTGTGTTCTTGAGAAAGGCACTTTACAGGAATTTTTCTCATTTGACCCAAGTAGGCTTGTATACCTGGCCAAGTGCTTGATCATTGCACAGTATGCTTCCCAGGAAGCCAAGAATGTTTCTGAGTGTTGTAGGGTCTGCTAGAATAATAATATAGATTGTTAGCGCATAGAGATTACTATTTATGGGGACATGTCCTGTGCAACTGCTATTCATTTTCATTTTTTTTATTTCTGCAAGAACTCAGCTCCAGGTCAAAGTCCAATGGCTTAGTAGCTGCACAATGGCTTTCAACAGAGGCCACATCTTAGTAGGATTATTGTGTGTTTTAGTCAATACAGAAACACATTTGACACTACCTCAAGCAGTCTTTTGAATGTACATACCTTTCTGCAAAGAAGGACATGTCGAACTTTCTTTTTATCTATAATATGAAGCACATACATATTTGCGTATTTATGTCTATGTATTTGTACATGCATTTGTGTTTGTGTGTGTAAAATGTTACTGAGTGACTCTTGCATTTGCATGTAGTACAAGCCCTGTTCTTCCCATTGTCCTGTAGGTCGGAGCTCTGCTGTCCCAGAACATACGCTTGGCAGAGAAAGCGGATCAGCGAGAGGGAGAGATAGAGACCACAGCTCAGAAGGTCCGCGATGTGAACAACACCCTGAAAGAACTGAGAAGCAAGATTGACAAAGCAGTGTCTTCAGTGGATGCCCTCAAACCAGTTGGCAGCAATGTCAATGTCATCAAAGAACAGCAGGAGGAATTGAAGGTGAAGTTTGTGTTGCTTTTACACCACCCTCCTTGACACTTTTTGAGTTATAACTGCTTTCATGCTTTAGAATTTACAAATGGTAGCAGTCCTGTAGTAACATTTAAGATAAGAAGAGAAATAAAATTAGATTAGTTTAGCCACAGCTTTTTTTTTTAGGGGGGGAGAAGGGGTGCTGCTTTCTGAAAGCCAAATAGTCATATTTTACTCCTTTTAATGTTGTTTTAGGCTTTATAAAATATTGCATTTTTTCCATTTTTTCTTAGAAATGTATTCTTTGTTGGATTTCTTTTATGTTCAAATACATTTTACTGTTAGGCCTACTTCTATCTTTCCTCTCAAACATACATGGGCTGTGATGTGGTCTGCATTTTCTTCTGTTCTTGATCCAACCCTGACAAATTGGGTTTGCCTCATGATTGTTGTTTCCTCTCAAACAACTCAATATCTCCAACCAACATGTAAATCACTGTTGTGCTTGGATTTAAATAGTTTCTCTCTCTGATCTTCCAGAAGTTCAACAAGGACCGTGTGGACCCTCTGCAGAAGCAGCTTGATAATGTCAACACCGACCTGCAAGGCCTGATCCAGTCGGCGCCCTCTGGTGTGAACACAGGCGGCATCGATGCTGACCTCGAAGCTCTACAAGAACAGTGGTCTGAGCTTAGTGAGAAGGTAATGGTCCACTATAGGGATTTTTTTATAGGGTTTATTTCTCAAGGAAAAACTTTCATCTTTCAACAGAAGTAAATTGCTTTGACAGTAGAGTTTGAAAATATTTTAATGCTATTGCACACTTTGTCAACTAGCTGGGTAGGCAAAGTCAGGGCTGAGGAGTGGGTGGAGTCTTGAGATCAGGTGGGCAAGGGCATTCTTATGTACCCAAGTACACTTTAGTAGACTTTTGTCTGCACTTGACATGGTACTCGCAGTTTTCTGTCTATGATGATTAGCTGTCTTTTCTATTAAGTTTGCAACACGAACAGGTGAAAACTTAAATGATAGCCTGTTCACATGTTCTTCTTCATGAGGTATGGTATCTTTTGGGTTTCACATGCCTACATACCCAAGGTATATTGTAACATGATCAGCTTGGATTTGACTATAACTCTTGGTACTGTTCCGTCTGCCTTACAGGTGTCGGAGAGGGAGAGGAACCTGGACAATGCTCTGCTACAGTCTGGCAAGTTCAAGGATGCTCTAGATTCACTCCTGGCCTGGCTCACCGAGACCGAAGACACAATGGCCAGCCAGAAACCGGCCTCACCTGAGGTGCGAGTGGTCAAAGCTCAGCTTCAGGAGCAAAAGGTGAGACTTTAGATTCGTAGTATGACCACCCGCAGTCATAGACTGGGGAGGAAAAACTATTTGAAATTCAAATGGTACACTGGAAAATGTAGTAATGAGTTGGTATCAAAGAAAAGGATATAGCCCACTATGTTCTACAAATAAAAGTCTTTCAGAAATACTGAACATTATGCTTGGTTCAATCATTTCTAGTCTGGTTTCTTTAAATTGAAAAAGGAGTGGTACAAAGAGCAAAACTTCTAAAATTTTATTTGAACTTTGAATGAGTGATCATACTCTGTGGACATGGCTGGGAAATTGCTTGATGAAAAATAATATTAAAGGTTTAATACCAATTGAATTTGAATTGTTACTTAAAAGTATGTTTCCTGTGGAACAAGGTATTTCATGTTTGATATGGGCTTTTAGGCAGATGTCATGTATCATAGGTTCATGGAAATAAACTGTTTACTGGTCATGATTATGCATGCTTGTATTTAGATCGTTCTGAGGTATAGAATAATCATGCCCTACTGTGAATCGGCTCCCCAGCTTCTGCAAAAGATGATTGATGACAGGGCTCCCAGTGTGGCCTCGGTCCAGGACTCTGGCAAACAGCTTCTGTCCGGACTGGATGGTGCGGAGCGCAAAAAGATGGAGGCAGAGATGAAGTCCCTGGACAAGCGATGGTCAGCGGTAGCAGGAAATGCCGGAGACAGAATGAAGACCCTGGAAGAAATGGCCGAATTGGCCCGTCAGTTCCAGGAGATTCACGAGCCCCTGGCAGTTTGGCTTGACCTCAGTGACAAAAAGTTCACGTCTCTCGAGCCCAGGTCAGCGGATGCGGAAGGCATTGAGAAACTCATCGGTGAACTTAAGGTCAGTTCAATTTCTGAAGTTTGTTTCCAATTCCTTTAAGATGTTGTCTCTTTTATGCTCTGAGTGTGATACATTCTGCAAAAGATACTCATGTACTTCGCCTGATGCCTTGTGTTTTTTATTGTAAATTTTGTCAAGAACATTTAATAGTTACTTCAGTCTAAATTTTACCTGTCTTTTGTCATCTTTGTTCTGAGAAATGTTTTTTTTTTTCAATAGAAGAGAGTTACCATCAGCTTAGTAGGTCTTTAAAGAGTGCCCTTCTCAAATGCAAACGGCTGAAGTGTTTTTTGCATGATGTAGACTTTTTTGCTTCATTATGAGTATGTAGCAGAACTCTAATGATTTATCTTTAATGTAACTTTGCTTCTGTAGCATCTACAAGATGAGATTTCCAAACGCGAGGGACCAGCTCGAGAATTGGCCTCTCTCGGCAAACAGCTGCAAGACCATTGCAAAGGTAAAAGCCTTCTGTTATATCCGTATGGAAATTGGGTGAATTGTGTTGAAATGGCTGTTGGCATTAACTGTTTTTTATACCAAAAAAATTTTGGAATAGTTGGTAAAGTGAATAATAGTATCAATTTCATGTAATTCTATGTGGTGTCTTTTGCTGATTATCTATTGTCTTACACTTTGACAAAACTGATAAGTAATATCCTTATTTTCCTAATTTGGTGGTTCAGAATTTTTTGTTGTCAAATATAATGTGTTTTCATTCATCAATGAAAGTACCACTGATGATTCTGATATCTTTTTAGTGATTTGAAGTGGCTTTTGTTCTTTCTTTAAATAATGTTTGGTAATTCTGATATCCTTTTACTATTATAGATTGTTCTATCTTTTTTTAAAGTACCTTCTTTACTTTCTACGTTTTCGCTTCAGGTGAAGACATTGTCATTGTACAAGTGAAGATTGATGAGGTGCAGAAACAACTGAGTGACCTGAAGAACAAAGTGGACGACTCTCTGGAGCAGATGGAGGAAGCACTGCCCCTGGCTCTACGCTTTGAGGATGCCCACGAGAACCTTATGGAATGGGTGGCCCGCATGGAGCCAGCACTGAGGAGCAAGGAGGGCACAGGGTCCGAGGCTGAGGAGGAAGTTCAGGTAACTATTGAAGCTGTGTGAACTGTTGGGAATGGGTAGAACGTTGTTGTCTCAATAGATGCCCATTTCTTTGTAAATCATAGGAACGTTATATTCTATAGATGAAGTCTTTCTTTTTTTATTTCTGTCTCTCTCTTTCTCTCTCTCTCTGTCTCTCTGTCTGTCTGTCTCTGACTCTCTCTAATTCTGTCTCTCCCTCTTTCTGTCTTTGACTCTCTTTATTTCTGTCTCTCTGTCCCTCTCTCTGTGTCTCTTTCGTTCTCTCTCTCTCTCTCTCACTGTTTGTCTCTGTCTCTCTGTCTGTCTGTTTGTCTCGACTCTCTCTAATTCTGTCTCTCCCTCTTTCTGTCTTTGACTCTCTTTATTTCTGTCTCTCTGTCCCTCTCTCGGTGTCTCTTTTGCTCTCTCTCTCTCTCACACTGTTTGTCTCTGTCTCTCTCTCACACAGACACACATATACACACACACACACTTTTCTCCCTTAAAAGAGCAGTTTATTTATTTATAACCAGTTGTGTATGTTCCTTTAGTCATAGTTTTGTGTTTTGGTTCTTATAATTTCCTTCTTATCATACCTACAGAACTTCCTTGAGCAACTGGATGCTGTGCAACCATTCCTAGAAGTTCTTAACAATGAGGGAGCAGAGCTGGCCGATGTTGCCCCCGGCGATGCTGGCTTACGTGTGGAGGAAGTCGTCTGCAAGGACAACAAACGGTACGACGCAATCAAGCAGCAAGTCGAGAAGCGGGCGGAGAAAGTGAGGATGTCAAGGCAGAGGTCATCAGAGGTGAGTGGTGCTGTGGGTGGCTCATCTGTGTGCCAGGATGATCTGGACGATGAAGATTTATTTCATCTTATCAGAATATAGTTTCATAGTGGTTTGGAACTTAATTCTCACAGCATTTTCTCTTACCACATTTCTTCGTTTAAAAGATGGGGGGGAATCTGCTTTGAAATTGGTCATTATTTTGTTTTATAAATATTTTTTGGCAGTTGGTTTAGACAGCACCACTGGTAGGTCCTTTTTCTTTTCTATCCCTTTTTTTTTGGTTTCTGTTCATCCGTCTTCCTATTTCCCTGTATTAAATTATCCTTATTGGGTCAAGGTGCCTCTTTTTACTCAAAACAAAACAAAACAAAACAAAACAAAACAAAGACTCTATGACATTTCCTCCACTCTCTGTATGCTCTGCCCCACAGTGTGTCAACGAACTCGGTGACCTCATGGAGTGGTTTGAGAAAGGTGATGACAAACTAAGGGCCATGTCGCCTGTCAGTGACGAACCAGCCAAGCTGCAGGCTCAATTGGCAGAAATTAAAGTGAGTGTGACCATTGCTGGTAGTTTTGATGCTGTTGCTGCTGATGTAGTTGTGGTGGTTGTTCATTTTTGTCATTGTTTGATAGTGTTTCTGCTACAGCTGGGTTTGTGTACTTCGGCACAAGAGCTGATTGGGAAGGATAAGGGTTTTAATGATCTGGAATACACATCCTTCAGTGGGTTTAGTTGTTTTGTATGGCTTTAGTTTTTTATGCTGAGGGATAGACGTCTAGTAAATAAATATTGGTGTAAAGTGTGTGTTTGGTGGTCTCTGAGGAAGAAAGCAAAATATTTTGAGTTGTTCCGGATATTTATCAGGACAAGAGAATCTGGAGAAAAAAAGAGATGCAGAGAGTTTCGGGAGAAAGTTATTAGAAAAAAAAGAAAGACAAAATGTGATGGAAAGAAAGAGAGAGGGTTGAGATAAAGAAAGAGTGAGGAAGAAAAAAGAGAAAGAAATAAGGGAGAGAAAGAGGGGGATAAGGAACAAGCAAGAGAGAAGAGGAGAGCTATTCTCGTGAACTGTTCTTTGTTGTCTTGCCAGATCAATGCAGAGTTCTGGGGGTGACATTACTAAAACTTATCATATTCATCTTGTCCAGATTGTTTATTATTGTATTGAACAATGAACTGGCGTACAGAATGCTTTCTCCTATCAAAGAGCATTAACATTTGCAGGAAAGGGTTTTTATTTCAATACTCTTCAAACATGTCACATTTACCCTTGTTTTTCTTTCATAGGCCTTCAATGAAGAGGTTGGCAACCAGCGCTCCAACATGCGAGACGCAGTGACGGCTGGCAAGAAGCTGATACGTGAGGCAAGTGTTGAGGACGAGGATGCCATCAGAGAGAAGATGGAGCAGCTCAAGGATAAGTCCGAAGCTGTTGCCGGGGCAACGGGAGAGAGACTCAGTCAACTTGAGCAGGCTTTGCCTCTGGCCAAGTGAGTAACAGTGTAGTTTAGTGAGAAAAACTGAATTTGAATTTATTTCTTTTACCTTGTCCCACTTTGTGTGTGAAATGTCAGCATTTCTGTATACTTGCTCTCTTTTGTAGTATGTTTTATGGGCAGTAAGAAGAGAAGTAACTCTTTGCTTTTGAGTGCTTTGTCTCCTTCTTTTTAAAGTTTGTGCTGTGTTTGTCTATTCCTAGAAAACTGTGACTATTGGGCTGAGTAAATTTGACAGCTGTCTTTTCTGTGTATAGCATTCAAATCGACAATAAGGGCAATGTGTGGTCCAGGTGTTGAGATCTAAAGTTTATTCCTGAAGTAATCAAAACTGAATAATTGTGTGAAAAGTGTGACTCTGATGAGGTATGCTACTTCTGTTTCTTTTTATTTCTTTTTTGGTCCTCATCCGTTACAGGAAAGATAGGTTTGTCGATAGAGGGCACCACTGGTAGGTCCAACTTCTTTTTCTCTCCTGTTGTTGCTTCTGTCTGTTTATCTTGCTATTCTCCAACAGTAAATGGCCACCATAGAGTCGACGTACATCTGTCGGCTCAATTTAAACTAGACAACTAAAAGTAGGTTTGCAATCTCTGTGAGCTACAACTGTTTTCTTGGTGTTTGGCAGATGCTCTGGTATGGTTTGCTCCTTCTTTCAAACATTTATTGTTCTTATCTCTCCGCCTTCTTTTCTGTGTTTGTTACTTTCTTGTGAAGCCTCAGATCTTCAGCACTAATGACCTTATTGTGTTGCAAGTGCTGTAAAACTCTTACTGAAACTAAAATTTAACAAAACAATTGTTGTTCCTTGCAGGTCTTTCAAGGAGACTCACGAGGAGCTAGTGGACTGGCTGGCAGAAGTGGAGCCTGCCCTGGCTGAGCTGAGTGTCATGTCAGTCGACGCCGACCAGGTCAAGAAGCAACAAGAGAGCGTCAAGGTGAGGGTCTCTAGGATTTTGTTTTTCTTTAAATGTTGGTGTTTTAACCCGCCATGGATGCAAATTAGATAAATTTGAAAGTGGGCTTTATTCTTGTCTCTGGGGGCCAATCCGAACTGAGAGGGATTCAACATTACAGTAAAAAATATGGAGATAATCGATAAAAATTCTCCTCACTTGGGAATCAAACTTGGGTCTTCTGTGTGCAATGGCTGTTTCCTACTATTTGACTTGTTGGTGTATAATTATGAATTGCGCTTGTCTCCGTCAACCACAGGCCTTGAAGCAGGATGTTGCGGACCATAAGCCCACAGTGGACAGACTCAACAAGACGGGAACAGTCCTGGCCCAGCTGGTCAGCCCCGAGGCGGCCAACGTAGTGCACGACAAACTGGACAGTGACAACAGCCGCATGGAGGATGTGAGGACGGCCGTCAGGGAGCGGTCAAACTCCATTGATATTGCCATGCAGCAGTCTGCCGAGGTGAGTGTCTCAGGCAACCTCTGAGATGATTGACTGATTGTCATTTGGAACTGTTTTGTGTCCACAAGCAGACACAATCTAGATAATTTTGTATTTGGTTTGCTTCAGTCTGTTTTAGTTTGCCAGCTAGTGTTAGCCCAGGCTGTGTGAGGTACTATGAGCCAGCAGAAAGATGGAGGTTGTTATTTAAATATTTAAAACCAATAATTTTGCATAGAACGCAAAAAGCCTGACCATTTTGCCCTAGACACCAGTACATCTGAGTAGAACACTAGAAAGAGAACAATTTATCCTTAGACAAAATGTGAAATAATGTGAACTATCAGGAACAACTGAGATTGATCCATTTTTTAGGGAGTGAACAGCAACATGCCCAACAAATGATTCTATAATTCTTATTACACATGTTGTTTAATTAATATATGCTTGCATAAGTCAAAATGTAATGTTTTGCGGTTGGGCTGGGTTTTTTTTACAGTTTACGGATAAACTGGAAGACATGTTGGAGAATCTGACCACGACGGCAGAAACGTTACAGAATGCCGAGCCCATCTCCGCTCACCCAGACAAGATTCGTGAACAGATTGAAGAGAACAAGGTGAGGTTTTTAATACTCTTTGGGCAGCTGGTGCACTTTTGTTTTAGAAAGAAGGTATTTTGTTGCCTTTATTTTCACATGAGATTGTGTTACTTACTGTTCAATTTATGTTTTTGTTATTTCTTTCATTTGCATATTGGGTTTAACTCTTTTTGAGTTTGGCCTTGTAAGTAGAAAAGTTCTGTATAAAACAAATGTAAAATGATTTGTTCATATGCTGTTAGATTGTGCATGATGGTCTCAATGAATGTTCATGATGTTGAAGTTGACTTTTTTAGCTATTTATCTCATTCTTTCGCTTTGACACACCTTCCTTTTTGTTTGCCTCACTCTTACAGGCTATTGATGAGGATATGCAAATGAGGTCAAACGCCCTGTCATCCGTGAAGGAAGCTGCGGATGAGCTGCTCAAGCAGGCTGGAGACATCTCAGACCCCGCTGTCAGAGGTTGGTTTGGACCTCCAGAGGCTTTTGCATAATACTTAATAATAACAAAATGTACATAAAACATTGTAGCATAATCTGCACAATACCAAATATTGTAATTTCCATTGTGGAAATAAGTATTAATAACCTAATGTGTACAGTGTACATTAGCAGAATCAATAATAATGTAATTTACACAGCACATATTGGTGTAATTTGTTTAATATGTGAATGTTAATTTACATCATATGGAACATAATTTACAAAATACCTGACAGTGACTTTTTTATAAAACATAATAGCAAAATTTGCAAAAGAGTACAGTGAACTTTGTTGAAGATGATAACAAGGGGCCACAAACAAAATTTTGTTTCCAATTACCATCTTTTGTGACAAAATGTTACGGGGCCACAAAAAAAAGGAAGTATTATTTTAGCTTAACTAATTTTTATTAGGATTCAATTATTTAAGGCATGTCCTTCTTTTTAATGTTAATGAAGATTTAGATAGAAAAAAAGAATTGAAAAGTATTTTTAAAAGATGATTTAGGAAATGAGTGGAAAAATCAATATTTAAAGGAAGACACATAGTAAGGTGTTTCAGAAAGAAGAGTGGGTAAAGACGCAAGTTCTCCATTTGTTCATAAAAGACGTAATGCTCATTCAGTGTCTTGTTTCTGTTTCACCTGTCTGTTCGTAATAAAACAAAGATTGAATAGCATTTCTTACAACACAGTGTTTCTGAATTTGTTTCTTTTTCCATCTTTCTTAATGGAGTTTAGCTGTGGTTCAGTCTTTGCTAAAAAGATGCACATTTTTAGTTGAAACGGTCATCATTCACCCAAAGGCTGAATCTCCGCTCAAACCAGTTACTATTTTGTCTGAGAAACTTTCACCCTGCTTCCCACCACCTAACAGCCGGTTCTAAATTTTTCCTCTGTCCAGACGTTCAGCAAAAGCTGGAGGAGCTCACACGCCTCTACAACGACATTCAGAACAACATCCACGAGCGAAACACGGCCCTGGAGGACACGCTAGGAGTTGGGGAGAAGTTCTGGGAGGACCTCCACTCGCTCGCCGGCTCCATCAAGGAGCTCCAGGAAGGCCTGACCAGCCAAGAGAAGCCGGCTCTGGAGCCTGAGGCCATCCGGGAACAGCAGGAGGAGTTGGAGGTCAGTGCAGTTTTGTATATCTAAGGTTATGTTTATGTGGTGTGTTGGAGTTTGTTTCTGAAGTAATGAGGGATTGTGTTGATGGGGGCATAAAAAACACCAACATTAAAAAGGAAAAAAAAGTTTGAGGGAGTGGGTGGGAGAGGAGAAAATAGAGGAAACGAAAGGTTGGGTGTGAAAAAAGAGGGAGAGAAAGAGTATAAGAGAAAGTATATGTGTGTGTGATATTTCTATCTGACCATTTTTGTGCTAATGTGCTTTTCACCAGCCACTCTCAAAGAAAAGTCTCTTTAACCATCGTCTTACTTTAGTCCATACACTTCTGGCAGATAGGTACTTTGTTGTGGTTTGCTTAATTTTCTTTTTTTCAGTGTTGCCTTGATCGTAATATGCTTTTACAAAATGTGGCGTCTATTGTGCAAACACATCATGAATTAATTACTCAACTATACTTAAATAGATTATGATCATCCAGCATGAATGTGATTTTTTTTTTTTTTTAATCAACTGGAATGCACATTCCTCAGTGTGTCACTATCTGTTTCTGGTTCTTTCTAGGCCTTTAAAGAGGACCTTGTGGCGTCCCAAGCTGACCTAGAAGACCTGCAACAGACGGGTGACCAGCTCATGGGACTGGTCGGCGAACCTGAGAGGCCGGAAGTGAAGAAAAATATGGATGACACCGAGACCACTCTCAACGAGATCTCAGACAAGGTTTGTCGTAAAAATATGTTCACTTAATGGGTTTGCTCCTTTTACTTTTCATTGCTACTATCATAATCGGTTCCTTGTGGATGGTAGGCGGGTGCTCTCGTGTGGTTTGTCCCTTCTATCCTATTAAACACATATCGCCCCTATCACCCCTCCTTCTTTTTTTTGTGGTTATTACTCTCTCGTAACGCCTCTAATCTTCAGCTCTTGTATGACCTTATTGTTGTGCAAGTACCGTAAAACACTTACTAAAACCAAAATAAAATAAACATAATCTGTTCCTTGTAGAGTGACTGTAAAAAATTAATTGTGCTAGCTGTCTGTAAACATCTCATCAACGTTTTATATTTGTCAAAGTAAACTGACTTTGCTGTTGCTGTCTTGTCAAAGCAAACTGCCTTTGCTGTTGCTGTCTTGTCAAAGCAAACTGCCTTTGCTGTTGCTGTCTTGTCAAAGCAAACTGCCTTTGCTGTTGCTGTCTTGTCAAAGCAAACTGCCTTTGCTGTTGCTGTCTTGTCAAAGCAAACTGACTTTGCTGTTGCTGTCTTGTCAAAGCAAACTGCCTTTGCTGTTGCTGTCTTGCTGTCTTGTCAAAGCAAACTGCCTTTGCTGTTGCTGTCTTGCTGTCTTGTCAAAGCAAACTGACTTTGCTGTTGCTGTCTTGTCAGGTGGAGAAAAGGTCCAAAGACCTGGACACAGCCCTGGCCAAGGCCATCACTTTCCAGGAGGAGATGCAGAAGATGATGGTCTGGCTGCAGACACAAGAGGAAACCTTCAAGGACATGGAACCCATTGCCACCGAGTTTGAAGCCATCAAGTCACAGTGGAATGACATTAAGGTGGGTGCAGGGGAAGAATTTCAAGGCTGAAGGATGCAAGGTTTTTTTTGTTGTTGTTTTGTATGAGGTTTGGTGTGTGTTTGTTGAAAATTGAACACGTTCATGAGAATGGTCAGCCAGGACTGTGAAGCAGTAGTTGAAGGAGGATATCAGGAGTGATCATTGAGAAAGTGCAATGATAACCAAAGCCTCCGCACTATTTTGTGTTGAACACCTGAATTATTGTTCAGGTCTGCTGGTGCCTCTATAAATAAATTATTGATGATGGTCAGGTCTTCTGCTCGATAAATTGTTAAGTACACTTTTAATGCTGGGTTAACATTGGAAACTGTAATAAAAATTATTTTTGAAGGATACAACATCCTTTTTTAAATGTACTGTATGCCTCCTAGGAAGTTTCTGAGTGTTCTAGGGTCTGCTGCGGTTATAATATTGATTGTAAAGTGCATAGAGCTTGCTGTTGAGTGGGGATATGCATTATATAGATGCTTTTTTATTTTAGAGTAGTTGTCATAGTAGTAGTAGTGTTATCTTTATTTTATTTTTAAAAATTATTATTATTATTAAACTACCAACCTTTTATTGCAAATCCAAGTACTCACCAAAATATTTTACTTCCTCTCAGGTGTTCAAGGGCATTGTTGACCCCAAGCATGTGGCCGTGGAAGCTCTGAACCAACAGGCGGAGGAGCTGGCCCGGGACTGCACTGTGGAGCAAGCCGCTGTGGTCAGGGAACCGGTGGCCGAAGTCAACCAGAGGTGGGATGGACTGCAGGCCAACATTGGAGAGAGACAGGTATGCCTTCAAGGAGTTTTAAAAGGACCTGGACACTTTTGCTACTCTATCAGCCCGTACAAGCTGTCATGTTACTTTTTAATGTCTGTCTTTTTTTTTAAAGTGGTGTGTTTTATGTATGTAACTGTCATTATGTGTAAGTAAATGTGAAAAGAACAAAAGATTTAAGAAGAGAGGACTTCTGTCTCCTTCTAAATAGACATAAACAGACACCTAGAATGAAAACACACCTAGTAGGCAGTGTAGGCATCTGCTTTTACTGTGCTTACCACTCTGTCTCTTACCCCCTGGGGAAATGCTATTGACTGAAGTGTCTTTAGGCCATACCCAAAGAGGGGACATTAACATGTTCTTGTGCACAGTAGAATTGTAAATGGGCTGATTCATTAATGTCATGCTCATAACTGTGCCAGAACTGCAACAGGGAACTGCTGCTTTTTCTTTCCTAATCCTTATTATAGTAATTTTTCCTCTGCTTCTTTTGTGTGTTTGTCACACTCTTGTGACCCGCTATTTCCAGGGTGCCTTGATAGTCGAAGCAGTTTTTGTGCTGTTGAAGCTAGAGAGGTGAGCAGAGTAAGCCTGATTTCCTGTAAGGACTTCTCAAATGATATCCACCCCTTGGCGCTCATATGGCCTTTTGCAGTTGCGAGCCACGTAAAATCTCTGCTAAAACTAAAACTAAAACTCTTGTCTCTGTGATCCCCTTCCAGCGAGACCTCCAGATGGCCCTGTTGAACCTGGGCCACTTTGACCAAGCATTCAGAGACTTCCGGACCTGGCTTGACTCTATGGACAGCACACTGGAAGAACTGGAGCCAGTGTACGGCGATCCCAAGATCGTGGAGATTGAGCTGGCCAAACTTAGGGTAAGTCAAAGATAGTACAAGACAAGATGGGCCACTCAGCCAAAGATAGTACAAGACAAGATGGGCCACTCAGCCAAAGATAGTACAAGACAAGATGGGCCACTCAGCCAAAGATAGTACAAGACAAGATGGGCCACTCAGCCTAAAAAGTGTCCGCAGGAAGTATGCTCTTTGCTTCAGATGGCGCTGCAGTCTGTTTTGAAGCTCTCTTTCGTTTTTCCAGAAGAAGAATAGGAATAGCACCTCCTTGCGTGCGCAGATCGACTTGCTGTTCATCAGCAGTTCGGGTACGTTCAGTGCGGAGTTTTAGGTTTTTTGTTATTTTTATGACCTCTCGCCCTTCATTCTAAAGTCAAATTAAACGAAGAAAACCATCTCCATTTCCTCCAGAAGAGGTTTTTTGTCAGCGTAACCATTTTTAAAAAGCGTTCTTCCGAAATTTATCCCAAAACTTGCTAGTTTCACTTTGATTTTTTAAAACTCAAGTAGGATAACTCTGTTCGCAAAGAGTGCGCTTTTGCGAAGAGGGCGCCACCAAATTTTGAGGACACTTTTTTAATTGGCTCAAAGAGAGAAGTGGCCCATCTTGTCTTGTACTATCTTTGGGTAAGTCTAACGCTCTTCTGAGGGAACCAGTGTCTTTGTTGGTTTATATACTGTGTCCATATCAAAACACTTTAACGAAGACTGTAAAGTTATTAATTCTACTCATTAGTGATTATTTTACGTTATTATTCTACTCATTAGTGATTATATTACGTTATATCCTTGACATCCATGTTGGAAGAGCAGTATTCAAAAGCTTTCAGTGTTGGCTTTTCTCCTCCTTGAGGGTACAATGGGGTTTCAATATTTACTTATGATCCTATCATATTGCCTTTAAGGTCAATTGCCTTTAAGGTCAATTCCTCTTCTGATTTTTTAATGCAGTCTGTTAAGAGACGCAATGACTTGTTCCAGTTGCTTATAGAGCTAGCGCTAATCAGAGACACTGGTCTTCACAAAACGAGTGAGGGTTCCCAACTAAAATTGTGTATGCAGTTGAAATTGTCTAAGATGGCCACCCAGTGTCAAGGAGAAAAGTGGTTGTTCATGACAGGAGGAAGTCTTACAGTGTCATTATAATGTTAAAAAAAAAAAATTTCACACAAGGGAGGAAATAGGAAGTGGCAGTTTGTACAGGTGATTATCTTGTACAAATGGCTAAATTCAGGTTCACACTGTACATTGTCTGTTCATCATCATTATCATCTGTACATTGTCTTATCCTCAGATTGTTCATAACGACATCGCTGCCCATGAAGAAAACCTGGACTCCTTGACAGAGGAGGCGAGCCGACTGATGGCTCAAGAGAAAGGTGCCGAGGCGGGCAAGTACAAGCGTAAAATGGATGACCTGAGCAAACACTGGGAGAAAGTGAAGGATAAAGCCGCCCTCCGCCAACAGCAACTGGAGGATGCTCGAAGAGAGGTGAAGAGAGTAAAATGTTACCATTTTTTTTCCTTTTCTGTGTCAATGAATTACAATAAAGTTTTTGTGTGTTAAATTTGGTTTAGTCTTTATTTTTATTACTTTTATATTCGTAATCCTTTGCTGTTGCTTTACATCCTGGATCAGCCATATTAGTAGTTTGTACGGGGAACTTACACTTTACGCTGATCAATTTTGAAGTCGAGAAAAGGGCCTTTGTCCTTTCATTTCTTGTCAAATAAACCATGTGACGGAATATATTTTGTCATAAGTATGAATGGTACTGATCAGATAATGAAAGGTTTTAGCCCCAGTCTCTATATGTGCCTTGACTTTTGCTTCCTTTCCATAGGCCCGAGGTTTCACTGAGGAACTGCAGGAAATAATGATGAAGATCCGTGACCTTGACAGTCAGATGATCACGTCGCAGCCTGTCGGAGGACTACCCGAGACAGCCAAGGAGCAGCTGGACAAGTTTATGGTAACTTTTTTCTTTTCCTTTTTCTCCTCCTTTTTCAGCATTCAAAAGCTTTCAGTTTTGGCTTTTCTCCTCCTTGAGGGTACAATGGGTTTCAATATTTACTTATGATCATATTATGCTCCGAGAAAGGTTCGTTTATCAAGTGTCGTTGTAAATAAGATACAGATAGGGTTACATGTATTTTTTGTCAGAAAGTAAGCCAATTGCTTTCAATTTGAAGTGGTTCACCATCTTTGTCTCCTTTCTTCCCTCAACATCACCAAAAGACCAGCTATGATAGGCTCTATAATCATCAAATTATGAGACTCTAAAGAATTTTCTTTGATATTAGAGCGCAAAAGGAGAAGTACAGTAGCTCAACAGGAAAGGTATTTATTTGTCAGCACAGGGGTCCGGGATTCGATCCCCGCCCGCATCAGGTTTTTTTTACTTGTGTTTTCTTCACCCCTTGATCCCAGGGTAGGCAAGATACCACCTTGTCTTCTTGGATAACGATGAAAAATATTGGAGTTGCGGTGTGGAAGTTTTGCCTATGGAAAATCCGTGGCAGTTCTAAATTTGGAAAGAGTAGGCCCTTCTGGCTGCAGTCTGGGCGAAATTTAAAATCAATTCCTTCCCCAAAAATACTTTAGTCTGTATAAATATTAAGAGTTCCTTCAGAGAAGACAGGTGCATGCCTGTCAGCAAGAGATGTTTCTATTTTGTATGGAGATAAAACGTCCATGTAGGTAAAATCAACTGCACTGTGAGATAAAAATCTTACAGTTAGTGGCTCCCACAGCTCAAAGTCCAATGTTATAAGGTGTCCTGATTGTTTGTCCTCAGGAGGTGTATGCCGACATGGAGAAGCTTGAACCAGCCGTGCAGAGCCTACAACTCATGGCCGACAAACTGGCAGCCAAAAGCCACGGGGCCCCAGCGGCCAGTATTCGCCACAACATGAGCAATCTGCAGCAAAAATGGAACCATCTCCGGTCCCGAGCCCAGGACAGAAAGGTCAGAGGTTACACTTTGTGCTATTATTGTGGAAATTTATGTACTTTTGGGGGAAGGGGGTGGCCTCCTTAGGCTGTTGACATTGAGGGATACTTCATCTCTATTTTTGTCAGACTACTAGTTTCTCATCCTAAATAACTGTCACTGTGGGTCTACTTCCCTTTTACTCAAATTTGTCCTCTCTCCTTCTGCAAAGTGTGAATATTGTCTTTCTGAGGATTTTACTTGTTGAACTTCAGTTTTGGCTTTTCTCCTCCTACTCACCCATCTTGTATTCATCTCATTTGACTTCTTTACTAAGCCTCTGTTTCTGTGTCTGTTCCCAAATCTCCAAATGGCTATTATGATGTTGATGTGCCTCTCTCCAGTTCAAGTACACAGCAGTCCACATATTGTTGTAGTTGTTTAAATGAACCTATTTTCCATTTCATACAATTCTAAGAACTCAGGTGCTGATTTCTGAACTACTTTATAACAATGATGTTGACCTAACATTACAGAAAAAGCTGGAAGATGCTGTAGGACTTGCTGGCAACTTCCATGTAGAGCTGAACAAATTCATTGGCTGGTTGACGGATACTGAGAAGACACTGAATAATCTACAGCCAGTCAGTCGACTGGTCGACAGGGTTACCAAACAAATTGAGGATCACAGAGTAAGTAAACAAATCTCCATGTTGAAGAAAAGAAATCTGTGAAGTCTGGATCAATTAACTCCAAGCTTTATTAATTGACTGAAGTCATACTGTAACATGTGAACAATGTGTGGATGTGGTTGTGGGGGTGTATTTCAGTTATGTGTTTGAATGTGTGTGGCTGCCATCGTGTGGTTTCTTGACATTAGATAACATGTCAATGTGTACCGTATTAGATCTAAATTGGTTGGTGTGTGTGTGTGGGCGGGGGGGGGGGGCTTCATGAATTTAAGTATGTTGGCATGCAGTCAGACTGTAAAATAATCGTTGTGTGACAGAGGCAGAAATTTGGAATGAACAGACAGGCAACTCAAATTCCTATGAAAATTATGTGTGCTTTCTTTCAGAGAGAATACAAAACTATAAGCTTTATTTAAGCCAACTTGAATCCTGCACACTTATTTGATCTTATGTTGTTGCAAGCTCCATTAAACTCTCCCCAAACTAAACTATAACTAACAAACCCAACTCTTTCCAAACAGGGATTACAAAAGGATGTCAGTGGCCACAGAGAGGCCATGTTTGCCCTGGACAAGATGGGCACTCACCTCAAGTACTTCAGCCAGAAGCAGGACGTGATCCTCATCAAGAACCTGTTGACCAGTGTCCAGCATCGATGGGAGAAAATTGTGTCCCGCAGTGCAGAGAGGACGCGACATCTCGAGAGGGGCTACAAAGAGGCAAAGCAGGTGTGTGTCTTTTTACTTCACTTTGAGCTTGTTTCCTTCTTTTTAACGAATGATGGTGAAGAAGATTATGATAATCAATTACGACCAAACTGCTTTGCAGTTGAAAGTGCAAATATCTAAAAGCTCCTAAAGAAGCTGGACCAGCAAAATATTTAGTGCCTTTGTTTCAAAACTTTTTGTTATTATTGTTATACAACTTGTGTTTTTGTCTTCATGTAAACTATGGCGGCAGGAAAAGTTAAAGTATAATGTGATAAATCTGAAAATGAAAAGAGAAGATCATGACAGTGAAGGCATTTGTGCCGCACCTGGATAGGCACTAGATAACATTACAGAGTACAGAACATCAACCATTTTTTAAGTGTTTTTTTGCTTCTTGATAACAATATTGTCTCCATTTCTACTTTCCAGTTCTATGACTCATTGAGAGACTTGATCCAGTGGCTGACGGAGGCTGAAGGAGCTCTTAACTCCGAAACCAGCATCAGTAACGAACCAGAGAAAATCAAAGCCCAGATTGCCAAACATAAAGTGAGTGCAGCCTTGGGAGATATTGTTATTATTTGGGGGATGCGGGTTGTTCATTTTAGGTAAAAGTTTATGGCTTTTTTTGTCATGAGCAGATATGCAACATGTACTATGTCAGGAGGTCTCTAACTTCATCTCACGTGGTATAAAGAAGGTACTCTTTTCCAGAATTTCTGGAATCCTTCAAATCTCATCATGTTCTCCAACTGATTTGTAGCTTTGTAGATGTGACTGAGAAATTTCTTTCTGGATAAAAGTGTGTGGGGGTGAAGGGCCCTCGGATATAGGCTGCTTCTTCCAATTCTTTTCTGTAGTTATTTTACAAACCATTTCCTTTTGAAATGGGGCAGTTATCGTACTGGGTCAGTGTGTTCCACAGAAAGAATTAATATATCTTGGTTACTGGAGAGCTATTTTGATAACATGTACGTTTCCAGGACTTTTGACATCAACATTTCGCTCTTTGTCTCACTTGCAAAGGACATGTTTAATTCTTGCATGGGGAAGATATTTTAACAAATGCCCCATAATTTTTGCTAAGATGTAGTAATACAGACAACCCAAGTTTACCCTGACAGGCAAGGTCAAAGCTGCCCACCTTCTAAGTTGTCCATATTGTGCTGAAAAGGAGGTGTAAAACTTTGACAGTCATTTTGAGGTTTGTTGGGGGGTTTATTAAATCACTTGTGTTTTACCACTCAAGGAGTTCCAGCGACGTCTTGGAGCTAAACAGCCAGTGTATGATGGCATCAACCGTGCTGGTAGCACATTGCAGAGCCGCTGCCCGACGGAGGACAAACCTGCCATCCAGGCCCTGCTGAACGACCTGAAGAACAGATGGAACGCTGTGTGTGGGAAATCTGTGGACAGGTAGGCACCAGCTCTTGTACTGATGTGTTTTTTCTTGTTTTGTTTTTTAGGAGGAATGGGGGTAAGCTTAAGTGTCAATGATTATATTCACCTCCTTCACACATACTCACACACATGCCTGTACATGCAACAGATGCTTTCTTGCACTCACACTCATTACTAGCTCATACATATATACACATTCATACATTCATGCACAAACACGCAACATGCACATGACACATGAGAAAGAAAAAAAAATGCACCTGGTAAGAAATATCAAAATTAGGATAGATAACCATAACTTCATCATTTCACGTAAGGACTCAAAATACAGTTGAAATTGTCTTGACAGTCACCCATTGTTGGGTAGAGAAATGGCCATCTTGGACGTATGGATGTCTTACACAGCGTCATTGTAATGTGTTTTAAGAAATAAGTGCAAGGAGGCTAATGGGAACGGGCAATTTGTACAGGTGATTGTCTTGTTCAGGTGGCCGTTACAGCTAGTTTGACTGTACTCTCTGTCAGTTTCAGCCTCGTATCCATGGCTCACTGAAGACCCTTAAAATAGAAGGTTTGAAACTCACACCTATGCAAATGAGAATAGTATCTTTGCATATGAAGTCATTTTTTCTTTTCTTCCTCCTGCAATGAAATGCTTTCTAATGTCCTCAGGCAACGAAAGCTAGAGGAGGGCCTTCTTTTCACTGGTCAGTTCAACGAGGCACTTCAAGCTTTGCTGGACTGGCTGGTCAAGATGGAACCAGCCCTGGCTGAGGACACTCCTGTCCATGGTGACCTCAACACTGTCAACGGATTCCTAGACACTCATAAGGTGAGGATTTTTTAGTTGATTTTTCTTGAGCTTCTATGTACCTGGGACAGCAGGCCTTTAGTTATGTTTTTCCCTACTTGTGCTCGTGGGAAACTCTCATCCCCAATGGACCTATCTGAAACTTGGATACTTTTTCTGCCCTCCCCCCCCCCCTTCCCCTTCCCTGATCACTGTCGCCTTTTTCCATCAACCTTTTGTTCAGTGATCTTACTTTTTCCCACAAGACTACATTTTTTGTTGTGTATATGTGATTCTGTTTTACTCAAAGAAACAGACGTACAGTTTTCAGTTTGTTCTTGTTACTGATACTTTTGTTTTATTCTCTTCCCCCCCCCCCTGTGTATTTTGATAACCAGGGATTCCAACAAGAGCTGGGTGCTCGAGCCACCACGGTACAGTTTGTGCGCAAGTCAGCCAAGGACTTGATCGAGAAGTCCACTGAGGACATGTCCCATGTCCAGTCCCAGCTCATCGAACTCTCTGCCCTATGGGACCGGACGTGCAAGCTGAGCGTCAGCAAACAGGAGAGGCTAGAGCAGGCCCATAGACTGGTGAGTGGATGCTTGACCTTAAGCCTTGAAATGTTATGGTGTTATCTGGCCATAGTCGAAGATAAGAGTAGGATAAAGAAATACAGTACTGAGGTTAAAATTGTTAAACAAATTTTGAAAAACATGCAACAAAAAGTGGACTTTCACTTTTTCGATCAAGACAAAAAGTGGACAGAGATCTTTCTTTTTTTTTTTCAGAATATTTTCTTCCATCAAATGTGAACTTCATCCTTTTCAAGAAAGAAGATGATCAGCATGTGAAAATAACAGCCTAAATCAGACTTTTGCCAAATCAAAAAGACTCCTTTTAATGTTCTTGGCACAATGACTTACCATCTTGTCATATAAAGTATAAATGTGTCAAGACACGGTAGGGTCAGGTACTTGTCAACTTTTGAACATGTAGAGTTATTAATATCATCTTAAAGCTTGTTCATTTGTCTTGCAAAATCATGCCTTCGAAACACCATGGGTTAGGATTTTGCTTCCAGCTTTGTACTCTTGGTAAATGTAGACTCAGGCCCCATGAGTTGTGAATGGGAGGCGAATTGTTAAAAGAGTTTTCCCAAGATGTCTAGAACAGTATAGTCAACGCTTTTCACTTATGTCTGGTAATAAGTTGGTGCAAGATGTATCGTAGTTTAATTTTTCTGTAGTTGCTATAATAGAGTTTGCTCATATGCTCGGTGCCCGCTTGCAGGCTGAAGAATTCCACAAGAAGGCCCATGGGTTGCTTGATTGGCTGGCAGATGCAGAGAGACAACTCCGCTTCAAGGGAATCATTCCTGACGAGGAGTCAGCCATCTTACAGCAGATTGATGACCACAAGGTTTGTGTTTGCAAAACTCCACTTTCTGTTTTTATATTTGAACTTGTAAAATGAGGGGGGGGGGGGGGTAAAAAAATTTTTTTGAGAAACGGCAATAGATTTCAGAGTAAGGATTGATGACTGTATGACCATTCAGAGAATTTTGTTCTAGTTACTGTATAGAAGTTTGATATTTAGAAGGCAGTACTCAAACCTCTTCTCATTTCTGATACAGTTGGTTGATTTGTGTTCTTGTGGGGTCTGCTCTTTCTCCTTGGTTTTCTTTAACTGTTATCCTTATCAGTTCTTAGTAAAACAGGGCTCTTGTTGTGCTAAGTCAGCCTGAACTGCAACATAGGAGAACAATAGCTTTCGTTTGACTTCCTTAAACTGACATTTAATGTGACTGCTTCTGTCCACCTCAAGCCCATCACAAATCAGATCCATGATAACCATATTTCCAACAGCACTCTTGTTATTACCCTTGTTACTGAGTAGTTTTAAGGAGAGGGGGAGGGGGGTTCTGCTTGATATCAGTACTAGAATGGGTGGATTGAGGGTGTCACTAGTAGGTCCTACTTCTTTTCTTTCCCTTTGTTGTTTCTGTCTCTCTGTCTTGCTTTTTTCCTGCATTAAATGACCATTATTGTGTGGATTTTCTTCTTTTTACTGAAAAAAACCCAACTAATATCAGCACTGGTATTGTTTTAACCGCAAAAAAGTATTTTTATGTTATTTTTTTCATCTCTTTTGCTGTTACTGTGCAGAAATTCGAGGAGTCCATGCTGAGACAGGAGTCGGCTCTGAGGGAAACGCTCAACATTGGTCAGGACATTATGAAGAGGTGCCATCCAGATGCAGTGTCCACCATGAAACACTGGCTGGGTGTTCTACGCACCAGATGGGAAGAGGTAGGATTTTCCTTTGTCTATTGATGGGAGAGTTCTGACATATGACTGCTCTAGACTGCGGTGTGTGTGCACTAATGCAAAATGGATATGTGTTATGGGTGAATGAAAGGAATGACATGGAGTAGAGAGTAAAAATCGTTCAATGTGAGATGTTATGGGTGAATGAACAAAATGACATGGGAGTAGACAGTAAAAATCTTTTAAATGTGAGAGTAGGTGTTTGTACAGCATACGCCTACTATAAAATGACCACTTTTTTCACTGTCCTTTCGTGTATAGTTAATGTATGGTTGTGAAAGTTTTTCTTTATGTGGTTGAACTGGTTTTTCTTGTTTTTGTTCATATTTTTTCTTGTGTGAATGATTATGTGATTGGTGTAAAGCGCTCAGAGCTTATATTAGTATGGGATAGAACGCTATATAAATGAAATCTATTTATATTATTATTATTATTATTATAATAATATTATTATTGTTACTTTATATGAAGTATTACATCTGAACAAAAAGAAATGATAAATGCTTTGTGTTGTTTGACAGCTGATGGGCCTGAGTCGACAGAGACAGCGTCGCTTGACAGAAGCTATGACCAATGCAAGGAGAAACAACACTTTGTTAGATGAACTTTTGGCGTGGCTCAACGGGGCAGAGGTCAAACTCACTGACCTTGACCGTGAACCCATACCAAGGGATCTTCAAATTATTCAGGACCTGATCTCCCAACACCAGGTGAGTGGAAAAGAAATTGTTAAGTGGGGTGATTGGGGGGGGGGGGGGGGAGTACTGAAGGCTCCTCCACCTCCCTCTAGAATTCAGAGAACTCAAGGCTTTTTCTGCCCAGGTATTTAACAGTTTTTTCGTACTTGCTCGGGGTGAAAAGAATCAATATCAATATTATACGAAGATATCTCCAACCTTATCTTGTAATTTTTGCGCTATTGCTGCTGTTTTGGGAATTTTAACATCGTCATATTCTGTGCATCCACAAAATTAGATAAAACACTTTTTGCGCTGAAAAAATGCAATTTCTTTATCTTCCAAACTTGATTCTTTTTTTTTAAATTATTATTATATTAACTCCTATGGTAATTTTGGTTTCAATAGCATAATTTGAGACCAAAAAAAACAAAACATGATTGACCAGGTTTGGCCACTACAGGGTTACCGTCAAACTCCGACAATAAATAGTTTAGTTATTCAGGTTTGAATGAATTATATTGCACTGCTAACTGTTTGACAGTTATTTTGACAATACTGTTTGACAGTTATTTTGACAATACTGTTTTCTTCACTTCAACTCTGATCAAATTTTTTTTTTGAGGTAGTTGTTGTACCTGATTTTTTTCAAAACGTGTGGGACAGCAGAGATATTTTTGTCATGTTTTCTAGGGCTTCCAAAATGAGATGTCCTCCAAACAGCCAGATGTGGACAGACTAACCAAGGCAGACAAGAGGAGAGCAGGGTCTGTGACAGATTCTTCCCACATTCCAGTGTTCCGTGGTTCCGGTCGGTCCACTCCGAGGTCGAGAATTCCTACCATCCGGTAAGTGAATTTTAGTGAAATAATATTGTTGTTGGCTCCGAACTTCCATTTATATCACTGATAACAAGGGCAATAAAAAAAATTTTGATGTCTGAATTAAATATCATTTACAGTATCTAGCCTCTTGTGTGACTTGAGACCTATGTGCCCTTTGTCAAGATTATACATAAATATGTTTCCTTTCAGAGCAGAAACAATTTATCTGGTGTTTGGTTTTAATCTCATTTACCAGTTTCCCTTGCTCTTTTTTGTTGCTGTTTTCTTTGTGACCTTTGAATGAAAAAGGAAAATACTTGTTTCCCCATCCTCCAGAGTTGACCGAGCTGACAGTTCCGGCCGAAGGACACCTGACCACCATGGACGTAGGACACCAGAACACTTCTCCGGCCGCCGTACACCAGACATGAGTGGTCGCAGAACGCCTGATGTTTCAGGGCGGGTAACTCCTGACCACCACTCAGGTCGCAGAACGCCAGACCACCACACCGGTCGGCGAACGCCTGAGCCCGCCTTCAACAACCCACGCGTGGGAGGCCTCTTTAACAAGTGGCGTCAAGTCTGGCTTATGGCCATGGAGAGACAGCGCAAACTACAAGATGCTCTCGACTACTTGAATGAGGTAAGTTTTCTACAACACAGCTGTGGGAAATTCATTTTGCTACACAATTTTGTGGGAAATTCATTTTGCTACACAATTTTCCAGTAGACAGTTCAGTACTCACCAGATGTTTTCTTAGCTGTACTTGTTTAGTTGAAAGGGTTTTTTATAGGTGTCATCAGTTACTATTTGTTCTGCTATGTTTCTTTGGAAATACGATGTTTAATTTTTCATGCTTGCAATAATAAAATCCGGGATTATTCATAAAAGTATTGTAGAAATGCCATTACGTTTTAAACTGAAGCATCCTTGAGCACTTGTCTTTTGTCCTACATGTCCTTATATCTATCAATACTTCAAGTTTCCATGATGAATAGCGAAAGTTCTCTGAGAATTTTTAGATACTGTCATAACTTGCACTTTGCTTTTTTCTTTTTGTATATCATTGGCATAAACGTCTCCTTTTTCACAGATAGAGCAACGTAAAGCTAAGGTTTGTCATGAGTTGGTTGCCACACAATTTTTTCCGCACAGTCATTTCATCTATTTGACCAGTGTTATTTCTGTGTTCATGTTTGACTGGATGGGTTTTTTCAGGACTTTGGATTCTTTGATGATAACTCCAAACTATTGCTCCTACTCACAATGAAAATTTGTAAAGTTTCGCTTCGTGTGGATAAGTGTTATCTTCCCATCCTCCTACTGGTGTTTCAGATCAAAGAAAGATTTTTTTTTCTGTTTAAATTGGTAATGGGATTTGTTAAAATGATATTACCCTATACCGCGCTTCAGTGAACAGGATATTTAAGTACTCTGAATTATGCTTTAGTAGATCGTAATGATGAACAAATTGACCTCACATTTACGTTCATTATGATGCATCGTCTGTCACAGATATCTGACATTTCCAACTTACAAAAATTTCTTTCTTTTCTATTTTTTTCACAATATTTCTATTATCATTTAATAAACTTACATTTTATTTCATCATAACTCTTGAGGCCCTATGAAACTGACAAACTTTGTTGTTTATTGATTGAGGGCTTAAGTTCTGTTTCTTATACATCTGTGACATCTGTGAAAGCAATTTTGTGTGTGTGTGTTCAACTGACTATATTTAAACAAAAGTGTGTGTCACCAGCGAAAGCTTTTCATCAATATAGCTATTGAGTGAATATATTCGTACACATTGATGTTTGCAGTTTTGGAGCACTGTCAAATAAACATGTCTGAATTTTGTCAAGATTCTTTCTATCATGGCTTTTCCAAGAAAATGATTTGTTCTCTCAAAAAAAGCTCTTTTTTTTAGTTTACCGGGTTGAATACAAACTGTTTTAACACTTTCTACTAACTTAAACTTTTTTTTTTTTTTTTTTGAAATGGCACAAGTATTAGACATTGTGTTCAACTAAATTGACGCTGTGACTTGAAAGGTGACATGGTGGTAGCAGACTTATTAGTTGTAATGAAAATTGGGAAATACATTACTGTTATTCAAGATTTCATTTTGGACGCTTACTCATCTCACTGTGTGGACACTTACTTTTTAAAGACTGTCGAAAAGGAGAAACTTTTTGTAGTCATGAATGAAATCGATACTAAAATAGTTTTCGACAAAGTCATTCATTATTTGAATTGCAAAAACAGATTCAACGTAAATGACAGAATCCTGCTCCAATTTTTTATGCTTAAGTGACATACATGCAGTTATTTTGTCTTTTGAACCCATTATTGTTCCTCTTGTCAAATAGAAGTATTCCCTTTTTTTAATTAGAGTTGAAAAAAAGTTCTAATAGTTTGAGGATGGCAGTGGATAGTCAGGTTATTCCTGTTTTTTTTGTAGATGATTAGGTCATGGATTCTGATTCTTCCAAACACTTTCTCTGTGTTTTGTTGGGTTTTTTTATCCATTCTTGTTTTAAAATTTTTTTGCTCAGAATTATGTTTTCATTTTTCATCCACTTATTAATTTAAAGCAAGACATTAAAGTGCATTCTCTATAAATCTGTTGACCAAGTACGGGAATTATGTGTTGGATGTTGCTCTTGGCAACTGGTTGCACTGTCTTTCTCATGATATTCATTTCATTTGTTGATTTCACAATTATGATTCTGTCAGTTTCACATCAGAAACATTTTGTTCAAGCATTCCTATTTTTAAGGAGATTTTAGATATTGAAATTTGTTACAGAAATAGAACCATATAGTTTTTGTTTGTCTCGAAAGAAAGGGGTTAAGAGGCACAAATATTTCCGAACAACCCAATCCACAGATACTAGTAAGTGAAATATTTTTTTGTCACTCGTACTGTCTCCAAGTGTAGAAAATTAGGGTCATAGTAAGCTGGAAAACATTTTGGTCAACCAAATCATTTACAAATACTTTTAGAGGCTCACATGCGCTTTCATTCATTCTCACGTTTGCAGTTTGAGACAATCTAATTGGGAGAAAGCCCCTAGCAGTGTTCTTAAAATGTTACTTTTTTCCCAAGGTTTGATTGTTGACGTTTTCGTCTTTTCCCTCCTGTACAGTTGGAGAGGTTGAAAAACTTTGAATTTGACGACTGGCGCAAGCGTTACCTCAGGTGGATGCACCACAACAAGGCTCGCATCATGGACTTCTTCCGTCGCCAGGATCGGGACCGAGATGGACGTGTCACACGCCAGGAGTTCATTGACGGAATCCTCATGTCCAGTAAGTCACATAAATCCCAAGTATCATTTCACTGAATCTGGCACATTTTATGTGAAAGGTATGAGTGTCTTGCAGCCTGTTAAAATTCGCCAGATCACTTCATTTTAATGATTACCACAAAAGCACCCAAAGAGTAAAAGGCAGGGGGTTAGATGGCACTGCTGTTTGGGCTTTGTTCTTATGTCTGCTTCTCTTCCTTTTTCCTTTCACTAAATGACCGTTATTGTGTTGATATACATTTCTTTACTTAAACAAAGAAAAAACAAGAATAAAATCATACTGCACATTGAGGCTTCATCACTTTTTTTTTACCATTTCCATCTTGTAGACTGGGCTATTTCCCCCTTTCAAAGTATTTTTGCCATTCCAGAATTAATATCTACAGTGAAAATTAAATTTTATATAGGCCTACTTACTTTTTCCTTTCATATTTGCCTTTTTCATTGTGTTTAGAGAGACGCATTTAATTTTTGTAATTTGATTTTTTTTTTCAGCTGTAGGGCTTGTGTAGTATGTTTGAAGAAGTGTTTTGGGCTACAAGTGCATCCAACAGTTCATTTTAGTGAGACAAAACATATGACTGACGGTTTAGACTGTTTGTCTCTGAACACATTTAGGCAGGATCCATGCCTGTCTGTAGCAATCTGGGTGTCACTCTACCTCAAAATATTTCCATAAGGTTTCTGAGGTTAATGGATATGTGCTGAATTTTTATACTGCTTTCTTCCCTGCAAGTGAAATGTATTTTGTAATCTTGATTACCCAACAGGTCTACTGTACATTTTTCAGTTTGAGAGTTTTGTGAACTCACATTTTAAACTTTTTTTCGAGCAGAATTCCCTACGTCTAGGCCAGAGATGGAGGCTGTTGCTGACATCTTTGACAAAGATGGTGACGGTTTCATCAACTACAAGGAATTTGTGTCAGCTCTTAGGCCTGACAGAGATGTAAGTACTGGGACATTTGATCTTTAACTTTTTTTTTCTTCAGGTTTATGGATAGGCCTATCACAGATTATTTTGCTTTGGTAACTTAAAAATTGTAATTGAATTAACTCTGTTAATGGTGTTCTTGAATGAAGAGAGGTCCTATCTTCTATTGAAACAGGATATTGTCATTTAAAAAATAAAAGTTCTGATATTTACATTCTACCAAGTTAGTTAGCTCTGATTGTTTGATGCTTGATTTGTTGTGGGCATCAGGTTTTATTATTCCAATTCTAAACTTACTTTTTAGTTTTAAGATTATCTGCACTCTGTCTTATTGGAGACAAAGATTTATTTTCTGATCTGACTCGTGGTATGCTTTATGTTGAAAAGAGGGTACATCTCAAATTTTGTTAACTTTCTAACATGGACTTGTGTTTTTGCTCTCAGGTGAAACCAGAGACAGAGTCGGAGAAAATCATGGATGAGGTCAAACGCCAGGTGTCCAAGTGCACATGTGTGAAACAATTCAAGATACACAAGATTGGAGAGGGAAAATACAGAGTGAGTCTCTTTTTTTTGTCCTTATTGTGTGAGTCTGTCTGTGTGTGTGTGTGTGTGTGTGTGTGTGCGGGGGGGTTGTGTTTGGAGAGAGCAAATTTTTTTAGAGTCTCAAGATGTGTTAATGCATGTTTGTGAGTGTGTATTTATGTGTATTAAAGTGAAAGGGCACGAAAGAGAGAGAGAGATGGGGTCTTTGGTTGGTAGAGAGAGAAGGAACAGGCATCACAATATTAGAGGGCAAAGGTAGAGTAAATCTCTCTGGACTAATGAGTTTGTGTTTTGTTCTCATAGTCCGTGCTTATGTAACCTCAGTACTTTAGTAACTATGTTTTGTCTGTTTCGAATCTTTTCAAAATGAGGAGAGAGGGGGAGTGCTTATAGATGAAATATTCTGTCAATTTCCCTGTAAATATCATCTTCTTCTGTTTCCCTTCAGTTCGGTGATTCTCAGAAACTTCGCCTGGTCCGCATCCTTCGTAGCACAGTGATGGTGCGTGTCGGAGGTGGCTGGATCGCTTTGGACGAGTTCCTGGTCAAGAATGATCCGTGCAGAGGTAAATGTTTTTTCTTTTCATTCTAGCTTTTGAAAGAAGCATACAGTATTTTCATAGCTTTTGGTTATGTATTTAAAAAATGTTTTTATGTGACTTTGTTAATGTTTGTTCCTGTGTTTCCCTTGTATTGATAAATAATTCCATATCTGAATGTGTTTTCAAACATATGAGGTAGGGTGTATTCTGGAAGCTCTTTTAAGAGCGTGTAGGTTCCAGTTTTCACAGCTACTGTGTAGAAATGTCGGTGCAGTTCCAAGCAATTGATTGTTTGGTATGAATATATAAGGCTTTAGGTACTACCATACTAATTAGTACGAGGCAGTCTAACATTCTGTGCTTTGATATCTGCAGTATCATTGTAGAACTAGTAATAGTTTTTTCCAAAAACTTTTTTCGTCTTTTAAAAAAAAATATTATTCCAAAAAATGTGTCGAGTAGAAATTGATAATTTTAGCCCACTTTAAAGCTTTACAATAACAGTTTGAGAGGCGCTGACTTAAGCAGTTGGGTCTCTAGATAAAAAGCCTAATTTTAAAAGTCTAGTTTTTTTTTACTTCTTTTATCCCTTACAACTTCATCTCTGTGAAAAATATGCATGCTCAGCTATACGTTACCCATCCATGGCAGATGCAACTCATTTTCACTGCCGCGTATATATATGAATAGATTATTCCTTTTTCCTCTTGCCCTGATGTTATGACTTACATTATGCTGTATACTGATGTATTTTCATCCTTCTTTTCCCCGTGAACACGAACAATCTCTGTGGCCTCTCAGAGTTTGTTGAGATTGCTGGTAAAATTGAATTTTCTTATATATCCCATGAAAGGCAGCGGGACATTTTAATTCTTTTTCACAGAACACTGACCTTCATAACACACACACACACTGGTGCGCAGACACACACACTTACAAACACACAAACAGACACACGTATGCACGCACATGTGCGTGCTCACATCATGCCCACTCGCACTTACCCACACAGATGCACTAAACTGCTTGCTTTGTGTTATGGTATCGCAGAGGTTCATGATTTTGTTTATCAGATGATATCAGATGATATCAACTCACGGTCTCAGACAATCCTCCCTACATCAATTGTGTTTGATTTGCCCTTTTATTTTCATTTTACATTTTCGCCCCTAGCTGTAGTTTTTAGTTGTTTTTTTGTGTGGTTTTTTTCTTTTACAAGCCTATTACCAAAGACTGTGAACTACAAGACTGTTGTTTCGGTTGTTTTTATTGATTTGTGCAACTTCATATAGGCTAATATTGGCCTAGTTGTGAAATACTTTTTCTTTCACCAGCATTTATCTTTATGCCGGAAAATTGTGTTCCACAGAAAGAGAACCTTTTGAAAATGTGCGTACTAAGCTGATATAACAGTTTGTTCAGAAATAGCGAAAAATTGGAGGATGAAAGTAAATACGTGTAATTATGAGCTTTCAGAAAAGCAGAATGCTTGCATATTACTGTAAGCGATTTCTGTGTTATTTGCTGAAATAACATGAAAGAGCTATGTGTGCCTCCATTTGTTGTGGTAGGCAAGGTAGTCAGGTCACGCAGCACAGTTCAGTCATTTGTCTTATAGTTCACAGTCTTGAATAAGATTTAGCTGCCTTTGTTAATCCATGATCATTTTGTTTTAGTACACAGGGAAAAGAATAGATTGAATGTCTATGAGGACATTAACATGCTAGGAATGGCCCTTATGACATGCTTCAAGTTTAGTGAACATTTATTCAAGTATTGTGGGGTATTGATGTGGATGCAAGAGGCAAGATCTATCTGTTGACCCATGTCATCAACAGAACCTGTGAAGTCAGAATAGCTAAAAGTTTGGGGTCTTTTTTTCTTTCATTAACATGGTTCAAGAACTAGATTGTATTTGGGTTTTTCGTCTTGTTTTCTTTTGTTTTTGTTTGGGTTTTTTAGGGTGGAGGGAGGGAGGGAGGGTTCATTTGTGATGATTTGATGTATTTCAACAGGATATTCATTGGGAATTTTGAAGCCATAATGAAATATTTTTCTTTAGGAATTGCAGGTGCTCAGTGCTAAAAAAAAAATGATGCTGTTTGATTATGGGGAAAGCAGCTTTGTTTTAATTTTTACTTCTATCATTTATTTACCTTTTGCATTTGAAACCATTCAGAATTTCGAAAACTGTCACCCTACCGTAAGTATAGAACAGCATAATCAAATTTATGAAACGTGTATTGAGTTGTCTCCGTGTACGCAAACACACACACACACAACTTGGCGGATAGGGTGCGCGGTAGCCCATGTACTGGCCTTTCCCCCTATCATTACCCTCCAGCCCTCATCATATATAGTAATGTCACTCAACCGTTATATACATCAACCCCTCTGCCCTTCCCCCCCACTTGATCTCATTTTTCTTTAGCGGAAAACGTGACCAAAGCAATCTTGTGTGTTGGCAAGGTTTCCTCCTCTAACACTGAGCCGTATTTGTGATACTTTAAAAAAAATTATTCATTCATTGCTTCAGCAGTGACAAATTTATTGTATAGGGAATGTTGGAAGAAACGTTGCTCATGCACTTGCACTTGGGGGGGGGGGGGGGGGGGGGTTCTTGTAATTGTCTTTGTTAATGAATAGAAATGTTTTTCGTGGGTAGTGTTAATTGTTTGTAGGATTTTTTCTTTCTTTTCTGACCAATGTATTGAAGACAGTATTTTCATAACTTACTCAACCCGTCAATTGGTGGGGGTGGGGAGGTTTCATCTTATGTAGCGGCGGAAAGAGTAAGACAACGGTCAGAAAAATTAGTGATGTAATGATATAATGATTTCGCATGTACGTGAACAAGGTCACCATCAGACAACTTAAACCTCCAATTTTAATTATTTACATTGAAAGATTCAAAGCAACAGTGCCTAATATCACGGTAGAGTTTAAAGTGACAGCCAAGTGTTCATATTTCCTGACCCTCTCCCATGCTAGTTTTTCATACACACTCACCATCCCTGACCCCCACTCACCACCAAAACCCATATACTTATCATCCCCTCCCCTGGCACTTACCATATTCAGTTCAAATTATGTCCAGTAACGTAGTTCATATTTCTTTGTAGTTTTAGATACCCTTAATCTTGTTCTTGTTCCCCACAAACATAGGCCTATTGTTTTTATTGCTACAACTTTTTTCTGCCTTTTTATCTTTTCTTCGCTCTGTGAGCATCTGGACAAACTTGTATAAGAAAGCTTGTGTTTTTCTTGCATCTTTGGGGGTTTCAAATCAATCAGACCCAAAATATTGTTTGCGGAGTATCAAAACTGCACCTTTAACTCATTTAAGATCATGCCAGACTGTGATGTGTTGAGCTGATTGTGAAGATAAAGCTTTCATGACTCTTCACTCTGAGCAACTCCTGTTGGAAATCTACTTTTTTATTCAAATAAGAGGTCATGGCTCTCAGACTATAATCATAGAGTGTTGAAAGGGGCGTTTGGACAAAGAAATGTGTTGTTGATTCAAAGTAGAGATTACTTGTAAAAGATTTTACCAATTGAGCTGGGATTAGAGATTTGAATTTATATTATCTTAAAAGTAGATAGCTTGGCAGAGTTGTAACTTGTTGATCATGGTCAATAAAAACCATGAATATTATGTTGCAGCAATAACATCCTGCTTTTTGGGGGGGGGCTATCCTGTAATATTACTATAACAATGACTGAAAGGGAAGTTATTGTAGGTTTACAGGTTAAATTCAGGTAGATGCAAAACTAAATGAGTTTGGTCCCTGGTCAGTTGCTGCTGAGGTGTGAAGCCTCTTCAACTTGAAGTCCAGCAAATTAATGTTGCAGGTTGTGGTCTTCAGAGTAAATATGCTGTGTTTACACCCCCCCTCCCCCCCACCTTGTTTTTTTATATAATAATACATTATTGTTCATTCATGGAGTATTAATCAATGGTTATATATTTTGTCATTTTTTTCTGTGTATTTTACTGCGGGCACTAACATCCAGGGGGGACAGTCACTACGGGAAACAACCTCCGCTAAGATCCCCCCCCATACCTACATGACACTGACTGCTGTAATAATCATCCCTTGCTTTGTGCCACTGGAAGTTTTAGGGTTACCGGCTAACGTTTTATTTATCATTTGGTAACACACCCACAGGCTAGGAGAGCTTAAGCGTAACCGTCGAACACAGATACGCCTCTCTGTGTTCATGTCCACTCGTTGCTTTTCGCTGCCAAAATGCAAGTCTTACTGCTTTTGTCAATCATACACACTGCTATAGGCTAGAATAATGATGTACATTTTAGTTTGGTTGGTTTTGCTTTGGATTTGGATTGGGGGTTTTTTTGTAATGTAAATTTTGATCTGTACATGACCAAGGCTGTCTCATGGATTAATTGTAATTAATGGCATTGTGGAGATGTAAAGGATGCTCTTGTGCCTTCACAACACTTTCTTCAACATCAGATAGGGGACAGGAGGTGTGGGTGAACTTTTTAAAAATTAATTTAATCAAGCCAACATTGGACACACCTGGTTTGTTTGGGGGTTTTTTAAAATGAAATTCAGCGACTTTTTGGGAAATCCAAGTGTATCAGTTGACATCTGACCTAAGACTTTTGATTTTTCCTGCAGTAATAAGTCTTCATCCTGCGAAAATCCAATTTTGCTGTCTCTCTCTTTGTCTCTCTAACTCTTCTGTCTTTTTGTCTTTCTGTCTGCCTGTCTGTCTTTGTCTCTTTCTCTCTCTCTCTCTCTGTGTCTCTCTCTCTCTGTCTCTCTCTCTCTCTCTCTCTCTCTCTCTCTCTTTTCCCCCCGCCCCCTTCTGTTTAGTGTATTATGCACTTTTACCCAGCCTGTGTGTTCTTCTCTCCTCTACATCGCCATACCTGTTGTTAGTATGTAGAAATAACACCTTTTTTTTTACTAAGTGAGACTGACATAATATCATGATCATGGTCACATAATTTCACATATTGTTCTCTCTCTCTCTTTCTCTGATAATAATATCGTAGTGTGTTTCTGTATTTTGTGTGCACATTACAACTTCGTCGAGGAATGTAAAACCTCTAATTACTCCTGGCACTGCCAGAAGAGCTAACTTTAGCTTTAGCTGATGACTTTACTTATTATCTATGTCTGTCAATGCTCAGGTAGAAAAATTGAGCTACCGTATCATCACAATACTATATTAGTGGCTGAAAATAGAATCGTTTTATTTTTTTGGTTGTTTGTTTAAAGTTAAAGTCATCCAGTGTACATTTCTGTGGTTCTATTAATTTCTTGGACCCATTACACTGAAGTACTTTACCGAAGAAATCTGTATTCAGTGTATCTGGAGTCGACAAATTTTCACGTTTTTTTTAAAGCAAAGAATGTTCGTTTTTATTTTGATTTATGTAATGATGGACTCTTGGGTATATTATAAACAATTATAAAGATTTTTTTGCTTCTTTAGTTATTGATCCTGTAGTGGGGGGAGGGAGGGGGGGGGGTATATGCAGTGTTAACCTGAGTCATTTGTCCACTCTGGATGTTGTTTTTGTCTTGAGTGTGATACTCTTTGTTGAAATATTTATTCATGAAGGTCTTTCAGTTTTACTTCTACAGGTATATGACACATTGTGTTACTGGCTGATATTACGGATAACTTTTGCCATTCAGTATTTGACTTTGTTCAAGTCTCAATCTCTCCACAGTTTCTTGCAGGTCACTCAGTGCATCAACTTGAGTTGGTTGAAGTTCAGATCCCCATCTCTTTTGTGATCAGTATTTTCCATTACTGATGTCGGAGATTTTCTCAAAATGTTATGGCTTACAATCGTGTGTAAATGTTAGTTTCTCATTTGTGTACTTGTTTTCTCTCTGAAAAGTTGGCCTTTGGAGGAGGAAGCAGTTCCGTTTGAAACGGCGCTATCTTCACCATCAAAATCCTGATGAATGTAGGTTGACCTTCACCTTCAGCATGTCGTGTGCTGAAGACGTTGCTGTTTCTTGTGCCTGGCTCCTCCTGCTCCCCTTTCCATTCAGTTTTTGTCATGGCTTTTGACCTTTTTTTATTCCTTCGTGGAAAAATTCCTGGTTTTTAACTGGCCTGAGTTTGTCTTGTAATGTTTTTGTGTCTCTTAATGTTGCCCGATTTATTTTCATGTGCATGTTGTCAAGATGTGTGAGTAGGCCTGAGTCCAAAGGTTCCTTCAGCAGCAGTTTGCATTGTAAAAGAAACCTTTTTCCGCGGGGCCAGCAATGTGAAATGGACTTACGCTTTTTAATTAATTTTTTTTTTTTTTTTTTCTCTGATGAAGTGATAATTTGAAAATGAAAGTTTTGTCGCTTTATGGTTCAAGTTTATCTTTAAAACATTTTCCTGTCGATGTTGTACTGAAGCTTTATGTAAATTCTAACTTGTCGGGAATGTTTCTTTTGCTGCATTATTTTTCTCAGATCTTTTAATACTATCTAAATGCCAACTGTGTCTCTTTGAATTGAGAAATGTCTGACTTTCTCTCCAAAGATATTTGTGTGCATTTTGTGTGCTAATTATTTTTTTCGAGATCTTTGCTTGGACCATTTTGTTATATATGTGTTGTGGGATAGGCCGGAGTTTGATGTTCCCATAGAAGTGGTACCTGTGCTTGATGTGACCCTTTTGGTTTCATTCCAGATGTGAATTTTGTCTACTGTTTTGTTTATTTCATGAGTATTTTAGTGGATGTCCCAATTGAGCTGTTATAAATTGGGGAAACTGAATCATCTAATAAAGTGTGAATAGTATTAGTATGAACGCTGAGACTGAAATGATAGCTATGAGACTCAGCTACTGTGAATGCACACACTGTGAGCCATGTAGCCCTGTTGTTCCACACTGATAGCATTACCTCATGAAGTAGGCCAGAGAATGTAGGAATTTGGCCCTCTTATTTGTTTTGTCACTAACCATGAAAATATTCCTGTCGTCCAACACCGCTGGTATAAAAGCCAAATATACAGAAAAGGTACTGTAATTATAAGACCTTTCAAAATAAAGATGAAGCTGATTACAATGAAGCCGTTCACAAAAACAGAACTAAAAAGTTGGTGAAGAAAAGAAAAAAACAGAACTAAAAAGTTTGTGAAGAAAAGAATAAAGTTAAAAAGCTGTAGAGAAGTAAAGAAGAGGAGGCTGTCATGTTGTCTCTTTGTTGATGTGGCTAACTTATCGTTGCCACAATCTATTTTGTTCCTCAATATTTAAAACAGAATAAAATGTTTGCCTTGATAGGAGTGCCAACAATAAATTCTTTAATTTGTCAAGTTTAGAGAATCACAAATACTACCTTATGCAGTTGCAAGCGCCGTAAAACCTCTACTAAAACTAAAATCACAAATTTCTTTGTGCCCTTGATAGAGGATGCAAAGTTAAAGCTTTGCATGATGACATAGTAAACAGAAATGGAGTAGTTACTAACAATGAACCGAAAATAGGACTGTTGGTAAACTAAATTATGAAAATGGGATATCTGCATAGAAAGGAACTTTCTTGTACTGATATTGTCTTATGAAATTAAAGTATAAAGAGAGGTTGAGACCATTTGAAAAAAAAAATATATTTATTATAGCATAATAATATGATATTTATTTCCTGGGATATGATAACCTTTCGCCTTCTCAGCTATAGTTGAATATGGGGGGGGAGGGGGGGATTTTTTTAATTTTCCCTGTCCTCTACCCTTTTCTTTGCATTTTGCATTTGTATTTTTTATTAATTCTGGAATGTGTCACCATGTCCATGTGTGAAAGTATATAAGTAAGTACGTGTAATTTTGACTCACAGTCTCCCCACAACTCCTTTCCTTTTCACCTCTACTGAAATTACCCATGGTTCTGTTTGTATTTTTGCCACTTCATAATGAAGGTAAAAATTATCTTTCTATAAAACTCTTGGTTAAAAGAGAAATGTAAATCCCTGAATATTTTGGGATGAAAATGTCTGTTCATCTGACAGTGCATTACATGTACTATGATTTGCTTATCATGGCTTTCAATTTTAATACCAAAATGTTGGTTTCTTTTCTTTATTTTTTTGTGCTTCACGCTGTTTTCAGGTTTTTATTATGTTCCCTTGTCTTGTATTTTCTTAGATGTTTTATTACGTGTACACTTATTTTTATTGTCCCAGCAAAAGACCTGTGATATATCATTGTTTCAAAAGATGTCCGATTTGTCACTAACCGGCATGGAACCTTGCGGATTTCATCACTCACAACTTTATGTCTTGATGTTGTCCCTGGACTTACAGATGCTTTATTTGTTCTCTTGAGCTTTCCCAGTTATGAACATTGCTGTTCACCGTATATTTGTTGTTCTTTGGAAAAGGGTTTTAGGAATTGTTAAAAGTTTTGTCACAGGTTGCCACATCACAATTTTTTTTCTTCGTATAACGTGTAGGTTCATGTTAAGCAATCTAAAAAATTCGCTCCGTTCATTATTTTGTATGAATAATAGTGCAGAGGTTTATTCGTAATTTATTTGATTTTTCAGGGTTTCTTTCTTATGTTGGGTTGAGATTTTACTCTCTCTTTTTTGAAGGGATCAGTTTTGTTATGTTGAGAAAGCAGTATGAATGGAAGGAGAAGGTTGAGAGTGTAAGAAAAAATATTCTCATGTTTCTGAAATGTTCTGCTTTGCTTTGTAATCATAATAGATCTCTAGTGAATTACTTTTTTTTTTTCAAAATCTAATTTAGTAGATCTTGTGGTTTTGAAATGGTTCAACATTCTGACCTTCTCTTCTCTCCCAACAGCCAAAGGTCGGACAAATGTGGAGCTTCGTGAGAACTTTGTTCTGGCACAGGGTGTGAGTCAGTCCATGGCAGGTTTTGTGTCCAAGTCTCCTGCTGGCAGTTCCAGTGGCTCGTCCTACTCAGGCCGGTCAAACAGCACAGCTAGCGGACCTGTATCTAAGGTTAGACTGATCCTACTGGCTACTCATCACCTCAGTTGAATAATATTCTGTTTCAGCTTTTCACAAAACTTGACCTGCTGCTATATACTGTGCTTCTGGAATAACATTTTCTCGATATTCCCTACTTTTCAAGTTTGAAAGTCAACTATGACAAATTCCTTGAACTGATTAATCTTATTGTTCTGTATCCTCTCAAAGTGCGACCAGTATATCAAATTTTAATTAAAAAGTTGGAATTATTTTGGGAAAAGAACACTTTTGTACAGGAGGGATGAATTGTAAATAATTTTGAAAAAGATAAACAAAAAGGGTTGAGGATTGGACTTTCATGTTCTTAAAAATTTTCTTTTTTCATCTTACAAATTCAAAATGTAGGCCTACTTATGAATAGTAAGTGGCTCTGTTTCCATTGTCCTTTCAAGATAGTGTGCATCATGATCTTATACTTATAGTGCTGGGATGTCAAACAAAAGTATGGCATGCTGCAGAAAAATAGTTAGTTGTCCCATATTTCAAGACCATAAGGAATGATAATGCCCCAAGTCCCATCCCTAATCATTTGAATCTTTCAGAATTGTATCCATGTTCTGTGTCTTAGTTTGTTTTGGACAATTTATACTCTTTTTTGTCATGATATGGCTCATAGGTGAGAGAAAAGAGCATCGGCCAGTCACCATGGAAACAGCGGACAAAGACGTCAGTTGACGGGGAGGTGCATCAGATCATGTCTCACACAGAACCAGATGGAACCAGACTCATGAGGCACAAGGTCACTCGAGATCTTCATAGTCCTCGCAGCCTGCAAAGCCCAGGTCAGTCGTACAAAAGATCTTTGACCACCTTGATACAATCACATTTGTATACCCTTTACACAAGGCTTAAGCTGCGGGTGGTTGGCAGGTGCTCTAGTGTGGTTTGCTCCTTTTTTCCTATCAAACATCTGTTATCCTGATCTCTCCTCCTTCTGTTTTTGTGTTGTAACACCTCTAATCTTGGGCTTTTATATGACCTTATTGTGTTGCAAGTGCTGTAAAACTTTCTAAAACTAAATCTAAAAACAATGCTAACCCACATGTATATTTTCCTGAGTCCCTGTTCGCCAGGCCTATTCAGTTCTCTCACAAGGCACCAGCCACCTCAACCCAGTCATGTATTTTTACTGTAATCTAGCCAATTGTCTCTGAAAAATATTTTAGGGACCCAATATTTTAACGTGTTGTCTGGGGCTCTGGTGATCTAGAGTTTAAGGTGTATGCCTCTCATTCAATAGGTCCTGGGTTCAAATCCGGATAAGGACTGAAAAATGTTCTGCTCTAAAATGTTCTCCTTTCACATCCTTTCCTGCTCTCTGACAATGTCTTTTCATCTGCCTCCGTCTCCACTTTTTGCCCCTACCCCCTCCTCTGGGCACCTGACTCTTTTTACAGCCTTTCTACTGCTACTCCTTGGCTCCTTCTTACTACTGTCTTTCAGCCACACCCCTGATCTCATGGTAGGTAAGATCTACACCTAGCCTTCTCGGATAAGGGCAAAAAATCTCACGGGTCCCGTATGCAAGTTGCGCACTTTAAAGATCCTTTGGTGGTCTAAAATCGATAAGAGTAGACTTCAGCCACCAGGCGGGCAAAATCCAAAATTTCCTACCAACTAAAAGTGTTCACTTTGTCCCACACGCTCATATGTACTTTTGCAGTTGCGAGCGCCGTAAAACACTTGCCAACAAAATGTTGTCTTCTAAAACTTCAGTGTAGAGCTGTATAGAATTATTTTGTTTTATGTCTGAAAAAAGTTACAGACCCAATAAGTGTCTCCAGTCTTACCTGGGCCAATGGGAAATGGGGGCTGAAAAAATAGTCTGGTGTTGTTAGTTATAGGTACACTGCAACCCCAAAGAGCACACTACTCTTTACAACATGATTGGAATCTGAATTATGGTACCAAAAATTTATTTTTTTCCAGGTTGGGGGGACGAGATAGAATTCTATATTTTAGAGGAGAATCCTTTTTGTTTTTGAGTATAATTCTCTTTAGTCCTTTATCTATCCAGTCCAAGAAGGCAGTAATAAGTACAACTGTCTGAATGTAATCAGTAAGATGTGAAGTCAACACAGAGAATTCTTGGTTTGTTTTTCTCACTAGAGCTTCCAGCTTGCTTTATTATAGGCCTCCTTGACTGACATAAATCAGATAAAAATTGAGAAGGTGGTGTGAGAGCTATTTCTGTCTATAGTGTATGGTGAACTGCAAGCAAATTGTCTTTTTCATTTAAAGATATGAGGAATCAAGCTGTGATTTTGAGCTTTTTCATTCTGTTCTTATTCCAAATCTAGCAAGTCAGATGTTGAAAAAGCTGAGCAATGGACCTGTCATTTTAACCCATTCTTTTCTGCCGCGTTCCCATATGTTTTAATTCACCGGTATGAAGGAATCAATCAATAATTTCAGCCCACTTTTTGTTCTCTCCCCTTTCCCCACCCCAGTGAGTCGCAGCTCAAGTAGAGCCAGCACAACGGGCAATGGTAGCCGTCCGCAGAGCAGAGCAGGCAGTGAGGCGTCCGATGACCCTGAGGTCTTCACCACCATGCAGACCGAGCGGAGAAGCGTCGGCGGTCGCAACGACACGACAGTCACGTACCAGACGCATCGCCTACAGACCAAGAACGTAACTTTACCCACGGTGACCACCACCAAGATCTCCAGGATTCCCAAGATTTCTCCTACAAAGAAGAAGTAGTTTGAGTACATCACTGGGATCCGTGAAGTTTTGAAATAAGTTTGTTTTTTCGCTCGAATTTTCATTGCTTCTCCAAAGTCTTTCATTGGTTGGCACGTGGGTAATTGTTTTGTGAATTTGATCATCAGTTGTAAATATTGCATTTTATAAAGTTAAGCTAATCAGCTGTTTCATTTGACCAGAAGTAATGTGTATTTTCTTGACCCAACTGAGGGCAACTTGTCTTCAGCCGATGAATATGACACAAAATACAGTAAAACATCAGTAGTACCTGCCCCTAAAGCTGAGGACACTTGGCTACAGTTGCCTGTGTCCCATGCCTCATAATCACTTCCTTTGAATACCTCTGCTAAGGTGTACCATGATTGCGACATATTTTCTGGTCCAAAGAGGTTATGCTGTTCTGAGGCAAAGGGGGGTACGTTTATTGATAATAAGAAGGTATGTTATACTGAGGTTTTACTGTGCTTGAGCTTGGAGATGTTCCAAGTTACAAAGGACCAACAGCTTTGCCTATTTGATATGCTTTTTGTAGAGCTTTTATTAACAGCTGGTCTCTGTCTCGTCTGTTCCTTTGCTCTTTCGCTTGTTAGTTTGTAGCCACAAGAAGAGATGTAGTTGCTGTCTTGATTATGATGAATTTTTGGAAGCTGTTCTAATGCCTACTCCTTTCTGTTCTGTTTGAATTTGATGTTTTTGTTATTTTGTTAAGATTCTGTTAGATTGTGAATAATACCATACACGGTTATGTGATCACAGGGCTTTAGGAGATGAGTGGTAGCATGAATGGTCTGTGAGGCTATAAAAGGGTTGGCATATGCCTTCTTGGCTGGCAACATATCAAGGTGTGCAAATGTCTTGACGTCGAGTTTGTACTGATAGAATTGTGAATTTTCCTTACCCAAATTTTAGATCACTTTACTTTTATAAAAACACGTATTGCAATCAAGATTCCTTTGTGTAGCATGTATTCGTCTTTTCCTCATTTGTCAATAAACACAACTGGTTATTTATCAACTGTTATTGTATTGTTCGAGTTAGATCAGAACTTCTTGAATTATATGTTTTTTCAGATTACTATTTGATGGCGTTGTTTGAATTTTCTTTCCTTTTTTTTCCCAGTATCTAATCTTTTGCATTTTTCAAGTTCTGTGTTACCTTTCATTTTGTCTGAACTTATACACTGATTCCCTTCCATGATTGAAATATCTATCTATGTATGCTTCAGAGGTTTCCAGATCAGGCGGAAGCCGTTTTTCTGGATTGAATAAGAAAAAAATATTCCAAATTTTCTATTTTCATGTGTCTTCCCTGGCTTCATTATCGTTCCATGTGAAAGTGTAACTTGAGGACGGTCACTTTGGTTTGTTCCTCCTTTTCAATTATGCACGGTTCCAAATACTGGGATTATTTAATTTTTTTCTTTTTGGCATGTTACTGTGCAAGAAGAGATTTAGTCTATGGCGTTATTAGAAAAGGTTTTTTGTCAAAAGATGTCATTTCTCTTTTGGGGGAAAGAGAACTTTGTCTTTTCCATGAGACCTTTCTGTTAATGATGTAACTAAAGGAATGTTAAGATGTTTTTCCACAAGAATGGGTTCAGATATGAATGAGATTCCTCTCGATTTTCGTTTTATTCCTCCCATTTCTCCATATAAAATACGAAGCTGGTGTGCGCATGCGTCTGTGTTGCTAAGATTCTACAACACTTTTCGTAGAGTTGTTTTTTAAATTTAGTGTTATGGTGCTCTTCTCGTGGTGTAGGGTTTAGTGTGTTGTCTTGTGGTGCGTGTTGTTTGAGCCCGGGACAGGTCCTGTCTCTGTGACTCTAGCGTGAACTCTTTTTGTCTCCTTGTCTCCAGACCGCTCTATGCCAACTGAATGTCTCACTATCTGCCTCACTTGTACATATACAGAAAGACCAACAGAATTGTTTTATTCCCTCTTCTTGTTTTCCTTGTCATTTGTTTTATTTTTCACTTTGAGGAGAATTTTTCCACATACTTTAGTAGGGAGTGGGGGGGCTGACAACACAGCACAGAGGATGTGTGCTTCTAGGCTGGCTCCACTATGTTTGTTTTTCCTGCCTTGCCCAGAGGCATATGCTGAGGTATTTGAGAGTGTGTCCGAAGCTGCTCGTTCCAGGGCCCTTGGGACTGTTGTAAGTAACTTATGAAGAGTATTTGGCACCCATGTTTACTTTCTTCCTAAAGTACAAATTAGTTCAGTCCTGTTATAAAATAAGTATGGTTCTAAATTTTGATTATAATTATGCACCCTGTCTAGGATTGTATTTGAAACTGCAGAGTGTGTGCATATATCTATGCACTGCAAAAAAAGCACATTGTAGGATGCTTTTCTTGATGAATATAATATTATATATATATATTTATATCTGTATTTTCATTAGGTCAACAATTTCCAATATTTAGTTTCTTGTTAAAAGAATCAGGTGGAATGCTTGATACTATCACTAAAATCATACTTCTTTGATGGCTGATGTGCTGTTCAAGGAGATAAATATTCTAACGAATTATTGATGGTTTTAGATCAAATAGTTGCATAAATAGACTGTCTTCTGTTACTCTTTGGCATCCTCTCTAGACCAAGCCAATTTGTTTGACTTTATTTGGGCAAACTACAAACTGACTTTTCTCTTCTGACCCTCAGACATTTAATCTTGCCTCAATATAATGAAGCATAATATACCGGGGGCTCTTTATTGCTATTCTCAGATTTGTAGCTTTAATTAGAGAGGCAAGTGATGTCCTGAAATGTAGTGGAAAATGTTTTCGGTTTTTTGTATACCTTCTGAAGTATATAAAAATAATGTAATAAATGCTATGACATTTTTCTGTTGGTTCATTTATCAGTAGCAATTTAAAGCAATTTTTATATTACTTTGAGCTATCAGCAAAGCTACCTTAGGTGGTCGGATGTAAACATTTGTACGTCAATAAACATAACTACATGAATCTCATGCTACAAGTGTTGGGTGACTCTGTTCAATGTCTTATGTACTCTCTGTCTGAATGTACAGCGACTGAAGTGTCTTTAGGCCATTCCCAAAGGGGGGGACATTTCTCATTCAAGCATAGTAGAACTGTAAATGGGCTGACTCATGTCACGCTCATAACTGTGCCTGATCTACAACAGGGAACGGCTGCATTTTCTTTCCTGATCCTTACTATTGTCATTTTCCTCTACTTCTTTTGTATGTTTGTCACTCTCTTGAGACCTGCTATTTTGGGGTGCCTTGATAGTCGAAGCAGACCTTGTGCTGTTGAAGCTAGAGAGGTGACCAGTCTAACTTAAGTCTGATTCCCTGTAAAGACTTCTCTGTTGACACCCACCCCTTGGCGCTCATATGACCTTATGCAGTTGCGAGCGCCGTAAAACCCTCTACTATAAAAAAAAAAAAAGTGTACAGCGAGATTATATTTTGTCGGGTTTGTAAGGTAAAAGTTTCACCGTGATAACGCATAGGCCAAAAGACAGTCAAAACCAAGTCAGTGGGTGGTTGGCGGGTGCTCTGGTGTGGTTTGCTCCTTCTTTCCTATGAAACATCTATCGTCCTCATCTCCCCTT